TGCTTACATGACTGTACAGCCGTGACGGTATAATTTTAAAAGCAAGAGTGCATATTTAAAAGCTCTTATACTTATTAGTATATATAGCCTACATGTGGAAATGAAGGTTTTTATAATAAATACGCTGAAGAGTGGATCGTCACCCAACACTCGTCTCTCCTGGCCATGCAGTGACTTGGTCCGACCGCAAAGTTCTGGACTCAGAAAGCTACACAGTCATGTAGAGCAGTGAGAGGAGTTTTCAATGCCAATAGGACAACAACATGGCATTGTAATCATCACCAAGTAATTTCATGAAAATGAAAAAAGAAAGTAATTAGTTGTTTTAATGTGATGGAGACCGAATCAATACTGTGACCGAAATCGATTTGGATACAGATTTCTGTTCGGCCAGGATTCCTCATCTCATCGAGCATTTCACAAGACAAGAAACAGGAACAGTTCAAGATGAAGTCATGGCACTGACAACAAAGTAGATCCACAGCACAACATGTCAATAACTCTAGCCTGATTCATACTTTCCGGCCTATGGGAAATACAGGATAGTGCCCGTCGCGGCGAAAGAGTTGACTTCTAAAGGGGAAGTTAAGGCTAAAATCAAAATTTCACCAGTTGTAGTCTTCGGGGTGCTGAGTCGAATGGTCGTGGTCCGAGGAAGCTGAGACGCTCCCTTCCTACTTTAATCCCAATCGAACTCGCGCACTTCCACCGAAACTGGGTGACTGCGCCCTACTAGATGGGGATTTGTATGCAAAATGTCACTAAAACTTAGTAAAAGCACCATGCCGTTCTTATAAAAGCACGGATGACCGCGATTGGCCCATATGTTGTAGTCTTTTGGACGCTGAGTCGACTGGTTTTGGTCCGAAAAGGCTGCAATGCAGCGTTCCTCCTTTATTCCCAATCGAACATGGTTGAACAAGCGGTCACGTGCTCCTGCGTACACCAGTCACCTGGTCACCGTGCCTGCAGGGTACAACTTACTAGCCTGTTTGACCTTTTTTGGGTGCAGTCCTGTCACTCGAGTTGAACCTTGGTGTGAAAGTTGTCGCCTGCTGGCGTGGTAACCAGGTGATTTGGGCACCCAGGAGCACGTGACCGCTTGTTCAACCATGTTCGATTGGGAATAAAGGAGGAGCGCTGCATCGCAGCCTTTTCGGACCAAAACCAGTCGACTCAGCGTCCAAAAGACTACAACATATGGGCCAATCGCGGTCATCCGTGCTTTTATAAGAACGACATGGCGCTTTTAGTGACATTTTGCATACAAATCCCCATCTAGTAGGGCGCAGTCACCCAGTTTCGGTGGAAGTGCACGAGTTCGATTGGGATTAAAGTAGGAAGGGAGCGTCTCAGCTTCCTCGGACCACGACTGCCGACCATTCGACTCAGCACCCCGAAGACTACAACTGGTGAAATTTTTGATTTTAGCCTTAACTTCCCCTTTAAAGCTTAACTTATTTCAAGTTATTTGCCCCATTGCTATACCGTCTCGCGAAGTGTTTCCCTACTCTAGATGACAACAAAAGATGTCGCTGGGTACACAGCAAAATGCTTCCAAGACCTTTGAAACAACATTCCGAGACTACTTTCCCTTTCATCACTGACATCAACATCAGATTTCGGATCAGATCTTGTAAGCATAAGGATGTGGATCCAACACGTTCGTTTGCTGTAATGCAGAGTGTTTCACAGTGTGCCCGCCACTCAGTCAGCACATCAACACATACACAGCGTAGAATAATAATCATGACGTCATTGTGCAGATGCTGTCATGACTGCAACCAGTTGCAGTGGACACGTACATGAACACCAGATCAAAATAGGTGACATACTCATACTGGTACTGATATTGCCGTTGCTTGACATAGAGGAAAGTAGAAAACAATCATTTCGGGGAGAATTGGATACGCGACTTTGAAAAATCAAACCGTGAGATGAATACATGACCACTGGTCACATCAGAGTAAGCAAATACACTACAGCATGCAGTAGCAACAGCATAATGGGCAAAAGGGCAATACAGCCAGCGCATGTACAGTCATGTACCATACTTATGAGTACACACTCCGGGCGAGGACAGGGAGCAACAACTGCATGCACAGCACACAGTATACAATGGCATGTACAAGTACTGGACTCAGTAAACGAATGTACACGGACAGAAAACAACAGTACTGATACAAAAACAAACAAACATAGAGCAAGAAGCCCAAAACGATAATCAATGTATGCGGCATGTGCGTTCACAGAGTGAAACATCACATGCCCACACATACACACCGAATATGGACAAACAGAAGCAATGAAAAACACAGCATCCACAAGTACAGCCAGTACTGTAGAATAAATAGGACGATGCTAGCAGGAATTTCAATAGCTTCAGAAGAGCGTGGACCAGTAGCATTCCTCTGGTCAAATTCCATATGAGAGTTTCAAGAAAAAACTTGGACGTCATAAATCTGGGAAGTCATAACAAGCATTTCCTATGCTCCCTGAAACAGCTGGATGCAAAGCAGAGTCAAGGATCATTTAGCTACTATCAGCACCTAGCAGCAGCAGCAGCAGTAGCAGTTATAATAAAATATACATCAAATCAATCTTGGAAGTCACAATACCCATGAGTCTGGACAAGCCTTCCTTTCACCTTCAGGAAATACTTCAAAAATTCAAGATGCGATCCAGCAAACATCTATAAACACAAGAAAGCAAAGAAGCAACACAGTTAAGTTAGCAACTTTGCACTGGCAATTTCGAAGTCAGCACACCTACCCACCCACCCACCCACCCACCCACCCACATAGCCACACGCAGCCGCACACACACACACACACACACAGCCACATACACACAGCCACACACACACACACAGCCACACACACAGCCACACACACAGCCACACACACACGGCCACATATACTACAATGTAGTACCGCATTCGCCTGGGTATAGACCCTTTGAATGTGGATGGCTCTTCAGTGCTTCCCTTGCAAGGCCGTCGGACACGCTACGGTCACTATGGCCGTACCACACTTTGCCCCCTGGTACCCTGTGAATCAATACTGAAGTAAAAGGAACTGATTTGGGCACTTATTTTCGAAACTTTTCAGAGGAAACACCCCAACCCCACGAGCAAATTGAACTTCAGGTGGCTGACCGTACGACCCTAAAATACCTTCCGACGCCCTTGCCTTGAGATACCGTGAACAAATTCAATCAGTGGAGAACGTGCAGGTTTTGCTTTGCACTGAAAGGGATACGGAAGGGAAGAGCAAACACCCAGATTGGCTTGACTTCATGCCGAGCACTCGCGTGCAGTCAGAGGAGTTCCCCAGGTGTCCTTTTTTTAGCTCCAGCCGAAAGACAAAGACCGTGCGTGTCACCCTAAATGCGTGTGGTGCCGGAAATTCACTGATTCACACACACTTTGTGCGTAAATTGTTCCCCATTTGTTCTCCATTACATGTAAATCTGGGTCGCTCAGGAGCAGTATTGCGGCAAGTTAACATGCAAATTGCAAAGGGTTTATACTATGCAGTAATGCATAGGTCTACGTACATACGAATCAGTGCAATATTACAAGCTTCAAGAAAAGTACAACTTACCGTTCTTCTAGACGGGGCCCGGGGGTTGTGGATAGGACGACGACGGTGGTGGGTTCTGCTGAGGAGTCACGCCCTGACCCCCAGTGATGGGCGAAACACCTTACACACAACACAAACACCAGCAATAGAATAATATACTGTTGCGGAATGCTGCACATGTACACAGGCACGGCACAGTATCAGCCAGTACACAGCTAGTGATAGAAGACACTATCAAGGCATGTACATGTGTACCTAGGTACGATAATGTACACAAATGAAGCCGTGATGCCTGCGACAAATACACTTTTGGGGGTGCCTATTACCACCCTCGATATCGGGACAGTCCTGGCCAAATCGGGATGATTGGCAGGTATGATGAAGCCTTGACTACAACCAGATATGACATGATCTGATGATCAACATGTGAAAACCAGCAGCAGATCACACAGTCCCAGATGTTAATTCAATGCATGTATATGTATAGCTTCATGGCAAAGTACCTGAAGGAGCGGCAGCAGAGACGTTTCCAGTAGGCGGATGATGCCACGATGAACTAGCAGCTGGTTGTGCAGAGACTGCTGCAGGTCCCATTGATCCAGTCACAGAGCCTGACTCTTGCGACCAGCTCTGATTCATCGGTGGACGGTTGCCTGTTTCTCGTCCTGGTACCACTTCTTGCTGTGGAAGGAAATGCGCTGCTTGGGCTTGTTGTGGGCGTGCCATTCCTCCAGCAGCCGACGGATGAACCATGGGAGCAAAGTGCCGCGGGGCGTGCATACCTACATGTGGTGGTGGTGGCTGAGCAATTGGCATGACCGGCTGGACAGCAACAAGAGTATAACATTCATAGAGACAGCTCTTCAGCAAAACAGTATTTGCTGCAAGCAAGTTTTTACAAGCACAATGCATCTCATATACAAGAATCCATCGGCTACAGTTAGTCTCGGAGAAGCTATCCAGTACAGCAACAACTAATTCTGCAGTGGCAACTGGTAATTTTCAAATCCTGTGGCAAAAACAGGTTTTCAAATCCTGTGGCAAAAACAGGTTTTCAAAGTACCCTTGTACCTACTGAAATAAGAGAAAGGCAAAGAGGAGATAGCATTCTTGGACCTTCCTACAATCTTACATAGACATTCTCTATGTCTACTACAATGTAAGTACATGTAGTTACTAGGGGTGAAACGATTTTAAAAGGCATATTCCTTAACGGTTAATCCAAAACTTATGGATTTAATACTTATCGATTATTATCGATTACACCACTGACGACAAAACTCACCATCTTGCATCAACTACAATCAATTTTGAAACTTCAAAGAGAACAAAAATAATGGAAACATCGACCGTCGCACAGGCACAAACTAACTGATTCTTAAGGCTACTTGTCCAGAATAGTGAGTTCCGGAATGAAAGTTCGTGGGTACGAATCAGTGCGCGGTGCAGAGAAAAGAGCCGCGTGTCACAAAATAGATCTAGAGTACATCAGGTAGATCTACCGGGTACGCGTATAGTATGTATCCAGAGCATGAGCAACTCGCTGTGCGTGCTGCACGCGTTGATTGACACCTCCGTGCACGCGCGCATAGACTCGTACTCTGGTACATGACTGTGCTGCACGCAGTAAAGTCATGTAGACACACTGCACCTGCCGGATGTTTCGTCGTACCGTATAGTATGCCGTACGAAAATGCTGTAGCGAATAGAAAAATCGTAATCGACTAGATTTTTTTCGACTAATTAATCGACTAAACCACATAATCCTTTCACCCCTAGTAGTTACGAGTTGCTATAATCATGTGTGCAGTTACGAATCTTACAATGCAGCACAGATAGTGTTGCATGCACTTGTGAATTATCTGAGAATATCAAATTATCAGGATTCTACCTGTATCTGAGAATATCAATGCCAGACCATAGAAACCCCCTAGACGACAGTAGTCTCCTTTCCATACCACTAATTGAAAAGGGCATGGCACAGGTCTGTAAAAGAATGGCACCAATATCCATGTCATATGTCATCTTGGCATGTGCTGCTCCATATTACTCTTACCATTGGTCGTGGCGCTGGGAAACTTCCTGGACCTATACCATGCAGCACACACACCATGTACACACACACACGCACGCACGCACGCACGCACACACACACGTGCATTTTAAAATACATCATGTGAAGCAAAGGCATAATTATACATATAACCAACCTCACATGAAGAAGGTGGCTGCTCCAAATGTTGGAGCTCGCGCTACCCACCGACTGACTGACACTTGACTGACTCATGACTGCCGTCTGGAACACACGAGAAGAATGCTGGGGTGTTTGTCGCGCTGGAAACGGAGCGTCTCCGTAAGTTTGTATCCCTGGTGATGTTTGTACCTGGAGAGCACTACATAAGTGGTGCTCTTCAGATCAGGCACAATCTTCCTCAGCCTACTCAAGCTCAACTGTTGAGGGGTGAATTCCCCGAAACACTGTGTCTTGAGCAGGGACTGGTGCTTTCTTGCAGGTTTGCCAAGTGGACGGCCCGGCATTCTTCTCGTGTACTCCAGATGGCAGTCGTCAGTCAGTCAAGTGTCAGTCAAGTGTCAGTCAGTTGGTAGGAAGTGCGATCTCCAACGTTCGGAGCAGCCACCTTCTACAATTACAGCCGAGGTTGCAACATCTCAGTTCAATCTCACATGCATGCAGATACGACAAGCGGGGGAATAAACAGACGGTAGCCTGAGTAGCTTGGCTGGTACACAGGCCCAAATGAAAGGTGAGCCATGTGCGTATGTGGACATGCATCTGCCCACCCCTAGCCTTAGCACCAAGCAAAGAAGCCGGTGACACATGCACACACACAAATCCGGTACATCATAAAAGCATGATCGTCAGTGAATGAACACTTTTCAGAATAGTCGCTATGAAGACCAAGATGCGACATAACATTGCCACCACCTGACAGGATACAGTATGATACACCAGTGCGACTAAGAGACAGGGGAGGGCAGGGGCGTCGGACACGGTACGGTCACTACGGTATTGACCGTACCACTTTTTATCTCAGGCACCCCGTGAATCAATAAAATGCACTGATCTGGGCTTTAAATTTCCAAAATTTTCGGCTCGGCCACCACTCCCCCGCGAGTAAACTGTACTCCAGGTGGCTGACCGTACCACACTAAAATACCTTCCGACGGCCCTGGAGGGGGTTGCACAGTGACGGAATGCATCCACAGTCTGTATACATACATATATAGGACGAAGTAGGTGTTGCACTGTTTTCGTAGACTCACAAAGCACACAATTCTAACAGCAAAATGTGCATGGATCACATCACAATACTCTATCGGGGAAATGACAGCATGGGATTTGCTCGCTTTGCAGCAAGATTTCTACAAATTCTAGAAAGGTACACACACACACACATAACAAGCAGCACAACAGCACAACAGCACATCATAACATGACAACAGCACAACAGCAGCACAACAGCTTCACAGCAGCACATCAGCACAACAGCTTCACAGCACAGCAGCACACTAGTGCAACCTACCGGCCATGGGCACAGGTGGCATTCTTGAGCTGCCACCACCTGCACTATGTACCGACCCAGGCGGAGAAGGATTGACACGATGTGCCATGTCCATGGATGATCTACCATGTGCTGTGGCAACGGAATTGAAGAAAAACGGGTCACAAGAAGTAGCAATGAATACATCACCACATGCACACACAATCACGAACAAGTGCCGCACCACCACACGAGCGATGCGCGAGTGTGCGCGCACGTACACACAGACACACACACGTACACAGATACATGGACACACACGTACACAGATACATAGACACACACGTACACAGACACACACATACACGCACACAGACACACACATACAGACACAGACACACGGACACAGACACACACAAACGCACAACCACACAGAGGAAATAGTACCGTATTTCCCCAATTATAAGTCACGCTCGATTATAAGTCGCACCCCTTTTTCAGGTTTGAGCCATATTGTTTCAATATAGTTACATAGGTAGGATAATACACTCGATTGTAAGTCGCATCCCCTTCTTGATCCTTCAAGTTTAGTGTAACAAGGTGCAACGTATATTCGGGGAAATACGGTACACCAGAGAACAATGAGCACAATGATTAGCACCAGAACTCCACAAGACACATGACATTGTATTCAAATATGGCAGTTCATGGAGACTGCACTAGCGAGTACATCTAATAATCAAGCCAGCATTGTGAAAAGTAACCATCCGCAAACTACCCAGGCAATCCCCACAAACTCTCGATAGAAAATTAAAATACTTGCGGGCATTGGCACCAGTTATGAGAAAACAGAATTTGAAATCAGCAAGCAAATCATACTGCTTTGAATAACCATAGTCACTTACCAGAGGAATCCATAGCAGCCGGCCTGCACACGCATGCACGCACGCACACATGCACGCACGCACACATGCACGCACACATGCACGCACACACACACACAAGCAAAGAACAGGCTAAATGTAAATATACTGCCAACTGATGTTGACTAAAGTTACGTCACCACATATCCGCTGAATACATGGAGGTGAGTGATTCGGTCGCCAGGCCAAATGTGCTCACAGACACGCTTGTATGTGGCAGGCACGTATCTGGGGTGGGATATGGCAGGATTTTCTGAAACAAACCGTTTAGATTTAGAATGTGTATAATGTATAATTATGCATTGAGCTGGTTAAGGCCGCAATCACACTACGTAAAAATCACAGTACAAATTTTCATGCATACCGGTATCTCAGTACAAGTCGGTACGCAATCACACTACACTTTTCGGTCTGCATAGATGACGTTTTCACGCGACCAGCACGTGACGTTGTTGTACCAAAGCGTACGCCATGCGCTGGAAAAGACCGGGAAATTAAAAAACAATGCGATGCTGATGCTATGTACGCCAACCAGGTACAAAAAAAGTTGTACACAGGTGATGGAGCGCGAAAACGACGAAAATGACAAACGTGGCTTTCTACAGGGGTGCGCCGGTTGCTGAAAACCTACAAAGCGCATTGTGCATTTCGCGCGGATCGCCATGACGATTTCTACTGTAACTTAATGCCGTTTGTACGTGATTTTGTACCTAGTGTGGTTGCAGCCTAATCCTGCATCCATGTACCGGTATGTGTAATGTACACTTCAGACTAAAGATATAAGTGCACGCGTTCCAACTGCTCACCCATCGTTATGGTACAGACTACAATATGAAGTTACTGGGCTGTACTGATGGTATTCCCAGTTAGTGTCACCAAGGTCTAAGAAGTGGAAAAATGGCTCTTGCAGCATCAAGAATATTACAGGACGTCAGAATTCGCTTGATGACTATTATGTCGCGCAAACCCGGTCCCGATACGCCTTGCTCAGCTGAGACAGCTGAAGAGACCGTCTTCGTTATTGAGAGTGAGGTAATTACGGCAGACACTGTGGCTACTTGGGTCGGCAAGAAGCTGCCCAAGTCCGTGGATAATAAGTTTGCCAACATCCAGGCAGCAGTCCATGCGGCGGTGGGTCCGGCGGCCTGCGCCTGGTCCTCAATTTTTGAGGACAAAGAGCTCACCACTGTGCCGGTTGAGGACGTGGCCGAATTGGTGCAGCGGACCATTGTCCTTCTCGGCAACGTTCATGGCTTGATTCTTCAAGCTACGAGGAGCAACATCCTTGACTCAATAAACAAGGAGTTTGCCAAATTGTCCAAAGACGACCTGCCACAAGAGGGCAAGAGAGCGTTTTGTTTGGCAGTTTCTTCACGGAAGCCATCGCTAATAGAGCCAAGGACTCGAAGGCTTTGGCGGACATGCACAGACAGCCTGAGACAGGTGTCACGGGACGTGCCTCGGGGACCCTTCCACCATCGGCAGCCTTTTCAGCCTGGGGCGGGGGGGGGGGGGGGGGGGGGGTCCGACGCAGCCCACGGCCCCATCACCAGCGACAAATGGGTGTTGGAGATTGTGGAAATATGTTTCGACCTGTGTTTCCAGCGGCGGCCGTGCCGGCATCGGCTTCCCCATCAACCGGTTCTGCCACCAGTCGAGCAAGACGCATCGCACCAGGAACTGCAGAGAATGATTTCTACCGGTGGGATCGAGCAGTTGTCGTTTAGACAATGTAGAATTCGTCAGCCCGCATTTCCTCGTCCCCAAGAGCGGAGACAGGTAGCGTCTCGTCTTCAATCTCAAGGCTCTGAACGGGTAGATAGAACCTCAGCACTTCAAGATGGAGATACTCTCCCTGCTATCGGACATAGTGGAACGCCATCGGTGGATGGAAAAGCTGGACTTACGAGATGCGTTCCATTCCATTCCAGTGCATCCCCTCAGCCGTTAGTTCTTAGCCTTCCTGTGGAATGGTCAGATATGGAGATGCACTTGCCTGCCATTCGGCCTCAGCGAATTGCCTTGTGTGTTTACCAAGGTCCTTCGTCCGGTCGCTGCATTTCTGAAATGGAACAAGATGCTGGCGCTTTCAGTCCAAGCTGAAAGCCATGGGCACACAGAGTGATCTCCAGGCCATGCTACAGTGTTTCCTCCTAGCACATGGCACAGCACCGTGCTGTAAGGGACATGCACATTCCTTACTACTCAGGTCCATAAAGTACTTCTGTTCAGACGAATCAGATCATCACTCACTACTCACCTTCCAGCAGGGCGAATCGGAATTACAGGTCCACTAACACCCATTGGCATACCTGCAAACCAAAATAACACACACCACACACACACGCACATACCACACGCGCGCCCACACACACACACACACGCCGGCAGACAAGGATATGGAAGAACATAAGAAATAGGTAAAACAGATTCCGACATATGCAATGCATGTATAGATGACTGAAAGTCATGTTACATAAAGTACATGATTGTACATGTATTGTCAACCTGTCACCTTTCTAACTTCCGCTCCACTTCAATTTTCTACCTGTGAAACGACTTCAGTGTATGCTGTACTTTCTAAGGTGTTAGCCGCAACCCCCCCCCATTCGGGCCCAAAATTCAGATTTTTTGCACTACATGAAAAGTAGTACAACGACACCATACAGGGAATAATTTACTTTCAATCTTTTGCATAGCAATTTTGCTATGTAAAATCAAACTTGAATTGCAATTCGAAAATGTTGCATAGCAATTTTCTTCAACACTTGACAACATTGTCCTGGAGAGCTGATCAGAGTGCAAGCTCAGATCACAAATACACTGTACACCTTAGTTGCAAGCCTATCCTGGTGCCAGGATGCCTGGCTCAGCACTTTCGAAGCTTCATACATCTATTTTATCCCTAAGAGACACACCCGGCATACACACTGTGCATCATAGGGTACAGTGAACAATCAATATGCATCGCAGTTTTCTGCGATGCATATCTGAAGTTGCTTCGCACTTCAGAAGAATTGCGTAGCAAACTGCGATGCGATACCGGTTAAATTATTCCCTGCCATACATGCATTATATGCACGGGCGCTGTAGTGCTGGTCGATTTACATCCAGCATTCGGAGCCACAGGGGCAATTTTTGAGTAAAAAAGTGTATTAAAGTGCGGCCAACATCCCAAAAAAGAAAACGGTACATCAAAATACGGCGCTGAGCCGCGCATGCATTGCTGTACACAGCACATGTAGGTATTACTCCTACTCCTGTGGATGGAACTATGCACAGTACAACATGGCGAGCCTGATCTATGGCCTTGCTGTTGTGCATCGTACTGCACAGGGCAACATTGATCTAATTCCCAAAGCATGACGAAAACCAGCTTAGAAGCGACACAGCGGTGGGGAAGATCAATTGTATTTTACGGTATATGTGGTTAGCTTGTGCTGAACGACTGATGCTGTTGCTGTTGCAATGCCTTGGTTACTACGAAGTCTACGATCACACAAAGACAGGTTTCCCCGCAGAATACAATACATAATTATAACAGGTGCAGGCACTCGGTGTCCTTACCAGGACGAATAGGTACAACGGATGGTACAACCGGTGGAGGGAATTTAGCTTGCAGTCGACTTTCCGCCTCCTCAAGCCTGAATATGACCAGCACAAAGGCAGAACAGTCAACTTCATTCTAAGTGGATTGGTACCTAAATTACACAGATTATCATCAGCATTGACCCCGTACAGTCCGAACTCAATTAAGGTGCAGAGCGTAAGTATCGTGCTCCTTCTCGTTGGCATCAGTTCCTAGCGGGACTAAAGAATGTCCCATGAGCCACATCAACTGGCTTGGTGGGCTAAAGACAAGAACAGCAGCAGTCGGATTCAGGGCTGACACTTTGTCCAGGGCCGTATTTGTCCCAGGCCAAAATGAGATGAAAAGCGCGGGCCATGACACAGACAATATTCATTGTCACTATCGCTCGCACATGCCCTATGCAAGAAACAGTACATCACTCCCAGGCATCTTGAATCCGTTGGATTAACTCCTTCCAGTCCACTAGGTTGCATGGACAGGACATAGCATGCCAATCCAACCCGGTTACATGCATCACTTTACACAATCCATCCTGTAACAATTTCAAACTTTTGTCCATGCGTTTCTTCAATCACCCACCGTCTTTTCAAGGACGTGTTCTCCGAGTTCATGTCCCGCAGCTGCTCTTCAACCTGCATGCAGCGAGTCTGAAATACAAAACACACATAGCCATTTTTTTCTTTTTCAACGGCCTCAACTAGTGAAGACAGCTGTATCATACATACTCATGTCATGCACACTGTACACTGTACTGACTCTGTACACTGGGCTAAGCTAGGCAAGGTTCTGCACAATGCGCTACATGTCAGGGAACACAGACAAGGCGACAAGAAAGACCATTTCAGAGCACTCGGCCATGCAGAAACGGAGAGCAAGTACGTGTACATTCTGGATGGCGACAACAAAGAACACATTCTCACTGTAACGTTACACTGTCCCTGCGAGCAAATGTAGCCAGACAACAATGTCATTGTGCTGCACGGTAAGAGAACTGCACTGCTGTACACATACACGTCATACTAATTACCTGAGCAGCTTGGGCTCTTTGCTCATTGACAAGAACCTAGAACAGCAAAGCACAGCGATGTCAGCAGCAGCAGCAGTGGAAACAAGAGGAGCAGCAGGAGAAAAGACACAGGGGTCAAGCACAGACATGCACAGGTGATATGGTGGTTTAGCATCACGAACTTCGTGTTTAAGTTCCCATGGATTTTGCGATTCGCAAACTCAATCACGAACTTTCGCAAGATCAGTACCGAATAGTGGACGAATCGCGAATCATGGATTCGCGCTCCAGTCATGACACGGTACGGTCACTATGGTATTGACCGCACCACTTTTTGCCCCAGGTACCCCGTGAATAAATAAAATGCATTGATCTCGGCTCTAAATTTCCAAACAATTTCGGCTTAGCCACCCCTCTCCCACGAGTAAATTGTATTTCAGATGGCTGACCGTACCACACTAAAATACCTTCCGACGCTCCTGCATAAGGTATAATAATTACTGCATGTGAGCATGCAATTCCATGTTGAAATTAAAAAAAATTAATGCTGGTTCCTGATGAGCGTTGTGCGAAAGTTAGTTCGATGCATCTTATATTTTTCAGCGTTCCTATTATTGTTCTTCACATTTAATACATTTCCATCACATTTATTTCTTTGTCCATCACCACTTTTTCTAGAATTTGTTCGTGACACCTCAATAAAACGTTCTTAACATGACGCTTCAGCTGATTCTGTTTATTGCCATCCTTAAAAAATGTTGGTGCCATTTTTTCCCCTGAAAAATCACGGACATGTTACGTTCGCGAAAACGCTTTGCAAATTCTCTCGATGAAAATAAATTTCGCGTTCGAGTTCACTTTCAACTGCACGCAAACTCGAACACGAAATTCGTGATGCTAAACCTCCGTGATAACACCAGGACATTCATGCTGGCACAATAAAAATCCTAATAGAAACACTACACCAGGAAAATAATCATGCATATACACAAGAAATGTAGAAGTTAGAACTATGACAGTGCTAGTGTCTCATGTTGCAAGTCAGGCCCGGAGATAGAGAAACACTGCTGATATATGTATTCTGGTGAGGACTAGAAACGCCCATTAGAACAACTGCAAAGATATACATACATGTACATGCACACGTGAACTGTCAACACACACACACACACACACACACACACACACGTGCGCGCGCGAGCACGCGCCCGCACACATACACTTCCTTACTTGCTGCCAAAGAGACTTCTCAGAGTCAGCCAGTTGCTTTCGCATGTTAGCCATTTGCTTGCTGTGTGAAGAAAAACCCACATCAAGCAACACAAACAGCTGAATGGTTGATTGAAGAATATTGCAGCGTAGCCGATCTCAGACCTATACGTCCAATCACATGCAACAGCTGACTCCAGCAAGCAAGTCTAAAAAAATCTGTGAATTTTCTGTGTATATTCTGGAACTACATGTATCTGTGTAAATTCTTGGATAATTGTCTCCGAACTGCACACTGTCGTAACTTACCGTTGGTCTTCTTGATCCTGCTTGGCTTGGTTCGCTTTCAGTTCGATGCTTGCCTGCTGACTCTCGATGTTGTGACTCTTTGCTCGCTCGATGCTCAGCTCCCTGACAGAGCAAGACACAATGTACATCAGGTCTAAATTAAAGCAACACTGTATTCAACCACTTCAAGCAAATTAGTATCAGGAAAAGCCAGTCCAGAAATCGATGTGGTCAGTCTGGGCGTTGGAGATTGTGACCTATCAATTTTCGCAAAACTCAGAAACCAAAGTGGGGTAGAATACAAGCCACCCACCAATAATAGTCAACATCCATATCTGAATCAGAACTGAACAAAGCAAGTTTGCAAATGTTATAAAATCGCAAGTACTGCAGTTGGGAATGATCACACGCACATGTACTTCAAGTACTACAGTTGTGGCCGAAGAAATTCCCCACGAGTCAAAAGCAGCGCCTCTTTTTCATTTCAATTACATCATGCACGGTCTAAAAACCTAACCGAGGGCTGCAGGGGTCGGATGAGCCTTGGCGCTGCGTTCAGTTCACAGGTCGGATTTCTTCGGCCACGCCTGTAGATGAGTTGCATACTTCACTGATATTCTTACACTATAAAGTCTACAACACAGTGGATATTCACAGTTACACCTTGGCAGATGATTCCATTACATGTACGTCTACTATAGCACCAGTAGTCTGAGTAGAACATAGCAGTGCACATTACTGCCAGCGAGGAATAGCTTACTTGTTGAGACCCTCTTCCTTCACGCGGAAGTACTCCTGCAAAGCGTTCAGTTTGGCCTCAGTTTGGAGGTGGAATTGCTTGAGCTGATCGTACGCATCTTGAAGTGACGCTAGTCGGGTTGTTGCATCTTGCATTGCAGCTGATAGTGGCAGACCACAGAAACAGATTGATATAATTATATATTTAGGTTCCACAACAGTGCTAAAGTCAAAAGAGCATCTGATATGGTACAGTGTGCAACGGTACACACCATCGGGTTTTGTTCAATACTGGAGATTGCTCTACTTCGAAATAAATACTAGGCTGGGGTCTGTATGAGCCATACATTACTGAAGCCACAGTGTAATGCTGACTATAAGTATAGTATAACAGCCTCACATGATTGTACGTGTAGAAGTAGGATGCAAATTTTCTAGCTCCACCTATTGGCAGATGTTTTCTGGTTTTCCACAGGTTCCACATGTCCATGTCAACCAGGTCTAAAGAAAGCAAAGAAGATAGCTCTAGTACGGCCCTGATTGCCCAAAGTTGTTCTCCGAGTCCTCGTATAGACGGCTCTGTTGACGTCACGCCTTTATTTGGCGAAAACGGCGCTGGTAGATTTTTGCAGTAGTGAATCTTTAATGGGGATGATGAGAAGTTTGATAAAGGAATTGGCTACCATGAAAGAAGCTGTTGTTGACAACAATTCCCTGAGGGTCAAAGTGGCGGCACTCAGGGAGGAAGTTCAAAAGTTACGTACGAGTACATGTACTCCAACACAGGCCACTCCACGTCCTCCCCGGCCACATCACTGATCAAACTGTGTACATCAACTGACTCAGGGCCTGCTACACGCATCACGTATTCAAGTGTTTGCAGCTCAGGAGTCACACCACGCGAATCAACATGTGCTCCCGTACCGGTCGAACATGAGTGGGAGAAGGTTGTGCGGAGAAAACCGCGAAACCCTCCAAACCCTGCACACACGTTGGCAAAGAGCACTACCAGTACTACCACACGCCGTGATGTAGAGCATTAGCCAGCCCAGTCCACAGTCACGTCATACTACCAGCACAAACCGAAAGCTCCTGCAAGTTCTTGTGGAGCCCCTCGGATAAAATGCCGCGCACTTGGCAATGTCCACATGAGATGCAGTGCGGATTCCATCAAAGGTTGGCGAGAGAAAAAAAGATCTACCAGTCATGAAGTGCAGTGTTTCAGAATCCTGGTACTTTGGACTAGCGTATGCACATGTCGTGATCCCAGCAGATCACATCGACAGAGCCCTGCAGGAAGATTTCTGGCCAGCAGAGGTGCGTGCACGTGAGTGGAGATTCACCTGCGATAAGATAGCTTCAGCTACAGCCACATCATGGATGCCCGTGTCTCTCATACAGTCATGCAAAGTCGCCCACTAAATCCAAGCACTGCCGGTATTCACCAGGAAACCTGACTAAACTCTAATGCAATCCCCTTTCACTCTACACCAAAGTCCTCTAACTACTCCCCTTTATCGAACGGCAACAACGCCCATAGTCTTAATCTTAGAGTAGGGTTCCTGAGGGTGTGCCACCTTCTTAATAAAAAGCATGAAGTCGAGGATTTCACACTGTCTCATAACATTGAAATCAGGATACTGGCGGAAACCTTTCTATCTAGCTCTACCGCAGACAGCATCTAGCTCTACCGCAGACAGCTTGCCCAGCATACATAACCACGCCCTTTTTCCAGAAGGATCGTCCCAGTCTTGGAGGTGGCCTAGCAGCCCACAGTACTGTCGGGTGCCGAAGAACTGGAGGGGGGGGGGGTCAGGGTTCTAGCCTAGCCCGTTCTGATTTTTAGCCAACACAGCAGTTTCGTTCTTATTCGATGGCACAGTCTTACATGTACATTTACATTTACGCAGAGTTATACGTCTGAGTGTGAATTATAGTGTACACTACGGTTTCCGTTCTTTTCTGCAACAAAATCCAGCCTAGACCGTTCTTAAAAATTGGTTTCTAGCCTGGCCGTTCTTCGGCGCTCGACAGTACTATATGTTAACAATCGCTTTCAAGCACGAGCGGTGGGTGACCACACCAAATATAGAACTTTTGCTACTAGAGATCAGAACTCATCGAAACCGGATTCTCCTAGGAGGAGTGTATTGACCTCCAGGAACGCCAGTGCAGTTTTGGCCGGACCTGTCCAATGCAATAGACACAGCAGCGGTGTCAACGCCATCGTCTCCGCTGAGTTTAACGGGCGACTTCAATGTCGACATAAGCCGGCGCCAAGCCCCTAAGCTCAACAATTTACATCGCTTCTGCGACCAGTTCAATATCAGCAACAAGGTGAATGACACTACCAGTGTTGATCGAGCCGAACATTACCTCCTTCTGGCACCGGTCTTCTCATTTTCCCATTTCTCATTGATTCTAAATTCTGTTAGATCTTGGCTTGAAACTACCGGCACATTATATACATCCTATTGAGTACTTTCTCATTTTCTCGAGTACAGCTCGTGCTTTATCGAGCCACAATTCATCTTTTATTCTATCGCCATCATAATGTTGGACGTCAATGCTTGTTTGGTTTGCTGTGTAAAATGAAACTTCAAACGAACAAACACAATGACATTGTGTTTGTTTGTTTGGAGTTTCATTTCAATACATTGTATTGATCGTCATAAGAATGCCAGCATGCCAGCATGCCAAGCAGTATGAATGTGTACATGAGTAAGGTATACTGTAGAGGCAGAAAATTTCGTCGGTCAATAATTTCGTCCAACTCCAAAGAAAAGGAGTTCGTCCGGTTGAAAATTTCGTCCATGGATCATAAGAGTGTATAGAAAAGCTGGACAAATCGATATTCGTCCTACATTTAATTTAGTCCAAAATCTCCTTGGACGAAAAAGACGAAATTAAATTCCAGACGAATATTTCTGCTTATACAGTACCCAGCATGCCAAGCAGTATGTACTTCAGCAGTATGAGTACATGAGTAAGGTATACAGGCAGCAGCAGCAGCAGGCGCAGCTTACCATCAGCAGTCTGTCTTTGCTGACTCTCCTCGGCAAGTGCATTGGCTGCACGGGTGTATTCTTCATTGACTGTGTCTAAACGTAATTGAACCTGTACAGGTGCACCCACCCACGCACGCACACACGTACGCAAACACCCACACCACACACACACATCCACACAAGACACCCACACAAACACACACGAACACACATGGACACACATCGACACAAGGGCACCCACACGGACACACACGGACACACACGGACACACACACACAAATACACACTGACACACAAATAGAGCATAACCACAAATTATAACAAGCAACCGCACACATAATATACAGGCAAATGCATATACAAATACACATACAAGAGCTCTGTTGTACAAGTTGATGTTTTACAATGCGCAATAGTTTTCCATGACCATTTATGGACGCATATGTTCGAGCATACATTCTAGGACCAGCACAGTGCAGCGCAAGACAATAACCAAACCATCTCATTCCAAACTGGCATGCCCTAAAGTGACATTCTGTAGAAATACAATTCACAATTCTTACCTTGGACACGTTGGTTATATCAGCAAAGAGAGAACCTGAACACAAAGAAGTCCAAGAGCACAAATGCAGCAACACTGCTAACGGATCTCTACGCACCAGAGAAGATGACAAAAGTGGTGAATAACTACTCAATCCGCTAACAGAACTGTTTCATCCTTTGTTGACTCGTCAGCACGGCACAGAGAAAACGAGGCCAAACCTGATAGCAATGAAAATAATTTTCCAAGGCCAGATTTAAACCAGGCACGCATGTATCATGAATAACTACTAAATAAACCAGTCTTACAACAAGAGCATACCATCAGGAGCATCACCATCCTCAGTGCTCCGCAACTCTTTCAAGCAAGACTGGAGAACCTGCAGAAACAGACAAAAAGGAGGAAGACAACTGACTATTATAAAAAGACAATAGCACCATGATGCAGCAGACATGTTATTCATGGACAAATTCCCAACTTCATCTAATTAGGCTTGTGCATCGTTGCAGGAGCGATGCATTAATGGAGAGAACACATTGCTAAAATAAGAGCGCTCACACTCCCAGAACACACAACAACCTATGTGGCCCACCAACGCATACACAGTAACAATAAAAGTTGGACTTCAGCTCTGTCAACTAGCATGCTATCTGACTCCAATCAAACAGACTACAGAGCAACAACACAACGACACACGGCAAACAGTCTACCTCGACTTCTCTGGCTTTCTCCTGCAGTGCTGCAGCATTTGTCTGATAGTCACTTTGAGACTGTTGAAGCTGAGTCTGCAGATTCTCCACTCTGAAGCAAAAACACAGTGAAAAAAGGTTGGCTGACACAGCAAACCAACATGATGGATGGTTCTAAATCAAACGCATTATAAGATATTAGTTGAAAACTTGCTTGCGACCGCATACTGCAAGTAGACTTGAGCAAAATGCAAATGCAAACAGATTTACACAGACTTACTCGGTAGTCCATTGCTTGCGTCCCTCTGACAGCTGAGCACACACAAATACAGTTAGCACTTAGCACCAACACAAATCCATTATTATTATTATTATTATTCGCATTTTCGTGTTGTCGTCAACCATAACGATTGATGGTTCGCTTATGGAGAGTGAGAGTAAACAAAAGTCAAAAGTGGAAGATGCTGATGCCAAAGGAAAAATAGCAGGACAAGTAGGGGCATTGAATGGGATTTTACGATATGTGCATAGTGAATAGAAAATGAGAACAATCGCAGATAAGTTTGTTGAACATACTGAAATATCCAGAACCTGTATACCCAGGGGCGTGGCAGCAGGTCTGGCCGATCCGGCTTTGGCCGGACCACTTTTTCGCCCGACCACGCCCAGAATGCAGGATTTTGTACCCTGATCTCAAAATTTTCCCGGGAGACCCCCTCCCCTCTGGCCGGACCACCTCCAACACCTGGATACCTCGCGGCATTCTGATAGAAATGGAAAGGAAACGTTGCTTCATACCTGAAGTTTTGCTTGATGGTAGTCTTCATTCAATGTAGACAACTGACTTTTGAAGCGACTCTCAGACTCGGCACGTCGGGAAAGCTCGGTTCGGCACTGCAATCAAACAATCAAACGATGTGGTTATCAAGGCGCATAGGCATAGAAATACAGCAGGTTACAAAAAAATAGGATGACTTGTTGATACACGTATATAGCAAGACAAAACAAAATTAAACAATACACCACACACACACCACTTGATTTCTCTGACCGCTATGCGTTCAAGTTGAGTGTCAACCTTTCACAAATTGAGCCCAGTAAGAGGCGAGGTCGTGTAGATCCTATCCCGTCCTACTATGCATTCAAAAACATTGTGGTCCACAAGATAGCCTCACAACACACACAACAACGCATTGCACTTCGATTTCAGTGGCGCCATACCTGGTCAAGATCTTTTTGAATCTCCGCAAATTGCAGTCCAACTTGCATCAACTGCTCTCGGTCTGCTGCGCCCTGAAAGTACAGCACAGAACACAACCAGACCATACAATACAACAACTCAACGTAACTAGCATATCTACTAAAGCCAGCACAATCATATACATTCATCGCTGACTCAACTGTGTGGAGACTTTTTGCCAATATTGTGTGCAGACTGATCAGGACCAAACACATGTACAAACTTCACGATAATATAAGACATGTAACAATTACATGTAATCAAGCACGCTGAGGAGGTCATGATGGCTGAATCTTGCCCGTGCCTGCAGCAGCCCAAGGGCTGCAGGCAAGGGCAAGATTCAGCCATCATGACAGACAGAGCATGCTTGATTTGACTTCGTACAGCACGAAGCAACATATTAGGGAAGGCCAAAGGTCGAAATATTCCCGAAATGACGTCAAACGGTCCTGATGGCCTGGTTATACTCGCGGCGGGAAGACCGCCTATTGGCCATGGCCTGGGCAACGATCACGTGTCATGTAAGAATGTGAGATACGGTAAAGGGTTAAGAATGGGTAGTCGACTTCCAACTTAACCGCTTTTGATCATGTTGATATCGAACCGGTAAATTGAGGCCCCAAGTACTGGGGGTCGACTTACAACTTGGGGTTTAACCGCTATTGATCATATTGATATCGAACCAGTAAGCTGAGGCCCCAAGTATTGGGGGTTGACTTATAACCGGGATCAGCTTATACTAGTAATCGATAAAATACGTTACATTTATGGTAGGGGTGAAAGGTTGAAAAAAATCCTGAGTTCGAGTAACGTTACTCTGATTTTCTGCTATCAAATACTAGTAGTAGTACAAATTCGACTACACTGCATTTCACTTTCCTTCAACTCCATGACACACCCATGCCCGCATCCGGAGTGTACAAATCAACTATCAATATTTCTGCAATGGTGAGACAATGGGGCTCTTTCTACTGCTGTGTCACACAGCCTGCAGCACAGCAATCTCTACTCTTTGCACACTGCACAGTTGCCTACTCTGATGAGAGACTGATACTGTTGAAAAATGAATCGGGTCAGGTAGCTTCTCGTGCTGTGTGCACTTCCTGGAAGTGTGCTTGCGCTCTGTGCAAAACCATGTAACTGCAATGCTTCTTTAGGCTTCCGAGATGCCTCGGGAGTTGGGAGCTTTGTGCAAGGATTGAGAGGTGAGGAAAAAGAATGCTTCGGAGAACCAATCGCAGAAAGGTTGCTGCAAAAGGTTAACTGGTTCGCAAGAAGGGGTCAAACGCCACAAAGATGCGCCACAAGATGCTGCTATACCAATGGAATATCGGGTGAGTGGAGTTACCACACCGGCCTTTTTATTGTTTCTTCAAAAATGGTTCTTTCCAGATTACTTGGCCCTTCTTTGTCTTTTCTCTCTTTCTTCTTTTCTGCTGACGGCGTACAAATTATGGATTCGCCGATTCTCACACGTCTGAGAAACGCCATCATGCCATCACCCTATACAACTAGCAATCATTCTCATCTAAGCGTTAGTTTGCAGAACAGAATCAACACTGTCTGCTGAAAAAATCTCTCTTCCTCTCTCTACATGTACATTCGGTACTCTGCTCACAAGTGGGAGTGTGCGGTGAGCCAGAGAATGCAGTTTGGGTCGTTGCCTATAGAAGGTGTAGGTTGACCACCTGTAGCGTAGTCGTGTTGTGAGAAATCATGACAAGCAGTGTACCTTGTAGAGATGCGATAATAGTATTGAAACGCTAACAAGAAACAACAGTATTGCATTCATATGCATTGCTGTATAGCAGTAAGACCTGACTCGCGACACTGTCAACTCAGAGTACTAACATTTTGCTCAGTCTGCTTCAATGCTACTGACAAGTCCTTGTTTGACTGCTGTGCACGAGTCAACTGTTGATTGAGGCTTTGAGCATTGGACGTAGCCTGCGTCAATGAGGCCTGGTAATCGCACAAAGCCACATACCAGAAACCACACAGATCACGCAACACACAAACTCATGAGCTGCAGACAACACAAGTATGACAACTGTACACATACTAATAACCATGCTACTGACAACTGTACCATGTTATTGATGAATGTATCACGCTTTCTCAGCACTAGTACTCGGCTAGCCCATGTGCTCCAGGGGCGGACATCACAAAGAAAATACATGTAGTGGAACATTGCAAGTTTGTAAAATGGACAAAAGTACACAAATTGCTCCTCTCACCACCACTACCACCACCACCAACGCCGCCGCCGCCACCACCACCACCACCACCACCACAACCACAACCACCACCCTCAAATTGGAACTGCCAACTCACTGTAGATATGATGAGTTGCATGTCACCCCGAATTGCAATGCTCATGCATGCTGCATCCCCTTATTCATGCACCTCACCCATATTTTAAAACAAGCCCAGTGATCAGTAGTAGTAGACTGGACTAACCTTCAGCTCGCGGCTCTCCTTACTCAGGTCCGCTGTGGATTGTTTCTCAGTTGAGTACGCCGTCTCCAGTGACCGAACCTGCGAATACCCAACAACCAGCACCAGTGTATATCTGTTAGACCGTGAAGGTGGGCTAGCACAATCAATGCAATGTGCCTGCAGTACATCCACTAAACGTGATTGTAGCACTGTCATGCCCATGGGCAGAAATCACACCAAGCGAGTGCTGTTCGGCTTGTGTAGACTGTAGTGTGTGCTGAATGGAGCAATCAGTCATACCATGAGGAAAGGGATCATGAGATTCGTTTGCTCTAGGAATCTGTGAACTTTGACCCAAGTATGCCTGTGAACTACCAGTCAGGGACTCATGCCGTCTAAAACATGCCAAAAAAGGAATACAGTACAGTAGAGTGCTCAGCAGGTTCAAAATGGTTGACAGTGGTTGAGAGTTGAAAATTCATCTGTTTCATGGAAACAAAAGTGCTTTCTCGACTGAATCACCTTGGTGTGATCGTGGCCTGAGACATGGGATATTACGATATGTTCTAAAAGCTGACAAACATGGCAACAGGTGCATCATTAAGCAACCAACCAACCTTGTCCTCAGCCTTTTTCAGCGAGTTCTGAATTTCAGCCTCTGCAGTCTTGAGACGTGCAACCGCATCCTCAAGCTGTTTGTTCTCGGCTGTGAAAAGAAGGAAATGTTGTATACCAACAGAAATGAAGAATGGATTTAGAAGAATAGGTGAATTATGGCGTCGCTAAGAGTGGTCGGTACACTAGTAGACTCAGGTGAGATAGAGCACGTGCATGTACAATCACTTTTCAAGGGCTTTAATAGTCAGCCATCAAAGGTCCTTAGGACAACAGTGCATGACTTCTGTCAGGAAAATGCCATCTGTAGCCTTCCTTGACAAAGGCGATTAGACAGACGAGTCCAGTACAGTACTGAATGATCCATCCCTACTATTCACTGACACAGTCTTACAAGTGCCAGGCAGCACAAAAAGCTTTTGTACTCTCATAGTATGGCTTATACAGTGTGAAGATCACGAACTGACGAACTCTCATATGCCAATACAATGCCATGTTGTACCAGGGAGTATCAAAGCACTGGCTTGTTTCCCAGTATGCACGCACTAATAGTAGGCTAATACATGCAACGTCTTAACGTACCGATAAGGGATTTCTTCTTGCTGCCACGACAGCAGCAGAAATAGAAGAGAGGCAGAATACCGAGCACAACAGTAGCAGCACCAACACGCCAATCACCCTGCATCACAGTATTGCACGCACAAACAACATACAACAGACACAAGGTAGATCAGCACCGCTGGTGGAATATACCCTAGTCATGTTCAGAAGAGTTCGGCAATGGCTCTCATTAGACGCCAGTGGGTGCACAAATCAGAAATTGCGCTACATTTGCAAAAATACGGAGAAGACATCCATTTCTGTGCAGAACATTTGTACTGGCACAGTTAACCCTTGGGTACATCTGATACCCGGTCACCAAGTCCTCTACATGCGTACAGGGTAATGATACAGCATATGACTCACATGGGTACTCTTCTTCAATTTCTTCACAACATATCTGCATTCTAATTTCTAAAGCATGATTACTGGATGCCTGGTGTATCATGCACAGTTCCAGCCAACATTCAGCCATTTATAATTATAATTAGGCCAAACTAAAGAAGGTGTGTGGTTCGACTAACATGGACATTTTTTTTACGGGCGGGCGGGCGGATTTTTTTTTTAAAATATATTTTTTAGTACATGTAAATACACTGTACTGCCTTTACAGTCCATTCATAAAAAGATGGGCTCTGGCTCTGGCGAGCTCCCGTATTTGGCGGTTTTTCGTGATTTCATCGTACACAGTGCAGTGCTGCGAACTTTGAAATTTGAAAAAGGGTCCAAAAAGGGTTTAGGGTTTTACGTCGGGCCCTACAGTCCATTCATAAAAAGATGGGCTCTGGCTCTGGCGAGCTCCCGTATTTGGCGATTTTTCGTGATTTCATCGTACACAGTGCAGTGCTGCGAAATTTGAAATTTGAAAAAGGGTCCAAAAAGGGTACCTGAACTGGGGTTCGAACCGCACAATGCACTGTTGCAGACGGGGTCAAACGCCTGGATTTTATGGTTTTTCCCAATTCAATGCTTTGGGGGCAAAACCTGGCCGAAATCCTATTCTTGTTATGGCTTGCTTTTTGGAGAAAAAAACTTCAGAAACATAATTGGAAGAGGATTCCATAGAGGATTGCAGAAAAAAATTCTAAAAAAACTCAACGTTTGACCCATTTATGGCCAAAAGCTAGAAGTTCATTTTTTTCTGAATGGACTGTAGACACCCAGTACATCGGCATTATTACGCAGTGTTATGCCATACATGTTGTATAAAGGGATCACTGGCTAATACTTTGAAACATTGTGTAGCTCTGGAACGAGAAGAGAATAACTTCAAGCGGTGACTCTGACTGTCCAAATCATCAAGCAAATGAAGAACGATGCGAGTTGAAAGTAAGTTCGGGAACTACTTCGAACTCAATCGAAGTACAAATTGTACAATGTACCGGTACATGTATTGCTAGTTTGGTGTCGGCGTGCACGAATACATGGGCTTTTTCCATCGACGCTTCCTGTGCTTGCACACATGGAGCAGCAACTTACCGGTACAGGTGAAATATCGTTCCCAATACACGAGGAAAGTGCAATCTCGTCTGTCCTTCATCCCAAAACAGAAGGCCGTCCTTAATCTGGAACGAGGCAATCACTCTCAACCGGACGGTCACTTCAAAATAAGTCTCGCCAGTCTGCCGGTGGTCGTATCGAGTAGACTCTACTACCAGCACAAGGCAGCAGTCGTACCACTCACTGCACTGCAGTACAACTACAAGTCAAGTCCAAAAGGAGCTAGCCGCCTGCGTCCGCAGACTCTCGCTGCACTAGCACGTACGTAGACGTGGACGTGTTCAGTCCACGTGCGTACGTCAGTCACACGACAGCCCGCCGAAAAAAAGTTACGGTCGGGCTGAAAAATGTACGGTCGGTTGGGTGAGTCGAACCACAGACCTTCTTCAGTGTGGCCTTATTAACACTTTTCTCACTTTTCATATGCTGTACTGGTACTACTACTGCTACACAACTATTGACATGCCGTACCGCAAGCAACCAAGCAAAACAGCTTGCGATCTTTCACTTTTCAGAGCAGAGGCAATGAAAGAAAGCGTACTACCGGCAACATGATAACTTTGAAACTAGGCGCGAGTTCCGGTTCAGTATTCACAGGGAAGCAACATGCATGCAAACAAACAAAAAATGGAAAGAGAAGCAGAAAGAACCCGCAACCACACGACCATTGCTACGGGAATTACAAACATCTGTAATGGCCATCACCCTCAGCAGTAATGTCACGTATCAAAGCTGGGCTTATTCCTGTAGAAGCCGATGTCAGGACTAGGCTTCTACTCACACCAGGCTTCTATTCAAACCAGGCATTTCTATGTATGTCAACACTAAAATGAGGCTTATGTGCCGACAGTGTATCTTGAAAATAAGGTTTGTATTCAAAACAGGCTTCTAATAAGGCTTGTATTCAAAACAGGCTTCTATATGAGACAGGCAAGACACTACAGTATGTGTATAGTAGTAGTAACTTACCGTATTGTATTCCAGCAATAGTCGGATGGCTTCCGTCACTGCAAACACAACAACAATCACAAGAATCAGAACATGAAGAAAAAAGTTCAAAAAACCATCGAGTAGTGCAAGCAGTCCACGGTGGTGGCTTCGTCTAACAGTTAAGCCCGATTCATACTTCATGTCGCGTACGGGAAACGCGTCGCGAAAAAGTTGATCTGAGCTCAACTATTTCGCGTACGGGAAGCCCATCGCACGACGGTCGCGCGATGGGTTTCCCGTACGCGAGATGAAGTATGAATCAGGCTTTAAGAGGTCTTCGCGCTACAGCGAATCCATACATGAACAACGCACTACAATGCTCGTTCAAACTGGCTGTCTGATAATCGCCAAAGCATGAAACTCTGAGTAACAGCAGTCATTATCAAGCAGAGTTTCCCTTCTCTGCACCAATATTCATTATGCATGTACATAATGGGTTGTCATAACAAGCAAGTCATGTACAAGAAGGTAGCAGAGCCTATCTTATCCAAGCACAATGGGATCGGTGGGGCCCCATAATGGCCATATCCCAGATCTGTACGTAACTGGGTAATGCCCTACGCCCATAAAGTATACGGAACATCACTCTCTTGAGTTTTCAGTTCGGCCCACTGGACCAAGACTAATATCATTGTACAAGCACACACAATAGGACCATAAGGCCGAGCGTCATGCGGCCAAGAAAACAAATGTGCTGGGGTACACACCAGCATAAGGACAGCTCAACGCTGCACTCAGGTCTGGATGTGGCAGCGATCGGTATGACAGGGGTCGGGTTTCACTCGCCCCACCTGTAATATGGCCGACCATAATCATACTGTTTATATGGTATGATAGACTTGCTATCAACAGGAAAGAATGTTGAGACTGTGGATAGAAACTCCATGATTGCCCCACAACCGCTATATTTATGACTCAAATAATTATGTACATATCACATAGTACAAGTGCAGCATGGTACGAAAGGCGTTCACAACAGGCGCAATACCTTGCCCCATATAAATCCATTTGTGCAACAAAACGCTAATAACAACTCCCTTACCGGGTATTTCTATCTCCTCTCCATCACTACTTTCACCACCATAAGTAGAATGGCTGGTTGAAGAAGAGTCATCTATTGGAGTTTCCTCCGAGTGCTGAGGTTCAGGATCTGTGTTAACGGCTGGTTGTTCGGCAAGGGTACTATCCAGCTCTTCCTGAGACTGATGTTCTCCATGGTGCATCAATGTCTCCTGTTCTCGTTGCTCTTGCTCCTGCTCTCTCAATAGCTGTTCTCTCTGCTGCTGGTCTTTCTCTTCCTGCTCCCTCAGTTTCTGGCCGTTCTCTTCCTGCTCCCTCAATAGCTGTTCTCTCTGTTGATGGTCTCTCTCTTCCTGCTCCCTCAATAGCTGGTCTTTCTCTTCCTGCTCCCTCGATAGTTGTTCTGTCTCTAGCTGTTGCTGCTGCTGTTCCTGTTGAACGTGCTCATAATCAGTGGATGAAACATCAGCGGGTTCTACAGTAGCATTGTCTTCGCCAGCTTCTGGCAAGTCCTGCATGCCTGGCCCATCACCAGTAGCAGGAATTTCACTGGCTGAAGATGGTTCATCCGTAGGATATGCGCTATTGTCCATCTCAGTTGCCGGGCTATCTTCAGGTTCCTGCGGTGGCTCTGCGGTGCCATGCTCCATGGCTCGGTCAACATCCTGCTGTTCTTGCTGTTCGTTCACAACAATAGGCTGCTGCTCGCCAGGTTGAAGCAATATATGTTGCTCTTTCTGCTCGTGCTGTCCCTGATTTAGTTCTAGTTGTTGTGCCTCCCTCTGTTGTTGTTCAGTGTGTTGTGACTCGTCGCCTTCTCTTTGGTCGCTCTCTTGTTGTTCTCTCTCTATCTGCTGCTCGTGGCCTTGCTGCTCGTGTCCTTGCTGCTCGTGTCCTTGCTGCTCGTGTCCATGCTGCTCGTGTCCTTGCTGCTCGTGTCCTTGCTGCTCGTGTCCTTGCTGCTCGTGTCCTTGCTGCTCGTGTCCTTGCTGCTCGTGTCCTTGCTGCTCGTGTCCTTGCTGCTCGTGTCCTTGCTGCTCGTGTTCCTGCCTGTCCTCTACTCGTTGCATATGATCGTGAGCGAGTGGAACATCAGCTGGCTCTTCTCTAGCGTTGTGTTCATCAGTTTCTGGTGAACCCTGCACGGTATTCAACTCACCAGAATCAGCCATTTCACTGGCAGCTGGTGGCACATCGGCGGGACCGGCACCATCACCAGCTTCAGTTGCCAAACTATCGACTGGTTCCTGAGGAGGTGCTGCAGTGCCGGACGCATCTGCTTGAAAGCCACCATCCCCATCAAAATCCTCCTTCTCCTCCTCATCATCATCATGGTAGTCTGCTTCATCGGCATCATCGTGATGGTCATCCGCACCTTCTCTGGGCGTATCTTCAGCAGGCGGTGGAACCTGTGCGTGTGATTCACCAGCGGCATTGCCAGCCAAACCATCAGCACTCACACCACCAGAAACACCTGTCTCACCAGTGAGCCTGCTGTCCTCAGAACTCGTGGGTGTATGAGTAGGCAGAGAGGGATCAACAGGTGGCGTTTCAGACCTAGAGTCGACGGTAGATGACGCAAGCTGGTCAACGTCATCAGTCTGGCCGTCACCTTCTCGAGCACTCTTTTCGGCAGCGAATTTTGCTTGCATTTTGGCAAACAGGGCAGATCCTGTAGGCTGAACGGGTTGATCATTTCGTACCTGCTCCTGCATGCGTGTCTGTTCCTGAATGCGTGCCTGTTCCTGCATGCGTGCCTGTTCCTGCATGCGTGCCTGCTCCTGCATGCGTGCCTGTTCCTGCATGCGTGCCTGCTCCTGCAAGCGCACCTGTTCCTGCAAGCGTTTCTCTTCAACAAGTTTCCTTTCAGCTTGAAGACGCTCTTCCTTCAGTTTTTCTAGGAGCTGTTGCTGCTGACTTATGTCTTGTTGCCGCCAATCAGGCTGGCCACCTTCAGTGGCTGCATCAGGTAGTGCTGTTGGTGCTGGTGGAACTGCGGTAGGCTCCTGCTTCACTTCTTCCGCACCATTGTCCGTGACAGTGGATGGGTTAGCAGGATTAACTGATTCCTGGTTCTCTACATTATGCGTGTCGGATTCAGCAGTAGCCTTGATCGGATCAGCATTGTTAGTAGCGACAGGTAGGGCAGTGGGATCACCTGATTCCTGGCTGGCGACATCAGTAGCAGGGTCGGATCCAGCAGGAGTAGCCTCGGTTGGACCAGCATCGTCATTAACTGTAGGATGGGTAGTGGGATCAAATGCTTGCTGGCTACCAGTATGGTGGGCTGGGTCAGATTCAGCAGTATTTGAATCTGTGCTGTCGCCTACTATAGGCGGGAGGGTGGGATCGATTGCTTCCTGGCTAATAGAATCATGACCAAGATCGGACTTGGTGTCAGCACCAGCTGCAGCAGAATCCTTGTCCAGCGCACCATCATCCACCTGCTCTGGATCATCGACTTGACTTGGGTCTCCCTGTGTTGCAGCATGCTCTGGATCACCACCGTTAGCTCTCCATTGTCGAACTTGCAGTGGAACATTATCAACCGGCACGTCCGTTTTTCCGTCCTGTTGTTCACTAGTAAAAGAAGCTGTAGTCTGAGCATCATAATTCACGGCTGATGGCTGCCTTTCTCCAGTATTTGACTCCGGGGTACGTACTTCAGTGTCTTGTGTCGGGACGGCAGCTTGTGCAGGCTCTGCAATCTTGTTCTGAGAACCTTCAGCTGGAAACTCCCGGCCGTTGATTTGTGCAGACCGTGATAAACCAGGATGTTGTTGCTGCTGCTGCTGCTGCTGCTGAGGTTCCTGCTGTTGGTTGTGAGCCACTGGTACTGGAGGAGATTCATGCAGAGGCTTTGTGTGATGAGTTTGTCCGCCATGATGTTGTGGAACATGACCTGGTGGATTCAGCCCTTGTTGTTGCTGCTGCTGTTGCTGTTGTTGTTGTTGTTGTTGTTGTTGTTGTTGTTGTTGTTGTTGTTGTCGCTGCTGTTGTTGAAGTAGTTGTTGTTGCTCATGTAGCTGCTGTTGTTGACGAAGGTTCTGTTGTTGATGAAGTTGTTGTTGCTGATGTAGCTGCTGCTGTGGGGGTGGATGCTGTTGCTCATTTTGTTGCTGCTGCTGTTGCTGCTGATGTTGTTGATGTAGTGGTTGTTGTTGTTGCTGCTGGTGCTGTGGAGGTTGTTGTTGTTGTACCTGCTGTTGCTGCTGTTGCTGCTGCTGCGGTTGAGGTACATCTTGCTGATGATGCTGTTGGTGTTGACGTACTTGTTGTTCTTGATGTTGGTGGTGGTGCTGCTGCTGCTGCTGCTGCAGGTTAGGCTGCTGCTGTGTGTTTGTGTGCAAGCTGGGCTGATCTTGAGCAGGTTGGTGTTGACGGTGCATCTGCTGCATGTCTGGATCAGTTCCTTGCTGTTGAGCTGGTGGAGAATGTGGTGGGAGATTGGACTGCGGAACACCTGGCAATCTGCTGCCGTCACCAGCTGGTTGGGAAGGGTTCGCCTGGTCTTGCTGCATTCTTACGGTTTTCTGTTGCTCGGTTCGCCATAAGTCTTCCAGCTCAGTTTGCTGTAGCCACAGTCATAACAGCAACCACACAACACACACACACACACAGAGTCAAAAGAGCTACATCTAGTCAGACAAGCCATTTGAAATAGAAATAACAGTCTACGACCATGATTGGGAAACATACACCAGGATCAAGGTCTGCTTGGAAGCGGGTGGATGTTTTCAACCGTGCTGTGACCCACAGTCAATCGGGAATGCATGGCCTGGGACACGGGTAACATGCGTTCAAACGGGATTTTGGGCCTTGGGCTCTGGTTGGTGGATCTGCTGTATCCTCCCTCACCGTTTAGAGGCTGCATCCGACTCCTCATCATGGGGTGGTGCCATCCGACAGAAGCGGAAAGGTATTTCTTGACCTACCCGGCACACAGATCCGTTACATTGATTTCCTTTCTTTCTTTACATATTCATTTGAAAGAAAACAGTGACTAAGCCTTGAACAAGTACACACCAATCTAGAGAAGTATACACACCGCGATATTAACGGCACATCAAAGTCCCCGAAGATTCCCACAGAGGTGAAAACTTAGAATGAATTGATTATCTTGCAGTGAGACCAAGAGGAATGAAGGGATTTTAAGAAGGGGCATCTAGCCGTTAAATAAAAATTACATTATCTGCTAGTAACTTCTTTGTAACAAACACCAGGAACTCCTCCACCACCGCTGCTGTCGCTGCCACGACCACGGCCAACACCACAGCCATGGCCAACACTGAAGTCAACACCACAGTCCACACCCAAGTCAACACCACAGCCATGACCACTACCACGGCCACAGCCAATGTCACAACTACCAACAAGGCCAACATCACGACGACGATGACCACCACCAGCAGCACCATAGTCACCACCAACAGCACCACCACTACCAGCACCGCCACCACCATAGCCACCAGCACCACGGCCACCACTACCACTACCACTACCACCACCACCGCTTGTTATGGACCATCTGAGAGCCTCAATATCTTTCTTGCTGCTGAAGTGGTTTGTTACGTGTTTTCGTGGCCGCCGGGCATCTTACCTGCGCCGCGGATCATGTTCCACCAGTGCCGCCTTAATGGTTTGTAGGCTGGTCGGCTTTCGTAGCATGCTCCATCTAATAATAGCCTGCATCTCGTTGTGGGTTGGCAAGTAACTTTTAATATTAGTTGATTGGCACGGTACAAGTTTTAATATTTTTATTTTTATCGGTTCTTTAATAATATACTGGATTTCGGTAATTATTTTATTCCGCTTGGTTTCGACATTTTGCATCACATTTTGCAGTTTTCCCGGAAAAAAGCTTTGCGTACCACCACCACTACCAGCACCACAACCACCAGCACCACAACCGCCACCACAATCACTGCCAGCACCAGCAGCACCACCACCGCCACCACGGTCAGCACCAGCACCACCACAACAGCCGCCATGGCCACCACCACCACCATAGCAACCATCATCATTACCAGCAGCAGCAGCAGCAGCAGCAGCAGCAGCAGCAACAGCACCACCACCACCACAGAAACCACACTGCATCAATTGCCAGGACCAATACTGACCGGTCGAGGCTCAGCAATCTGCCTTGTTTCTTGCACCGCACTAGCGGGGAAATAAGAACTTGCTCCATCTCCAACCTGGAAAACATGGCACATGGTAATTTACAGACACATTTGTGTTCTACCACTATCGCTATCATCAACAGAGCGAACACAGCTAGCCAGACAGTTCTATTTATTTTTTTAAGTGGCTGGGTCTTTTCCAAAAGTGAATTGTTACTAAGCAAGTACGGCATTATAGTCAGCTTTGCAATTCACAACCCTCGATCGGGCATGCGCAAAGTGTTGCTAAATTCGTTCTCACGTTAATTAGATACACTTCGTATACATGCACATTTTACCATGGTGCTTCATGTGTAATGGTCCTGCCATTGAAAGAAATATTTGAAAAATGTGGCCCGCTTTCTTTTACAGTACGGGACATATGTTGTTGGTTTGACAGCATTAAACAAGATGGAGGACACCGTATTCGGAAACAGTGACCTTACTACAACCATCCACGGTTGGTAGAGCCATGTATGAACTATAACAAGGTTTATCTAATACTAGTACTGTACTAGTATTGGATTATCTAATACGGTACGGGACATGTATGGGGTAGCCATGTCTGGTGTGGATAGCCATGTCTGGCGCGTCAAGTGATGACGGGCCCGCTCGACGCCACACACACAGACACACACACACACACACAATAAAGCGGTGTGGACCCTGGATAGCGCCAGACGCTACTAAAGTAACGTCTTTCGCATACTGTAATGTCGCGTATAAAAGCAGGTGCTTTCGGCTGTATAAGCCGGGGTTCAGACCATGCTTCTATTCAAAACATGCTTCTACGTCAACATCATCAGTCCACACTGTGCAGTGCATGCTGCCCCGCATGTACTGTGCAAGTACTTGCACGTGTCTTTGCACAGAGCAGCTTCTATTCAAATCGTGCTTCTGTGTCACGGCGCACTTCGAAAAATCGGCTTCTATTCCAGTCATGCTTCTATACATGTCATGCTTTTATACATGTCATGCTTTTATACATGTCATGCTTCTATACATGTCCTGCTTCTATTCCAGTCATGCTTTTATACGCGACACTACGGTAGCTACGGGAACTGATTTCGTTTGGCTCATGCATCGCAAGTACACACTGGGGCAGAGCTGGGTCCATTTCCCGAGGTGCTAATGGGAACTAATAAAATGCGCACTGAGATTGTAAGGAGAATCTCTAGTGGAGCGTTGTGAGGGTTGAAGAGCTTGACAGTGTGAATAAAGTGGCTCACCTTGCCTTCCCAAAGCTCTTGGTTACCTCCACTGATTTTACTTAGCACTTGAATCACATCACCTTTCTTGAACTTCAAATACCTGTCATGAACAACTGACGAGTCCTCCAAGGCAACTGCTTCGGAGATTACATCTGTGCACAATCAAGGCAAGCATTTCCATTCACTAAACCCCAGATGTCCGGACAAGCTCAGCAAATGAACACTTTTTTATACCTCGACAGGTTTTATCGGCACAAAGACGAACACGCTGGGCAGAGGCTAATGCCGCCAAATGCAAAATACATGCACAGAATAAAACACTTCTGGCGTCCATAAGGCTGAAGGTTACTAATGATCTACATGTGCGTACTGAAAGGTTGGAACAAGATTCAACAAATTGCAAACAATCAAAAAAAGTTTAGGATACTGCCTGCACAGTCTGTTCAGCGTTCAATCAAGACTTCAAAAAATGTTCAATGAAGAAAGAAGCACTGCATGACGCACTCTGCACTGCATGACGTTACCATCATGTGCGCATGTTCACGTGCAGGTTGTTCCGTGCTTTTTCAAGTGCGCTTCGCCACGTGGCATAAAGCCATGACGTTGCGCTGGTAGCCAGGCAAGTAACCATGTCAACAAAGCGGACGCGGTTGTTTGGAGCATTTTCAAAAATCAGAAAAGGTCGATACGATTACGAGGTCAGTTTTTGTTTTTGATGTCAGGCTAGGTTTTTTTGGAATGGCGAAGAGGTAGCAGACATAGCACTAACAGTTAAACTTGTGGCTTACAACTTCCAAAGCTTCTAGACTAGAGCCTATTTTGTCAACCAGTCAGAAGTGAGTTGTGCTTGTATAGCTAGACTGCTGCTGAAGCGTTTAGTGCGAGTCCACACGAAAGGACTTCTCGCCATCGAGTACTAGTATGTCGCAGTTATCTCAGTTTAGGGAAAAGCTGCAGTTGTCGTCGTCTAGTCAACGTAAGTAATTGCTACAAAGATACATGTACTTGCATTTATAGTTCATTATCAGACTCTGTTTCATGGCTGGATTCACTGTATGCGCGTGAATATCTCTGGAAATGAGAAAATTAATTGATCCTGTCTCTTTTTCAGGGGTTTTTGCCACATAATTTCCATTTCGCATTTCAAGCTGTTTTGCCTTGTCATTTCCCCGTCTGACTTGGGTGTGTGTTGATTTGTAGATGCCACAAGTGGGGCGACCTCTTCTGATACGGCCACAAAGACAAGTTGTTCAGCAACAACTTCTCGGATCTCACCTCTGGCGGATATGCCCTCACTGTCCACATCTGCACTGTTGATGCCGCGTCGCATTGAGCGTAAGAAACAGTCACCAGATTCCAGTGCTATAGCAACAGTGGCAGCAACATCAGTAGCTGCAACAGTATCAGCAACAACATGCGCAGCAGCAGCGACGTCCACATATCAGACACCCACCGTGTCTTCCTCTGCTGCCATGCTTGCTAGCAGCGCAGTGGCCGGGCGAAGAGCATCTGTGCCGACTTCCTCTGGTTCAGCGACAAATAGTGCTTCCTCAGAGGCACACACTGGCCGCTCAAAGCTGGGATTGCAGGCACCCATTCGTTTTAATCCAAACTCTTTACTGGAGGACAGTGACAGTGATGGTGACAGCAAAGCTAAGGGCAAGGGCCGGAAAAATGGCGCGGAAAAGAAGCCATATAGCACACTACCCGCCGGCACTGAGCATGCTTCAGCAAGTCAAAGCAGACCCAGTGAGCACCTTTCACAGAAGAGAAGTTCAGTGACTGCTATACCGGTATCATCATCCTGTAGAGTTAGTAGTAGTAGTAGTTGCACGTCAGCTCAACAGCACCGTCACCAGCACCGACTACAAACAGCATCGCTGAATTCTTCACCTCCTCTTCCACGAGCAGAATCAGTGCACACTGGTGAAGCCACACCATCAACTGTTGGAGTGCGCAAGTTGAATGCCCAGTTGGAGAGGTCCTCACTTGACAGCAAAACTCCGATCGCTGCCAGCGAGCCAAGTCACTCCAAATACTCTACAAGCCACCGACAAGTCGGATCCAATGCTTCGAGTAGGGACTCAATCACGCCACGCCAAACTGCAGCTCTTTCTGGCAGCTCAGCACCTCAGCATGCTCTAACAGTCACAAATACTGCGCCATCAACATCATTCAGTACCACTGCAAAGGGCATTTCAACTGTAGGGTCAAGAATGCAACAGCAACAACTGCAGCAGCAGCAGCAACAACAACAACAACAACAACAACAACAACAACAACAACAACAACAACAACAACAGCAACAACAACAACAACAACAACAACAACAACAACAACAACAACAACAGCAGCAGCAGCAACAACAACAACACCAACACCAACAGCAGCAGCAGCAGCATGAACAGCCGCATCAACATTCACAGCAGCAATTACGTCAACAACAGCAGCAGCTACACCAGCAGCAACAACAACAACTGCATCAGCAACAGCAGCAGCAGCAGCAACATCAAACAACGACAAATATGACACCTGCTGCTAGCCACATGGCACCTGCAGCAAGCGTCCAGCATAGCAGCAGTAGCTGTGTGCAAGGAAGCCAGACTCATGCTGAAGCTACACCATTCACACCCATCGTGTCCAACTATGGTCATGCTGGTTCGTTGCATGCTAGTCGTCCTCAGGCCCATGATGCTGCTCACATGCAACCACCATCGATTCAGGCCGGCCATGGCGGTCAATTTGGAAGTGACTTCTCCAAAATAACTCCTATCAGTGTCTCTGGAAAGCAGTACCTGCGGTTCTCAGCAATCGGCAAAGGTGGCTGTGGAAAGGTAGTACTACTCTAGTATGTGTTCAATCCACTGTCTGATTCCACTGTCTGATTCCACTGTCTGATTCTGGTTTCACTGGAAGTTCTTCATTGCAGTCTGTGCACCTACACTAAGCTACAGTGGTAGGAAGTGAAACCCAACCTTGTGAATTTAGCCTATAGTTTTGTAGTCGCAGCGGTGACTGCACAGCTCAGTGTTTGAAGTGTTAGGGCGACGCAACCCTGGTGCTACTGTTATATCCATGAGGTCGGGTCTCATTTGCCACCACTCCACATGATGTTGTGCAATGTGCATTGCAGCATGCCTTAGCTGAACGCTCACACAACCCACAAACGTGACCATCATGTGCTTGGTTGGTCTCCTTGTCCAGAGTCTCATTGCTAGAGATGATAGCCAGCCATGCTTGGTTGGCAGCCACCTTGCTTGGTCCTGGTTCTAGTGGTCCCCTGGAACTGTTGCTATCCATGATATGACTGCTATTTGCTAGTTGGTTATTTGTAGCTGTCAGATGTATTTTTCCAGTTTTGTGTCATCTTGCTACGCAAGTAAGTAGGAGAGAGAGAGAGAGAGAGAGAGAGAGAGAGAGAGAGAGAGAGAGAGAGAGAGAGAGAGAGAGAGAGAGAGAGAGAGAGAGAGAAAGAGTAGTTAGTCAAGGAAGTTAGCGCTGAACTACATGTAGCCCCATGTCTTGTACCCCTGCTTCCCTTGCTTCAACATGCCATTGTGTTTGGTTTCCTTTGCATCCTAGGTGTATCGTGGACTGTCGTCATCTCTTCAAATGGTCGCGATCAAGCACGTTGATGTGGGTGAAGAAGTCGGTGCTGATTGTCGCGAGGAGCTGATCGAGTCCTGCTTGAATGAGATCACAACTCTGCAGCACCTGCAGCATAGTGAACATGTTGTTCGTCTGCATGGCTGGTAGGTTTGACTGTCTCCATATGCAATGCAGTGAGTGACACTGCCAGAATTTCCTTTTGTTATAATATATGGGGGGGGGGGGGTAAGCAGCCGCTTTTGATTCGGTCCATCATTACTTTAATCCAAACTCCCCACCACATGTTCTCTCCGGCTGACCTTGTCCACCATACCAGCAATACAACTCCAGGCTGTAGCAGATACAATACAACTCCAGGCTGTAGTAGATACAATACAGCTCCAGGCTGTAGCAGATACAATACAGCTCCAGGCTGTAGCAGATACAATAAAACTCCAGGCTGTAGCAGATACAATACAACTCCAGGCTGTAGTAGATACAATACAGCTCCAGGCTGTAGCAGATACAATAGAACTCCAGGCTGTAGCAGATACAATACAACTCCAGGCTGTAGCAGATACAATACAACTCCAGGCTGTAGCAGATACGAACTGCAGTACAAGTGCAAGATGACACTGATTCGCGTATAAGGCACTGCGGGCATAGTTGCATGTGACACTGTAGGGGTAAAAGATCCTAGCGCACTGAAATAACACACTGAGTATTGAGATGACAGTTCAGACTTTGGGCTTCAGCACTGCACTAGAAGTAGTCACGTGAGAGGCCCCTTGAGTGCTCACTTCTAACACTCACTCGCCACCAAACTGCTCAGTGGTCACATAGCCAGGCGTCACCGTAGGGTAAATGAAAGTCTGAACTGTCACCCCAATACTCAGTGCGTTATTTCAGTGGGCTAGGATCTTTTGCACATTGCTCATTACATGTAGCTATGCCCACAGTATCTCACACGTATCAGTGTCATCTTACACTAATTGTCCGTGTGCTTGCACTTTTGTTACCTCAAAGGCGTGATCACGCCATTTCATGCTCACACTTGTGCTCTGTATAAAAAGAGCTATTCGCAAGAGTTAGCCTCCCGGTATTCTTAGAACCTTCACTGATGAGACCTGTAAGTTTGAAACAGCTGTGTGGAGGAATTTATGCCCGAATCTGCTACAGCCTTGGGTTGTTTTGCTGGTGTGGCGAAGAAGGTCAACTGGAGAGCATCTGTGGTGGGAAGTTTGGACTAAATTGATGTGTTTATAAGGGAACAAGGCTGATGGCATTCGTGTTTCAGAAATCTGTGTTCAATACATGACGATGCCTGGAATCTTGCCTCGGGGCTCTATGCCTGACTAACCAATGTAAATTTCTTGTTGTTGTTGTCGTCGTCGCTGCTGTTGTTGACTGACCAATGTAAATTGTCTGGCTGTGCTAGTTCAGTAGTTCTGATTTACTGACATGCACAATCAGTCATGAGCACATCTGTCAAGCGGAGAGCCTATTGCTTGTACATGCTACATGCTACATTGAATCAGTTTTCTCCTTTCAGGTCTGATCCCCGGACTGTATATTTTCTTTCCGCTCCTGCAGTCCCTTCTTGTCAGGAAATCTTGATGTGATCTTCACTCCTTTGTGTTTGCTCCTATGCATATCTGCAGGGAGCTTACCCCCGACCGCCTCAATATTTTGATGATAATGGAGTGCGGTGACTGTGATCTGGCGACGTTTCTCCAGCGTCAGTCTGAATTTTTGCCACACTATGTCGACGGCCTATGGATACAAATGATCAGATGTGTGCGAGTCATACACGAGCAGCGTATCGTGCACAGCGATTTGAAGCCGGCCAACTTTGTATTCTTCTCCGGCACTCTGAAGCTGATTGACTTTGGCATTGCGGCCAAGCTCATAGGAGATGTGACGAGTATAGCTCGAGACGCACGCATTGGTACGCCGAACTACATGGCACCGGAGTGTATTCGTGCGCAAGGCAGTGCCAGTCTGTGCAAGGTACGTCGTCCTGCTTCATGTCCGCTGTGTGGGTATGCATGTCCAGAGGCAAGGCAGATCCCGGTGTCACTTTGCCTTCCTGTGCATCCTTCAATCTCTTCCGTTGTTGCGCAATGAGATACTGTAAAACCACTATTAAAACGATTTAAAATGTTGAAGTCATTTTGTGTAAAAAAATAAAATGTAAAATAAAAATGTATGTTTACAGTCATTTGCCGGTTTTGACAACCAGAATTCGTTAACATTTCACCTCCCTATGCAACAAAAATCGGAAGATCGCTACTTTTAATTGACGTTCAAACATGTGGTCTTACAGTAAATGAGCTGGGCTAACAGCAGTCTATGTTGTGAATTTGTGATTGGGCCATGTCTATCTAGTTAGGCATGGTTGTGTCCTATTTAGTATTTACCAATATGTGTCTTCCTCGAGTCTCAAGACCTGGGATGTTGCATACTACATTTTATGTTGCGCCCAAGCCCTGTCTGCTACCAGTGCCACACTACGATGTATTTCTATTTCAAAGCCTTTCTGAGTGCGACTGTTTCTTGTGTTCGTGTGCAGGCCAATCCGAAAAGTGACGTTTGGTCACTTGGTTGCATTCTCTATCGAATGATATATGGCAGAACGCCGTTTCAGCACATAGCTGATCCTGTTTCCAAGTTCTGTGCCATTGTTGACAAGCGCCAGGAGATTTCATTTCCACCGCTTCGGAGTGCATCCGCTCTAAATGTGTTGAAGGTAAGGAAGACCTTAGGTGCTGACACACTGAATATAATACTGGACTTGGTCTGTCTGCTGGTGAATGGTTGTGGATAGTGGCATTTGTGTGTGTTCAGATCTTCACGGGATACCCGGGTATAGGCTCGCTGCTGGATTTTGCAGAATAAATCTCGAAAATTTGCGCAAGAAATTGCGGCAGAAAACAATAAACAATAAAAAAAAAATGCAGCGAGAAGTGCGGATGAGTGCTTTTCCGTGGACCAGGATGCTGTCCGCCCGTGTTTTCTGCACCCACACCAGCAGTTTGTCCTCCAAATCGCCATACAGGGGGACGATGTGTCACGGAGCCGACGTCTTCTTCGCATGGTGTCTCCACGTTTCTTGCGTCCACCAACAGCTTGCCGAATTGACGCCTCGCTGCTCCAACATCGCTCCACTACACGGCGCGACACTTTGAATATCCATAAAACACGTGAAGGGAGTACTGTTCGGCAGGTGTAACACAGCAAAGGCGTGGTATGGTATGATGTGATGCTAGGTCAAATTCTTCTGCCAAGGATTTCCAAGAAGCGAGGATAGCATCGGGAAGTCGCTCGTCCCAATCTATCTTCAAATGCCAAACTTCTTGTGACAACAGTTTAGCCTTTACAACAATTGGAGCATGTATGCCTAGTGGATCAAAGAATTGTGCTACCGCTTGCAGTAGTTCCCGCTTGGTGCGCGCTAAGCTGGATGAGGCTGATGAGTCGGCAACACCTAGGTGGTCATTGAGAGTGTTCCAGTCGAGGCCGAGCACCCGCTGATCGGCGCCCGCTGCACGATCCGACTCGGGAATGCTGTCTAAGAGTTGAGCCAAGTTGGTGGACCATTGACGAAGATTCATCGCTGCATCCGAGAATACTGACTTCGCTTTGTGGTAATACTCTTCTCCTGCTGAGACCGAGGCAACGCCGAACAAGACGTTGTCAACATACGTGTTGCGGAGGATGTTAGGAGTGTCCAACATTCCAGAGTCGTCTAGATGATGCTTCAAGGTAGCACCGAGGAGAAATGGGCTGCTAACTACGCCAAATGGGACACAGCAGAATCGATACGTAACTAAGTTGATTCCAGAAGGAGGCTTCTGCAAGTCCCGCACCCACAGAGATCGAGTTACGTCGCCATCTTCGTCCGCAAGTGAAATCTGGAGAAAGGCTTTCTCCACATCGCTTGATACCGCGATGGGAAAGAGACGAAATCTTAACAGTACACCTGTTAGGTCGGGAGTAGGACCGGAACTCGGTACAAGCAGTCGCGTAAGCTGGGACTGTTGGCATGAGACTTGGCCAAGGCATCATACACCAAGCGAAGTTTGGTGGTTGTGCTTCTCCTTTTACACATGACTGTAGGTAACTGAACCTTTCAACATCAGATAGACGTGCATTGGTAGCAATGGTTGAATTGAACATATCCATGAAATGGTGATATCTCAAAACATTGCCATCGAAGGATGGGAGTTGCAACTTAGGTAAGGAGACACTAGATTGTGCACTGGAAGGTGTCTTCGACAAGTGCTGCAATACACTGGTGGTCTGCTGTTGACTTTGTACCTGAGCTTTCACCAAATCCTCCATGGACTTCAAGAAAGCGTCAGTGGAGTATGTGCTGTTGCACGCTGCACTGTTGCTGGTGGTTGGTATAGATCTACGAGTAACTCTGGCCTTCAATTCTTCAAGGACTGCAGTCAGCTTGCGAGTCCTTTGTTCACAATTGATTTGAAAATTCAGGCACGAGTCAACAGCAGCCTCTACGTCGTTTGCAGGGTTTCCAAAACCAGCACCAAATGTTTCACACTCATGCCCACAAGCAGCAATAGCAGCAGTAAATTCAATTAAAAAAGGACTTAGCTTTCGATGGCATCCTGGACTTGGGCCTCGTCGACGGGCTGCAAATAGGTGTCGGACGAGGCGTAATCTTGCTTGACAATATGGAGGTTTTTGTCGAGCCTTTTCTTCGCCGTTCGTTGTGGACCCGTCAGCTTGGTCTGAATTTTCAGGATCGACATGGCGGACTTGAACTAAAGTAAACGGGTTTCGGCACCAGTTTGTGGTGACAGCTATGCCCTTGGTTTATACTGAATGTCACACACAAGAAAACTGGTTGGTTGCTCTGACATCTTTAAATTTTCTGACACTGGGCAGAGCAACTAAAACTGAAGTTTCTTGATCTTTATGTTCTGAAAGAGTAAGCTGATTTGGAGTGTGCGTGTATACGGCTAGGCTAGAGATCGCGCATGCCTGATATGCGCGTGTGTGCTGTGCTGCGCATGCCTGCAGTCATTCAGCATATGGACTAGAAAAGGCAAGGTCAGAAAAATAGGCTCTAGCAGTAAAATTTATGTCAGATTTATAATTACGGAAAAAGTACGCGCGATAGGGTCAAAAATGATCACGAATGATTGTTCGTGACACAAACACTTCTAGCAAAAGAACTCTGATCGCTCATGCGCGTTTAAGTGAAACAAAATTCATTAGGAAAACTGGGTTTGTAGCAAAAATTCGCTTATAAATGTGCTCTTATGTGCGTTATTGCGGTATGTGTTGCTCATCTGCTGCTCTCTATAGAGGTGCCTAGTGCGAAACTTGCGTGTTAGAGCCAGCGTCAGCGACTTGATGAGTACGCCCCTGAACTACGCAAGTCAACTGCAACCGGCGGCGAACACAACTTCTGTGTCTTCAGCCTCGTCCGAAGCTAACATTTCTTCAACGCCGTCCCTTTCATCGAAGGTATGTGCGGTATTTCTTGTGTAAAATGTACCCCTCCCACATTTGATCACAATTTGGACCGCTCCAGGTACATTAGCTACATATGTGTACGTCCTTATGTCCAGAGTACGGTGTATGCACACCCTATTCAAACCAAAATACTTATATGTATGTCAACACTAAAACAAGGCTCTGTGTGTGTGTGTGTGTGTGTGTGTGTGTGTGTGTGTGTGTGTGTGTGTGTGTGTGTGTGTGTGTGTGTGTGTGTGTGTGTGTGTGTGTGTGCCTGTCGGAAGGCTACCCTCTTGCCAAAGCATTTTGGAAGCTGGACTAGTTTCGGCTCCACAATCCAGTGTGTCGTTACTATAATTATAGCTTTCATGGCTGAGGTTGTTGGTACGTCTGTTGGCCCTGGGTTCCCAGTACCCAGTTGCCGAGGCTGGTTGGTAGAATAACTCCAATTTCACTTCAAGGTACCAGTGCATCTAGTGTCTGCTTTTATCAAAGCAGCGTGCTGTCTATACTGGTTACTCCAGCAAGTGTAGGGTGTGCATAGGTAACTGTCTTGGCCGTCCTATTCCGATGTACTCCGTGTGGTGTAGACCAGGTGTGCATTGGGGGGGTCGATTCACATGGCTTCGCCAGTTGTGTGGATTAGACAGTTATCTGGCGCTTGTCTTGATCTGTTTCAATCAGAATCAGATCCGCTATCGTTGCTATAAGAGAAAATCTGTGGGTGCACATCCAGTGCATTTGCAGATTTGCGTGCTTCTCTTGCGACGGGCGTATACATGGTACATGGTGTGTGTGTGTGTGTGTGTGTGTGTGTGTGTGTGTGTGTGTGTGTGTGTGTGTGTGTGTGTGTGTGTGTGTGTGTGTGTGTGTGTGTGTGTGTGTGTGTGTGTGTGTGTGTGTGTGTGTGTGTGTGTGTGTGTGTGTGTGTGTGTGTGTGTGTGTGTGTGTGTGTGTGTGTAGAACACAAGAACAGCGAGTACGCGGAAAGAGGTAAGCGGTATATTCTCGTATATTGCATGCATGTCATAAGACAGTAGGACAGCATCAAGAGATGGTGTGTTGCTGCTGCTGATGCTAGCATTATGCATTATGTATGCGCCAGAAATTAAATATCTAGACATCCAGTTGGTACTGGTGGAATGAACTTCTTTTTTGTCTTTGGAGCTTTCCCATGAATGCGTCTGCATGTGCATTTTATTATTATGCAATGATTACCGTGCTATGGTATGTTACTTTATTTTACTTCATCAAATGAACAGGCTTCTTTCCCCCTGGCATTTGTTTGTTTAAAACCGTCGTTTGTAGCAATACTCTGAATCCCGGGCCTTGATGTTGTGCCTCGTGCTAACTATTGGTCTGTTTTTCTTGACCCTTGTGGTGTTGTCTATTGTTGGCTGTCCCTTTCCGGTATCCATTCAGCATATGCGAATCTGTGGGCATTTATTTATCATATGGAAACTGCTGACATTGACGCGGAAATGCGATTAAAAATAATAATAAATGAACAGGCACTGATGTCCTTTCACCAGGCCGTTGGTCTGGGCCCTACAGGAGATTAATACATGTGCAGCTTGTAGTCATAGCTTTCCGTCTAGCTTTGAGGTGACATAGTCGAAAATAGTTTAAAATACATGACCAACATTTCCCTAACTTCTAGTTCCAAAACTTTTGGACAATCAGTGATCGCATTTAGTCTATTGCGACCTTAGGACATGCGCATTATAGGTGGAATTCTTATTTCAGAGGCAACTTTGAAAGGTTGGAATTTGTCTAGCCAGTGTTTGATGAGTTCTCTCTTTTGTAAATGTGCCTCTGCAGATTCCAACGTTTACTGGCAGCTTAGTGCCTCATTCACGCGTGCCACTGCAGCCGTCATCCGAAGGGAACGTGCTGGAGTTCCTCAATTCCCTGGAGAATAAGAAAGGTCCGGGAGCAAACAGTGACTTTTCTTCTGCTCAAGAGAATTGATAAGCCGAGTCCACATATGAATTATACTTGAATAGCCACAAATCATTGTCCTCAGGCACAAGCATAATATCATATCCCATTGGTCCATTGCTATTTGTGTTATTGCTGTTGTGCTCTTTACTTTCTCTTCCATTTTTGATCTCAAGTGAACATCAATTTTATGAGGTGGCAGCAGCAGCTTCATGGCCGAATATTCTTCTCTCTTGTCTGCAGTTGTACATTCAGGTTGCAATGCTGCCATGCTGTGTTTGATCGCTCTAGCCCGACACGTCAAGCTGTTTACACGCAGGGATTCCTTAGCTTGTGTCTTGTGCTGGGGCTGCAATGTAGCACTCGGCTGTTCACTCGAGTTAACATCAGTGTGTATTGCTGGAATTCCCACAATTGGATGTCACTACAGCAATTTGCAGTGAAAACCAGAGTGAAACTTTCACAGTGGTACAGTGTTTTGGTTGGTGCGAGCCTTGTGACTCGTGTGCCATGCTTACTCACAACACTTCCTATGCTTCCAGCGTTCTGCTTTTTCCCCACCAATACATTGTACCACCTTTACGTCAACTTCTTCCGAAGTATACACGCTCATATCCCATATCTTATGCATTTCCTTCTGTGTCTTACTCTAACGTTACCTCAATTCCACTTCAGGTTGTTTGCAGTGCTGGTGGCCCATTTCCCGTTCATGCATTAGGCCACAAGCTGCGCATCAAAACAAGCAGATTTTACTTTTGTAGTCAGTAGCACTATCAGATACTGGTAGAACTGCCATCAATATGCTGTCCCCGGGGAAAATTGCGATTCCGCGGCCGCGTTTTTTTCCGCGTTTTTTGCGATTTTTTAAAAGACCGCGTTTTCCGCGATTTTCACCGCGTTTTTTGAACTTTTTTGTTGCTCTACACGTACACACAGTGCACTGTTCGGTCAGCAACGTCACATCGTGGCGGCTTTTTACTCAAATATGACGAGTGCTTACACCAGAGACTTGTAACTGATTGATTTCACTACAATACTCACTGAAAATTGCCGCACATCAATATTATTCACCGCATATTTACCGCATATTTACCGCAAATTCACCGCAAATTATGCCATATTATGCCGCGTTTTTCCCCGCGTTTTTTGCGATTTTTTCCGCAATTTTCCCCGGGGACAGAATATGAGCCTCCGTGGATCTACTACCAAGACTCAAGAGACAAGAGTACATGACGGCCACTCTTGGTGCTACCGGCCTGGCTTGCATACTGGCCTTGCCCAATAACTACCGGTATTCAAGAGTACATAACCCCTGGGGTTATGTACTCTTGGTATTACTTATAATTTAAATAGATCTATGCAAAATGCAATCATAATTAGAGCCCGAGCGCGCTAAAACATGACCACAGCTTTTTTTGAAAAAGTCGAGATAATCGCGATTTGAATTCCGCGGCAAAAAATACGAAGTGCAGTGCAACGCGAGTCGCTGTTGTTGTTCTCCTCGGTCGACTGGACTGTTCCGGATGCAATTCTTTGTTGCAAGTAAGTTTATTTGTTTGAGTTTGTATTCCATGTTGGCTGAGTCGCCTAAAACTGATCGTCATCGATGTATCGACAGAAGAGCCAAGTAGTAGTAATGTACTGCGGAGCGGAAGAAGACGACATCATCGCACTCCATGCGCAGGATAAAATATTTTGAGGATTCGGGTCGGAAACAGAAGGAAGACGATGATGGCTACAGCGACGAGTCATTTGAGGGCGACACTTTCATCGAGCGTAAAAAGAATTGATGCTGGTAGTCCCACGATCTGCAGTGACGAGGAATTCTACTCTGATGACAACCTGGCAAGCGATTGGCATCGACACTGACTTGGGAGGTGAGTCGGCCGATGATTTGGCCAGTATGGACATCGCTGCACATATCCGGGACAATGCCAGTATTGGTTGCAAGTGCAAAAACAATCAATGGACTCTGCTGCTCCCTCAACTTGCTCAAGTCGATAATTTGAGTACCCTTATGCGGAACATCGCTAGCATGAGCAGTATGCAGCGAAAGCAGTACTCTCTGGCGAGCGGAGAAACCGTGTGCAGATGGGCTTTGGTGTGGGGAATATGAGTGCGACGTCTAGTATGTTGAGGAAGACTGTGTGCAGCAGTGTATACTGTATATCTGAAAGTACGGGTGGAGTGTGATGGAGAGGACATGGAGTGCCAACTTCTTCGGCCAGCTACAGATGTTGACCGTGTTTTCGCTGGCGGTTCTCCAGTGGTGCTCCAAACAGGAGGCATTTCGGACAAGCAGCTCAGCTGCCTATAGACAATTTGGATGTGGCTGAGTACCTGTCAGCTCATGCTATAAGACCCTGGACAGAGGAATTGACCCGGAAAGGATGAACCAAGGGGCATATCAATTGTGTGCAAAAATGACAATCCCATTGCTGTACATAGAATTTCACCATTTCAACAGTGCTGCATATAATACCATTGTAGCAACACTTAGACATGTCCGATCAATCCAAAACTTTCAGACAGTGAACATTAGGTGTGTTAGATCATTTTTAAACAAAAAAGGGAAAATCGAATTTTTGGTCTGTGGTCATATTTTAGCGTGCTCTGGCTCATGTAATTTACATGATTGCATTTTGCATAGATAGTACAGACTACACTCTACACTAGACATGCAAGTAGTACTAGGCTACAGACTACACTCACTGTGACTCAGTCTACAGTCGACTACAATACTCTGGACAATAGTCACGCATGATTCTGATGATTGCTGGAAAACTGTAGATCTACCGGCATGCGTACATGTAGATCTACTCCGCCGTGGTATGTAGATTTACTGGTGACCGGTGCACGGTGCACCGGTGGCAGACCACTCATGAGTCATACCACAAAAAGGCATGATGCCATGGTAGATCTCTACTTCAAGTCTTGTCAGCTGCTCTGATCCGAGGGGGATTCGAGGCAGACGAAAGAGATGCAGAAGATCTCGACGATGCGGCCGAACATCAAGCCGAAGGTCGTAACCCTAGATCTACCATGGTCCATGGTCACACGTAGATCTACAGTACACAGCCTCCAGCATGCATCGCTTCGTATCGTATACAAGACTGGCTGTGAATATCCCAGTGGTCAAGCGCGTGCGCATCAACGGTAGATCTACGTCTCAAAATCAGCCAATCAACGTGCAGCTCGTGTTTTGAACAGTGCTAACTGCGCATGCTCGATAACGCCATCTTCCCAATCAATCTTCCTCGTTCTTCGTCTTCCTGCTTCTTGCTACAGTACATGTAAGTAATGCCATGGTTGTGTGGTTCGTTTCGCTTTGTGGCTTCGTGCTGTTCCTCTTTTGTTTGTGTTGTCACTTCTCAAAGCTGCTGTCGGTTTCGTAATGCACCATGAAGGTGTAGCGAACCAGCCATGCCTTATCAAACGCCCGGATAGCGAGCAGTCCGTTCCTGGGACAAACACGAAATGTAAGGTCGTTTTCAAAAATGTGCCCTGCTTGAGCCCGAATTGAATTTGTCGTAGAAAAGTGACAGCTAAACAAGTTTATTCCAACCCCATCTCTAGCATGGACGGAGGGCTCTTATTTGGCCTGGTCAACTTGAGTCTTGCGATTGAAATGCTCGGTAATGAGGTTGCGTCCTTTGCAACTTTGCAAAGGTAGTTTGGTGTTTGCTAACTGCTTATATGTTGTACCTGCTTAGCACGTCTTTCCGATTCTTGTAGCGACCCTAGAGGATCCTCTGCAGAACGATTAGGAAACTGCTTTCTTTCATTTGTGTACGTTTTTGCTTCTTGGCAAGATTCGTGCTCAACGGCCTTGGCCAAAATGCTACCCACAGCGCATGCGCACGGAGGGTCGAACTCGCGCACATGGTCGTTGTTAGGTAGGGTCCTGAGCAGTGCTGATAATTATGGTGGTCGAGTTGGTCGTAATCTCTTCCTAATGCAATCTTATTAATCTTATTACTTTCGTGTCGTACTACACTTGACGCTTGTTAGGTTTCCTCACACTTGCACCTTTTTCCAATTTCGTGCTACCTGTAACTTGTTGTAAGTGACACCCATTCTCCGTTGTTGTTTTGACTCTTCTTCCTTGCGCTGTTTCTATCGCCTCTCGGGTTCAGGTTTCCTGAGGGAGTTCATTCCCGGGAAGATTTGTACCTGTCGAACCGGAGTGGACGCTTACAAGTCGCACCACTACAGCCGCTCTTTTCACCTCTCTTCATCTGGTCACAGTGGTGCTGCTACGGGTGCGCTTGTCTGTCCGGGGTCAGCGAGAGGTGCCAGTCACTGACTTATCTCCGGTCAAGTTCGATCGTCACGCCAGGAGGCGCGGACATGCAAGGTACGTTTGAGAAGCGATGTCATGAGTTTATTACTACCGGTAGTTGTGCTATGTTGGACGGTGTGTAACTAGCAAGGTGTGGGTCCTCTTCACTCAGTACGACAGTAGAGACAGAGTCGAGCGAGCTGTATTCCCGGTGCCGAAAGGCGGGCTCACACCCCTGTATGGCAACCTCTCCATGTCTAACCCCCAAGACGAAGTGAATACTGTAGTAATAGCCATACTGGCCGAAGTTCAAAAAAATAGCAAGTAGACGCTGCGTACTCGTTTCAGGAAACAGTCGACTAGTCGTTACTATTCTGATGCTGATTGGGCCAATGGCTGTGGTAGATTTGTCTTCACGTGTGTGTTTATGGTCTTATCATTTTATGAGTTCGTTAGTTTTCATGATTTTGCTTCTCCTTCGTTCACTTTTCTTCTGTTCGCGAGTGCGTGAAGACTCTTCTACCATGCCGGACTGCATCAGTTTGCACATTGCGCGTAACTTTGAAGCCACCGACACCTTTGTTTTGTCAGCGGAATAATATTATGTGAGCAGAAACACTGCTCGGGCTCATTTGGGCGACGTTTCCCCACATCCATCCAATGGGAAGTCGAGAAAAAGTGAAATTACACAGGTGTCGTCGGAAGGACTTGAGTCTCTTAGTCTTTGAACACACCACTTTGTGCTGTCCGAAAATTAATATCCGGGTGTGGATTTTAAGTATATCGACTCATAGTCATCGACGCAATTATATTATTATGTTGTTAGCGGTGTGTGTATCGAGTTTTGTGGTGTTTTTTTGCTGTTCGCGGCATGACGTGTATGGCGTTGAGTGCATGTGAGTTAATTTCTGCAGATGATCCGTACCTTCTTCCTGCCGGCACAAACTGACCACCATTGCGAGCACACTCCGCTATCCAGAATGCAGCCGCTGGCCGTCCGTCTTCTTCATCATGCAGCAAACTGAACGACATCATCCTATGAAAATGCGGTAACCTTTTCTTTTCGGCCTTTGCAATTCTATTGTCAATGAACAGGAGTGCTGTTTACATGCACACTGTAAGCTGTATGTTCTAATGGATAATGGTGGTAGTTGCATTACGTAAGAGTGCACTGATTAGGGTTGTAACAATTATACCGATAACTCGCATACAGAACAAGTGCAAACGATTTGTTATGCATGCATGCATATCAGTGACCATATTCTAGCCCTTGCTCTTCATGCAATAGTGAACATGTGTGCAATTTTGTGCTTTCAAACACAGCAAAATTGATGTGTGGCCTTGAAAGAGAGCGGGGGAGGGAGACTGTATCTGATTTGAGGGAGAAGTAGGTGATGAGAGCTTAAAGCCACAACATGGTTGATTGCATGGAGACATCACCAACTTGGCCGTATTTTAATGATACAGTACGGATCGGCTATAGCGTTGGTGTTTGATTTTCGTGAAAATATCACTATAGGCGATATATTACTATAGGCGATATGCATACTTCGGTATGCCTGACAAATGCGTGTATGGTGTCATTCGAATCAGTGCAGCGTGCAGAAGCGTGCTGTGCATGTGACTGTGCAGTACGCGCCGGGCAGAGCTACTTCCTGTACTGCGGAAACAAAAACTTCGTGACTTTTTGACATGAGTTTTCAAGGAGTTGCTGTCCTCAACAAATGTGTGTTTTTGGAAGAGAAACACTTCAACACATTCAATCGACATATGAACAATATCTACAGGATCGATTAGTGGGAGTAGAGTCTCAGTCTGGGTCACCATCGCTCAACTTATCACCGCTGAAACCGTTCCAAGTGGCAGGTCGATCGACGCGTGATGTCGTATGTCACGGAGAAGTTTCTCCGCGTCCCTGATCGTCTTCGCTGTTACCTGAATGCCTTCTCCAACATCTCGGCGGAGACCACGGTAGCGCTTCAGCGCTGGTACTCATTACCGCCTCCGATCTCGCTGGAGGATGCCCCGGAACAACAAGCACAGCCAATGCCAAACATTTCGAATTTCCTCCGAGGGATATCATAGTAGTACCAGCGCTTCCTGGCTGCCGCGATCAGATCTCGCCATGTACGATGTATAATTTATTATGATCATCACTATAGCCGATGAAAAATGTATGCAATAAGATCATTTTGACAAAAAAATCGTATCATTATAGCCGATATATTACTATAGCCGATTATTACTATAGCCGATCCGATATGTATAGAAAGGGGTGGTTTACGAAAATGAATTTGAGAATACCATCACTATAAGAGGTATATTACTATAGCCGACAACCCTATAGCCGATCCGCACTGTACTAGGCAGAAGGCTTGCTGCAGATTTTGCTATGGAGGGCCCATGGCAGTTGCCATAGGGTGAGGACAAGATTCTTTGCTCTAGAAACAACATGAAAGCCTCTAGTTCATGTTCATAAGACCAGCCAGATGTACATCGGCTATAGAGTGACCGGATATAAGAACATATCGGCTACAGTGATATTGGTATGAAATATCAAAAGCAAAACGTGTTTTATCCAGTAAAAATATCACTATAACCAATATAACCGGATGTAGTGATATATTTAGGGGTCAAACGGGTGTGCCTTTAACTAACGAACGGGTAATTTTCTTAACGAACGGGTTAACGAGTACCCTTTAGCAGCCATGTTTAATTTTTTTGCGCAATTTTCACATTAATCAAGATATAGTTTATCTGTTCTCGGGTTGTATTTTGATATCACATTGTGATTCGCAAATTGATTGGTGTCTGATAGTCACAGATGTAGATCTACTAGGTGCGAAAATGCAACAACAATGCAGACATCCAGCATGGAGTTGTAAATAATTGATTGGTGTCTGGAATACACGATCCCTGCAGTGTTGCTTCATACTGACTGGATCATCGAAATCCAAACGGGTACCCTTTTACTAACGGTACCTGAGATTATCGGGCGGGTACCCGGTACACCCCTTTGACCCCTAGATATATTGGATATTATGATGGCAACAAAGAATCAAAACATGCATAACACACAATATTTATTATCGGCTATAGTGCGCCTTGATCCAAGAGGGTGGTGGCGTTCCTGCGGATGCGGAAAACTGGGCCTTTGGCCGAGTCTCACGCGAACCGTGAATTTTTTTATATTTTTTATAGTGATAACTTTAAAATACATGTAGCAATACATGTAATATCAAAGGCCCTATTTTTTACTTTCTTCACGTTGCTTATTTTTATAGTTATACTTCCTCCGTTAAGCAAAACTTCGTTGCGTTTTTACAGTTCTGTCCAAATCATTCTTTGGCTACGAACACGCTTTGCAAAGTGGAAAGCAAGGCAGCATATGAAAGATATTTATTTACATATGTCACATAGCTCGTTTCAAAGCAGTCCAGCTTCACTCTTCGTCTGAATCTGATGACGACTCACTCCCTGATGACATCGAGTCTGCATCCTCGCTGACTGTAGCCGCCAGCGCTGCCAGCTTTTGTTCCGCAGCCTTTACAAGTTTCCAAGACACGATTATTTAGATCGTGGAGATCACCAAGTTCTTCGCTCAAACTGTGACCTTGACGACCTCCACGGTGGCGCTGATAGTTGTGGCCACTCTCCGACCCGCCATGGAAGGAGCCAGACAGACCCAAACAAACGCTCGCCATTTTCGCAGCGGTGTGTCGTGCCAGCACGTTTCCACACCCTGCAGAAGCTCCTTTCTGGTTTCCTTCGCCACGAGTGACACGTCTGTCTACAGGCTGTGGAAGAACGCCAAGTCGTCGACGTTGAGATCAGGATTTTGCGGCGACTGAACGACAACCTGAATGTCGAACGTTGATTTCCCCTGCGCTGCAAACACAAAGTCACAAGTGCATTGATTTTGGTTGTGTGCGGATGCACACCATCGACTCGTGCTAGTACTCGTACAGCAGTGCCTGAGTGCTGGCCGGCTCCTGGACACTTCTTCGAGCCACGCGATCTTTCAAACTGTTTCTCATTTTCGCACTTTGGTGTCATGCGCGCGCGCCTGGGGTTGTGTTCTGGTGACATCCTCTCGAGAAACGTTTCTGCTTCGCCGATTTTCAAGGACTCCACGCTTTTCAGAGGTTCAAAAGCCTGTCAGAACAATGGACGACAACTCAGCTACTCTATGTCGGGGATAGATCACTGACATGTATGTCTAATGCCGACAGAACACCATGACAAGAACACTAAAAACGCAACGAAGTTTTGCTTAACCCTTTGCATGCTGAGCCCCTTTTCTCCAATCCACTGGCTTTCCAGCGCACTGACTCTCTTTGTGGAGTATGCACTCACAGCTCCGAACGAAATTTATTCTCATCATGGCCAGCAATCGAGGACATCTGAGAGTTGTAATTTTTGTACTCCTCCGAGGTGTGATTTTTGGCGTGCTGGGCCAAGCACAAGGAAGCCATCTGCAAAAAAACTGCAGAAAATGGTTGTTGTTTGATCCTTTGGTGTAATCTTTGTTTCTAGTCGAAGCTAGTTGCTGGTTGGAGCAGAAACGCTGAAATTGACTATTTTCTGCATGTACTCATACATGTACTCCTGTACTCAGGTATGCAGTCCCACTCGTATTTTAGCTCTTTTTCTGGAATGGATGCTGCTCTGCGCCCCTTGGTGAACATTTCCTGCGCTCGTGGAGCAGCTGAAAAGGACCACTGGTATGTCTGGTTCCTGGTTTGAAAGTGGAGAGTCGACTTTTGTGCCTTGAAAAAGGAGTAGAGAGCGATAGGTACGTCTGTGGCTTATTTTTGAGTGCTCCTCATACATTTTTGATCGTGATAGAAATTCTCAGACCAAAGTCAGACCAAAGTGAGCGCGATGATGGCCGTACAGTTTTATTGTGGATTTTTTTAGTTGTTTCATCTCTATCTATGTCAGTATCGTGATGGTGAAGTGGAGAGGGTGATTTTCTTCCTCTAGGCTTCGTTCGGCCGACTTTGCTTCGTCCTCGTTGAAAAGTGATCCTGAAAACGGTCGATTCGCAAAAATATGTTGATTTTGAATGTACGTGATGACATACGGTTGCTGGCTATGTTCACTCCACCTTGATGGATTTTTATCGTCCTGGGCTCGTTGGAAAGATCAGGACCAAACAAATCCATCCTGGCAGTTCTCAGCTCCATAGACACATCGGGGCCACTTCCACGTCCTCTCCAAACTACTCCACCGTGCCTCGGAACGGAACTTGTGACAACAACTCAATTTCACATTCTTGTTCGGCTTCTTGCCCAAATTCAACAGATTTTCACAATTCAAACTGCGCTGCAAAGCTCTGATCCAAGCGCTTCATTTGATGTCCATCACGCATGCGCCGTGCCAAAGGGAAATTCCCTGGCACACTCCTCAACAAAAAGAAGTCATGAACAAAAAAATTCGCGTTCACTCTGGGCCGTGATTTCCGTGTTCGTCTTGTCGCCGCTCAATAAATTCTAATCCTATCGCGAAGAATTTTATATCACCGGAAAGATGAGGTCAAGACCTTTCCAACGGTGTATTGATCGTCGCGATGCGTTTAATAATATGTTTGACGAAGTTACGAAAGTTTGTACACTGGTCTACGCACTGCGATATATCGCGCGATTTTTTTGCGAGTTAACTCGTACGTAGTGGATCAGGTCATGCATAAAGTGCGAGTTAACTCGTACTCAGCACGCAAAGGGGTAACGGAGGAAGTACAATCATGTACATAACAGAATTTATGGAAATGCGGGCACTGTCAACTATGCAGCATGCTCATTTGTCGGCTTCATGTGCGGAACATTTCACTGATGGTAGGTTGACGGAGTCGGGATGCACCCTTGGCGATCAGAAAATTCTCCACTTTGGAGAAACTAGCATGCACCGAAGCATCGGCATTGCTGGCGCAAAGACCACGACGAAGAATGTCAGCAGCCTGCAAGATGTCAGCTGTAGACAGTGGCGGCGTTGATTCACTGTTGTCCTCCTCCTCCTCCTCATCGTGTCCCTCGGACCTAGCGGCGTGCTGGATCTCCTGCTGCAGATCTGAAACAATGGCGCTTGCATCATCAGTTGGTACGATGCTGCATGGCTCCGTGGTATCCAGTCTGTCGAGCTCAGCGATGTCATCTTCAAACTCTGGCTCAACTTCCTGAATGAAGGGCTCGACAACAGGCGCAGTAACAGTAGTCAGCAGGCCAGACTTCCTCCAACAGTTGATGATGGCGGTAGCAGTCATGGCATCCCATGCAGACTTTGCAAACTGCAGGCAGTGCAGAATGTTTACGTTGTGCTTGAGAGCTGACGAATCTAACTTGGTAACGCTGGGTCGTCGACGAACTAGATAACTTTCCGCAGCATCAGTCTTCGGTACCCAGACTTAAACGCTTGGATAATGCCCGCGTCGCATGGCTGAATAATAGATGTGGTGTTCTTTGGTAGGAATACAACACGCACGAAATCCAGCTTGCTCTCCACAGCATCCGCCTTGTGACCAGGGCAGTTGTCCACCAGGAGAACGATCTTTTTATTTCGCTGCCGGAGCTTGCGACTTATGTCTAGACCAAAGACTTCACTGTTCATCCAAGCCTTGGGATTTGAGTTCCAGCGACCACCGAGAACATCAGCTGGTGTTGACTTGGCAGCAGCTACAGCTCTTGGATTCTTGGAGTTACCCATCCCGTGCAAGAAAAGCTTTTCACCAGCCATGGAAACAGCGACAGCGAACGTTATCCTGTCCTTCTGCGTTTTTCCACCGGCAAGCCGTTTGTCGGAACGAGAAAGTGTCCGGTCAGGTAAGGCTCTCCAAAACAGACCTGTCTCGTCCATGTTCCAAACACGGGAGTCGTCGTTGTCCACACTAGCGAAGATGTCTGGCCATTCGTTGGTGAGAAATTTCTCAGCGGCAGCTATATCAGCGACAGCAGCTTCGCCGTGTAATTTCTTGGACTTGATAGCACGCTTCGCAAGAAATCGCTGAACGAAAGACTTCCATGCTGTATCTGTTCCAGGTAAGTCCTCCGACTCCACCAAGGAATTGGAGATCAGCTCTTCGCTGATCTTCTGCGCTTTGGTGATCATCATGTCGTAGGAGACCGCTCTCAATTCCTTGGCGACGCAGGCATCGTAAAACTTCTCCAGTCCTTGCTCCAGAAGATTGCAGTTCGTTCCGCGCTTCCTTTTCACGCCTCTCATTCCGGATGACACAAGTTCAAAGGTCGATTTATATTTTTTATGATCGTCGAGATAGACGACTGGCCCACACCGAAGTGCCGACCAACTTCACCTTGCGATGCGAGGGGATTCTTGGATACATATACCAATATTTCCGCTTTCTTTTCCGCACTTAGACAAACCCGAGAGCGCTTTGCTGGAGGCTCAATGACTAGCAGGTAAACAAAACGGGAAGTGAATCGAAAACAAACTGTTGAAGGCAAACGACAAACTCAAAATTCCATGCTGGGAGTATTTCGTTGCCTTGCATGTGTCGATCGGAAAAAAAAATCGATCGTATCGCATACAGTGATGCATCGGGTATGGTGATAAATCACGGAAATCAAAAGGGTACGCTATAGCCGATACAGACTGTATACAGAATTTCGGGTGCCAGCAGTATGGTGACACAAATTGCCTGAAATGTTTACAGCAGAATATCCATCAAGTGGTATTTCACCCTGGGTGCATTCAGATTGTTTGACTGGTGATCACTTCTAATGGGGCAAAGGCACATAAACTGGTATTCACGGTACACTCGTAGACCCGACAAGAATCATTAAAACCAATATATCAATCGTTCATGATATTGGTTGATCGTGAGGAATTATTGAATGATCGTTTCAGCCCTTGTAGAAATCCACCATACCATCTCCGAGCACAGCGTCCTGTGTGCTATGTAAGACAATGAGATCTCTCGTTCGTATTGTTTTCTGAGACGTTTGTGCATTGTTTGGTGTGTGGGTGTGTGTGTGGCTACATGCAACTGCTCATGCTGTGTTTGTTCTGTATATGCGTTCAGCATGCGATCTGTGTGTATGTGGTTTCCCCTTTTCTTCTCCCTCCTCTATAGGACTCTCATCTGTCACCTTATTTTTTTTTTGCCCCTGAACGATTCGGTTGTGGCATTGAACATTTGTGATGAGCCGTTCTTGCCAGTCCATAGTTTATTTTAACTGCCTTTGGGCAATAGACGTCCTCAAAACGGGTTGCCATAAAATGACAGGTGTTCTGTTCAGCCCACGGGGATTGGGTGTGAGTGGGGTATGGGCATTGCTGGTGATGGCAGGCTTGGTCGACTCCTTGACTTGGCTGATCAAAGATATCATGCCACAAAAGGAGGCATGGTACCAAAACTCTTGTAATATCTTCTCGTGTCAAGCTTAAATTTTAACATGCTTGACATACCTGTACTTCGCAGCTGTACATTTTTGTTTTCCAACCCGCTTCAAACGCTCTAGCAAGGCCAACAGTGGTTTCTAGGAAACAGACTGCTTGGGATTGTCCTTGGGGAAAAGATCCGATTGAAATATGTGGCATCAATGGAAGATGACCATGAATTCTCTACCGTAAGTAGTTCCTATGTACTTGTACATCGGTGATGAATACTAGTGATGGTGCAAATCACTAACTTAGAATTATAGAATACTTGTCAGAACGGGATTGCATCGGGCATTTGAGCATTCGCAAAGCAACACTCTCATACCCGGTATTCTTGACTGTTTTCACCTCTACAGGTCCAGACCCGTCAACCCTGGGGGCTGGATGCTTGCCGTTGAACAACAACGTCGACAGGAGGACCAGGTATGTAGGATTCTGAGCACCTCGTTTGTCAGGTCTGTTGCAAAAGCATCCAAATGCGAATGCCCCTTATGATTGTGTACCATGGACCATGTCTGCTGTGGTTGAGATTATCTGAGTGTGCACCTTTCCCTCCTCCTCCCCCCCCCCCCCTTGCTGAGGTGTGACGATAGCGTATTCCTGATTATGCAATTTTTCATTTATACATTCACAATTGTATACAATCAGAGCCTGACCGGAATGTATGCCTTTTGTTTGTGTTGCTGCAGGACGATCAACGCAACATCGCCACAAGCGGGTGACAAAAAAACCCTAAGTATTTCTGTGATGTACTGTTTTACCAGATTGTCAGCTATGACAGTTTGGTACTGATGCCTAGGTCAACTACCTCTCCCCAGCCATTTTGTATGAAAACAAGATTCACACCAAATGATGGTTATAGATTGCAGAATTTCTTTGAAGAGCAGTGTGAGTTTAGTTGTGGCCAGAAGCACTTTGCTATAGATGTGAAGCTCCAGAAAGCAACCAGATTGTTGAACTCAAAGCCATTATAGAAAAGAAAGGACCAAGGAACTACAAGTTATGCTATAATGTTCACTAACACCACCAGTTACTTGACAATCAATTTTCAATTTTCTATAAATTTATCCTTGGCTCTCCATCCGAGTCCATTCAAAGCCACTACCTTTGCTCTTCTACTTTTTTGCCTGGTGAATGCACTGAGATGAGTATGAATTTTCTACTTTGTAAATGTGAGACAAGTAGATGTCTTGATTTGAACTGCAGGACATTTCTACCTCTACATGTCTACAAATTTCAGCACAAACTATTAGTCAGTTTGCTCAAAAATATTCTCCTGTGCAGCAGCATCCAATTTCAAATTGGCTGGGGAGGGGTGTTGCCCAGTGTGTTCCTTTTCTGCAAACACTTCCATTTCTTTTTAACGTGCTCCATTTCTTGGAAGCTATCACTAGCTCTGGAGGAGTTACAAGTGAACAAATTATCAAACAAGAATCATTTCAGTTGTGCTTTAAAGACGCTTGCAGAGATTTGCTTGACAAGGGCATTTTTATACCTTCTGAAACAATATTCAGTTCCTTTTTTCTTTTTCATGTTGGAAGTGTTTGCGGAAATGTGGTGAGGTTTGAATACTTTGCATTCATTGTATTCATTGTTGCTTGTATTATTTGCTTTATTTGGGCTGCTGTCTAAAACTATTGTTTGCTCTTATGCTTCCCTGTAGTCCATCAAGCCCAGCGTCAAGATGGATGACGAGCGCTACGGACATCACCGTCGTCACAAACAGTCTAAGTATCTCTTTGCTGTGCATGTTGCATGCATCAGTAGACCAGTGCAAAAGGTCTTCTCCGTTTCATTTTCTCCCAGACAAATACAGGTTTGCTCAACCTGAACTTCATTACCTACCGAGTCCGATGCATTAGATCTTCAGCCATAACCTTTTGCACTGGTCTGTTATGAGTGTAGTTTGCATTCTGCATGATTTTCTAACCCAACCCTATCCCCAGTAGGTCCCTCTGCATTCAGGGAGCTGGTTGAACAGCAATGCATGCTTGACTGTTTTCATCCACCCTGGGTAGTAGCATGTTGCATGTGACCCTGCCTGCTTCCCCCATGGTCATTATTACTCAGTGGCATTATCTGCATACTTTGTAAATCCCTGTGGGTGGGTAGTTAGGGTACTGATATTGTAGTACAGGTTCATCAGTTTTGCCATCTCCTGTGTGTTTCTTCTCGCCAGTCCAGGTCAAGCGTCGTGGACGGAGGACTTGATGGTGTTGCCGGAGCCGTGCAAGGTAAACCATAAGCCGTGCTCTGTAAAGATTTGTTGTAGCATAGCGGTAGTTACAGTGGGGGTCTAACCCCATGAATGGTTTTAAGTGCAATGTGTTTACCCGCATGCTAGTGTTCTGCCTTTGGGTGGTGTCCCGGATTCTGAGAATTCTAGCTCTGCGTAGTTAGCTTGACAATCCAACCTGATGTCCTCCTACCTTGGGGTGACATCCCATAGTCTGATAGTTCTAGCCGTCACAGAAGAACCTTGACTACTGGTCAGAGTGCTTGATGCACAACTGCATGCTTTCGTTTAATTGTAGCTCCATGTAGATAGCTTGACAGCTGAGTGTTTTCTGTTGGACATACATTTACAGTGTTTGGGTGGAAAATTAAACCACCCCCAGATATATTTCGCTACCTTGCGCCTTGCTTTTGTTCTGTTTTCTCCATTCCTGTATGCTCATAGGGAGCTATCAGCATATCAGCCTCCAAGAAATGTCGATGCTGCTGACCATACCCTTTGGTATGGTCTTGCACATCGGATGCCAAGTCAAGGAGCGACCCAAGCCTGCCATCGCCAGCAATCCCCGTCCTGGGAGTTATTATTTTGGTCGGGGATGTGGGCTTGAACAGAACACCTGTCACCCTGGGAGGGGATGGGTTCTACACGTTTCTGTATATTGCTGGCTCTTTATATTCTATTATGATTGTTGTATTGGCAGAGTAAGTATGCATGCATGTTGCTACCGTCGCGGCTTGGTTTCAGGGATGAACTCTTTCAGGATCACCAATGGCAATAGTTCTGCAGCAAGAATGGTTTTTGTGCAAGTTGGCAGCTGCCGGGTAATCCTGACGGACTTCATTCCATTTGGCTCAGTTGGCTATATATATGTATGGCGGTGGTTTCCCTCAGTATTGGGAACGAATGGCTCATGAATAATGACATCAACCTTAACAGATTATTCATTGTGATGGTAATGCATGCTGGGGAAGGGTGCATGCATAATAAGGTCTGCTGATTCATGAGGGCCGAACGGTCAAAGGGTTATGCATAAAGCTTGAATGCTGTGACATGCATAATAGGGGTGAATGAAAGTGATGCCATTCACATGCATGAAAGCCCCCCCCCCCCCCCCCCCCATACACACAAAACTTGGCAAAAGGAGAGAATGCCCCAAGTCCATGCCCAAAATTTCCAACATACTGTCTGTAGTCGTTCCGACTGCTCGTCGGTCGAGGTGCAAAACATATGGACTGAATAGCCCTGTATGTCCAGGTACCCGAACCCGTCCGTGCAAGAACATAAAGAAGATGGTTGGTTGGTGGGATTTATTTAACCAACCAACCGTCTTCTTTATGTTCCTGCACGGACGGGTTTGGGCACGGTTCAAACAATTACCAGCTTACAACAATACATGTCATGTAAAGCTTGGATGCTGTGACATGCATAGTAGGGTGCATGAAAGTGATGCCATTCACATGCATGAAAGTCGACGGGTTTGGGTACGGTTCAAACACTTACCAGCTTACAACGATACATGTCATGTACATGACATTGGTTACAAGACAAACCTCATTAGTAGCAGCAAAAGCATAATAACTTACTAGCTCATTTACTCTTGGCAGCAGGTACTAGAAGACAACGAATCGATCCAAAATCCCTGAAGAAATGCATTTTTTAGCCGTTGTACATGCAAGTCCGGATAAGATTCCCTTATCCCAAAATTCGTTATAAGTAATAACGTCATTGACGTTTTAACGAATTTTAACGAATTTGCGAAAATTCACGGGAAAACAGCAAAATTCCAAAGATCCAAAAAACACCCCATTATTCAAAAAGATAATCTGGAAACCCCTAGCGGAGGGTCCTCGAGGCTCGACGTCTGTTCTCACCGTCCAGGATCTATAATGAGCGACACTGACTCACTACATGCTGCTATCAGAGTATCTGGTGTTCACGGTACGGGGTGTTTGTCACACTGGAAACGGAGCATCTCTGTAACAGTGTAAGTTTTGCATCCCTGGTGATATTTTGTGCCTGGAGAGCACTATGTCTATGTGGTGCTCTTCACTAGACTCCAGCAGTCCAGGCACAGTCTTCCTCAGCCTACTCAAGCTAACTGATGAGGGGTGAATTCCCCAAAACACTGTCACTGGGCATTGATTGAGCAGGGAGTGGTGCTTTCTTGCAGGTTTGCGTAGTCGAAGGTTCGATGGACTTCTCGTGTGCTCTGGATGGCAGTCATGAGTCAGTCAAGTGTCAAGTGAAGTCAGCGGAAAAACGCGAGCTCCAGTATACAGTGTGGGGAGCAAACCCTTTCCAGTAACATTAGTAACAAATCATCGCCGAAGTCGCTACCGGTAGATCTACCACTAGACCAATCCCGAAAAGATTGTCTGGGTTCGTGAAAGGGGGCACGCGTGCGAGCCAGCTCGTGTGAAATGCATCGTTTTGTATTTAGTTTGTATGTGTCAGCTCATGGCGGAGGCGAGAGAGACTTTTGCTCACCGAGCTGAAGCTAAAGGATTTGATGGAGTGCTGCCAGCACCTAGTCAAAGCACCTTCGGTACCTTAGGCAGACCCTGACGGAGTTTGGAGGCCAGCTAGCTCTCGGCAGGGAGAAGAACATTCGCGTGGCGATCGACTCTCCGTAAAAAAATATAAGCTACATAGCGCCGACGTACCGCAACAGCTACGATTTCAACTTACTTCTCGATCTGCTGCTTCACCAAGTTCAACTATTTACAAGTCCCGACTGTTGTAGTCTGAAGCTGGAGTCGCATCGCCCACCTACAGGTAGCTTTTGGAGCTGATGGATTTTCCGACTTGGACTTCTTCCGCAAACTCTCGCAACATTACTACAGTGTACATGTATGTTGGGTTTCCGCACACTCGTGTCGACATGTCACCTATAGACCGGATCGCGGAGGCGGAGGAGCTTGACGAGCTCCGCTGACTCCAGGTTGCCGAGATACCGCCGTCGTCTTTGTTCTTATCGCTGGAGACATTCTCTCCTTCCAGGACCTGCGTATAGTTGTCGTCCCGGGGGTAGAGACTATGTTGTCTTTCGAACTAGTTCTTCATCACGCTCGCGCGAATGATGATTCTCATCATGAACTCGTTCCGACGGTGTGACATGGCGATGGTCTTTGCCGGGGCACTTGCTTGGTGAAAATGCAATCTTCTTGTGCAGTAGAACATTGATCGGCTGCAGATGAGTACAGTCATTTCGTGATTGGTCCTACACGAGGAAGCCTGGCAGGAAAGAGGCAGGACTCATCGAAGACGAAGCGCTCGCAACAAACAATAGCACTCGAAATATCTCGGAAGATTTAGGGCTTATCGCTTTGATCCACATGCACAGCGCTCACAGCCTTGCCTAGAGACCTCTTCACACTACACAGCAGAGCGAAACAAGGATTATGGCTTAGCATTTCGACTCCAACAGCAGAACATTACCAGTGCGAGAGAGAAACCCACAAAGAGCTCTGCTTTCTGTCGCATCGTCTCCCTTGCATGCAACTAACGAGAAAACCGTGTACTTACCCCCGCCCCGCATTCACACGCAAACTATCAAACACGTCCTGTGCCGCATGCTGGTCAGGTGGTGCCATTTATGTGTTGTACAGTGGACTCTCAGTTGACATGCCCCCTTTCGAACCCAGACAATCTTTTCGGGATTGGTCGTACTGTGGACCAGTTTAGAAGATTACTCTACTCATGCCTGGTCATAGTTCAAAAAATAAATGCAAAAGCCTGCATGACACGCAGGCTAGCGCTACTACTGGCTACTATACTGGTCTTGACGAAAAACGCAGATGACTCTGGCGACCAGGCCCGGGGCCTGGGGAGCAGTAAAACACCGACTAGCTGTAGTTTAGAAGTTGGTGAAGAAGAGCGTGTCAATCTACTTTTGTCGTTGTGAGGGCTAGTTGTGCCCAATCCTTTTGACCTCTTCCCAAGAACTTGACAAGACTAGCATGTTCTGAACGCAGTCTGATCTTGCCATGTCACTGGCAGAATGGCCGACGAAGAGCCGCAAAGCGGTTGGCGACAGTGTGACGGTAGAGGACCTTCTGGCGCACCATTGGCGAACGGGATGAAACGGCGGAGACGATCGGCCAGTGCAATGGCAGCTTGTCACGAAGCAAGGATCACGGTTCTACTGGGCGTTATTGTGCCGTTGTTGTTTGGGGCTGTTGTGCCTTCCCAGAGCAAGTTATCAAGTGTTGCAAGCACCGGACTAGTGCACAGCACGGCCAGACCTGCACCGATTGTTGTCGGGGCACTCTATCCTCTGTTCCGTGCGGGTGCCGATCGGCGTGTATGTAACGAGAGTAACCTGTGGCTAAGACTGCATCTGGTGCAGACACTTCTGTACACGCTGAAACGCTACCACTCCGACGCTGTTCGTAATCTCTCTCTCCATCCAGAGTACCTGCCCGAGCGATTGTCCTCATCGGAGCTCGGACATGACATTCGAGACTCGTGCGATTCCATAGCTACCAGTGTGGAACAGATCAAGGCCTTTCTGGACGTCCCGCTAGGAGAGGGTCAAAAGGAACTTTGTAATCATGCTATCAAGAAATGCTTCAGAGAAATGGAGTGCTGCAACCAGGTCCAGGAAGCCAACGGAAATCAGCCAAGTTGCACCGCTGCTCGCACGAGTAATATCCCCGGTGATGTATCCAACCAAGTGGATCAGTATTGCACAATTCCTCAGAATCCTGGCCAGAGAGGTCCGCCGCGGGACTCTCCGAAAGCGATTTTCGTTCTTGGCCCTACCAGCTCGGATTTGGCTCAAGTCTTGTCACCAGGCATGAGCTCATTCCAGGTGCCTCACATCACGTTCTCCGCTACCAGCGCTACGTTTGCCGACAAGACCGATTACAAGTACTTCTTCCGCTTCATCGCGTCTGACCAGTGGCAGGCGGCAGCCATGGTGGATATCATACTTCGCTTCAATTTTACACACATCATTGCCCTGGCATCTAATGATGCTGCGTACGGCGTCTCCGGCTTGGAGTTCTTTCGCAAGAACACGCAGAAGCACACACGCATCTGTATTGCAATGCAGGACACCTTTCACTACAGCGATAGCAGAAAGATGCACGAGATTGCCCGCGGTATGATTACACACAGCAACGCTCGCGTGGTTATCCTCTTTGCAAAGTATATCTATGCAAAAGCACTCTTCCAGGTACTGGCTCTGCCCGAGTATAACATCACCGATCGTATCTGGATAGGCAGTGAGGCATGGGGTACACATTCAGCTGTGATGCTGAATAACCCTGTGGTACGCACCGCACTGTCATTCTTTCCCAAAACACCGGGCCAGTTTGATGATTACCGGACGGCTCTGCATGAGGATTACCATCGCTACCTGCACACTCTTCAACCTACCCTGGAGGAGTTAGAGCTGGACCCGTGGCTACTCGACTACTGGCAGACAACATTTAAATGCCGTCCGCTCTCCACATTAGACCAAAGTGTACCGGCTGTGAATGCCTCTTACAGCTCAGAAGACAATAACACTGCGTCAAGCACTTCACTTCCCCCCTGTACTGGCAATGAGTCGCTAAAGGATATCTTTCCATTTCCCTGGGCATCATTGGCGGTGATGACGGGCAATGTCGGCATACAAGCTGCCAGGTCAGTTGTCAACGCCAACACCAAACTGTTGGGGCCATTGTTTCATAGCAAGCTGATGAACGTGACCCTGCCTTGTGTTGATCCCCTTTTTCCAACGGCCAGGGGCCGTTGTCCTGTGTTTGCGGCGGATCAAGACATTTCACCCGAGTACCAGGTCTATAATCTCAATCGATCAACCGGTGCTGATCGCCTGCAGAACATTGGTGTGTGGCACATGGCATTGGGCCGCGGTACCCTCTATTTGCGAGATGACGTCAGCATTGACTGGGGCGATCTGCTCCCAGCTGGAAGTACTACTCCTAATCATCCGCAGTTCTTTTGTTCGGAAACATGCCGGCCGGGATACGAGCGTATCTTTGACAGCGGCTCGGCATCTCGCTGCTGCTGGAGCTGCAAAGCGTGCGCTGGAAATAGCATCTCAAACACATCCAACAGCGACCGTTGCTCACAGTGTCAGCTGGGTTACATGTCGAGCAACGCTCGCACGGCTTGTGTAAAAATCCCGGTAATGTCGATATCGTTGACGAGCGGTGGTGTCCTTGTTCTGCTTGTGCTGAACCTGCTGCTGTCTGTAACCGTGGTGATCACTATGGCACAGTTCTACCAGTACAAAGAGGAGTTTATCGTGAAGGCAATGGATTACCCACTCTCCATGATCATCCTGTCTGGCATGCTCATGAGCAGTATAACCAGTCCTCTCCTGCTTGTCCCACCCGGTGATCTAGTGTGCAGACTATCACGTATCATTGTCGTGCCATGGCCACTGGTGACCACTTCTGCAGTGCTCATCAAGACTCTGCGCCTCGCCAGAATCATATCCAAGACACAGACACTGCGCGTCACTCACGAGATGGTCAGTCTGAAGTTGAAGAGCCAGATCCTCTTCATTGCAGCACTGACGGGCGTTGGCGTCGTCCTGGTGATTGCATTTGAAATGTCCATGCCAACTGTGGCCGAGTTCAGCTATCCTCTGCCAAACAAGGTGTACTATGCATGTACATTCAACAGACCACGCTTCTTCACAGTGACCGGATACACCATGTCCCTAGTAGCTGTAACGTGCCTTTGTGCATTCCGCACACGGAAGCTGAAGGGTGATTTTGATGATGCCCGCTACCTGATGTTTGCAAGTTTCGCCGTTGCAATGGTGTGGCTGTCTTTGTCGCTTGTTATTCTTCTCAGCACTGACGAATGCACACGCCCAATTGTGGAGGGAGCAACATACCTTGCCAACATGTTGTCCATCCTGCTGTGTCTGTTTACTCCCCGGCTCTATTTCATATTTCGGCATCGCAGAAGAGGCTCGTACGGGGTGAACAGCCCTCGTTCTGACAGTGATGACCAGAACACGGGAAATTCCTGTCGGCGTATTTCAATCGGTATCCGCAATGGTGTCAATGCCTTGGCGATGAAACACCACTTGTCCGTATCTCGTGTTTCAACACGGTCGTGCAGCTCAGTGTCAGCCATGCCGAGCCCCCCGCAACTTACGTCCACGCGCTTTGACAGAAGGAGTTGTTCAAGTGTGGCGTCAAATTCCGCTTGCCAAAGCGGTAATTTTGCACGCCTATCAGACAGCAGTAGTATTCGCAAACTGTCCACATCAGCGTCTGCAAAGACATGTTTGGGCCAGAAAAGTGGAGCAGTGGATGGCTACACACTAGCAAACCAATTGGCTGCACTAGGTGCCGCAGAGCCTGGTATTCTGGAGTGCAGTGAGACAAGTGTAGCCATGTTGACCATGTTCCAGACACAGTCCAAGGAGAAGAAAGCTACGGGCAAGGATGACCCATCCAAGACCTGGCCAGAACCTGTGCATGAAGAGTCCAGTTTGTCAGATAATGGCAGTGAAGAAGGGGCTGACGACATGAGTACAAGAAGCCCAGCTGCTTCACAATCCTGCCGCCGCACAACACCCATTGCAAACACCATGCCAAGTGGTCGGAATAGCACTACGATCAGCAACCAAAGTCGTTTCAAAAGCTTCGAAGAGGTTTTCTCAGATGACAGTGACGATGTTGGTAGTAGTGGCGGCGATTCTGTTACAGCGGCTGATGCTGAGAAAGGCAAACCCACTGTTAAACAGCAACCGGAAATGAAAGAGTCGCAAGTAGTATCTACGTCACAGTCTGACACACTGGCACCGCTACTGGCCTCAGCATCTCCCAAGATTGCCTTTCAGGGCCGCTGCTGCAGTGCAAAGCAGCAACACTCAAGCAGTCACTTCTCCGACTCGCAAGGCACAAGCCACCCAGATTGTGCAGACGCTGCACAGTCAACTTGCGATGGCCATGTCCAGCTGCACCGTCGCCGGGCAAGCATCCCTGTACGCAGTCTTTGCAGTGTGTGCAAAACCTACTCAGCTGACTCGAAATGGTCCACCATGTCAAGCAGACATTCTACAGGCACGGAGCGAACACTCGTTGCTGGGTTTTCAATTGATGACGGGGAATACCACCAGACAGACCAGCCAACAGGTTCTGATCCATTGGCCACGAATGCCGGTACCAATGCACACAAGAGCATATTGAGTGAAAATGATAGGGATAGCAGCAACTCTGGCAATGGCAACTTGAGTGACCGAAGGAGTTGTGATGCACCGCTGAGCAGTTCTTCAGAGGTGTCTGGATTTTCTGCCCAGCTGCCCAGCCAACTGATGTCGTCTAGTGAAACATTTACTGAAAGCAACTGAAGGAATCCGTCCGAGTTACTCGCTGAATGGCCGCAGTAGAAACCTGATTTAGAATTCCATCTAAAACTGAGTACTATGCACCCACCCACCACCAGCATACGTGAATCATCACTCAGTGCGGAACATTCGGACGAGTGCTGCCCATTTCAAATCACCCCAGGACAAATTCATTTCAGCATTTCAGGTTCCACTTTTTGACCATCCGGGCCATTTTTGTTCTTTCTTACCCGGCATTGCTAAGTGATGGAGGCTTGCCCTCTGTTGGGCAGATCCTACTTGGCTGCTGGAATGGTTGGTCTCTCATGCATTTTTTGTGTATAATTCATGATGTCATTGCGTTTCTGATAGTGTCATTATTAAACTAGTATAATGTTAGGTACACAGAGTGCATCTGCACAGCATTCTAACTTGATGACTTTCAAAACTACATGTACCGTTGACATTTCACTTGTTGCAACCAATAATTATTTATCTCCCCATTGTTGTGCTAAGACCCAGCAATCGCGGCTGAGATTATATTACTTGATCAGTGGAGCTAGGCGCACTTCAAGACTTAGTAACCCAGTATCAAGACCGGCAGCAAGGGCAGTTTAGGCTGATATTCCACTGGACTCTAACAGCTTGATGTGTAAATGACTAGTTATTACAATGAAGCCTCCTTTAGGCTTTAGCCCTAGTCACCCCGTGCCAGACCCTGTTTGCCGAATGACAGCCTTTCTGAACCACATGTCTATTGCTGCTCAATGAAATCCGATCGCTTAGTTCAAGTATGCACCATCACCGTGAAGCTCTGCCCTGTGTTCACAGAGCAGAGAGCAGAGCTTCACGGTGTATGGTGCATACTTGTACTTGACTTGCGGGGTTGGATTTCATAGAGCAGCACTGTAGAGCAGCACTGTAGAGCCCCAGTATTAACAGATCACCTAGTACCTACACGTACTTTCCTGGCCGGCTGCATTATTACATTACAATGTATGACGGATGGTAGATCATAAGGGACTGTTAGTGTTGGTCCATGGACTGTCAATACAGTACCGGGTATATTTTCAAAACGATTTTTGTATCTTCTCCTCACACTACTGACAAGGCCTTGGTCACGGAATGCTAGAAACATAGGCTGATTCTGCTCGAAAAGCAGTAAAAATGGCAGAACCATAGCGCATACTAGTGGTGGGCAATTCCTCGAATTCTGCTCCTCTTCTTTATCTTTATACCGGTACCAAACATGCATGAGCAGAATCACGGGAAAGGTTGAAAGTCTGTCGATTCTCTTCCTGCATTATCTGCCAATGGCTACCCCGCGCACCCTCCCCTTACGAACCTACAAAACCTGCCAACCATCGGGTCCTTTTTTCTTGAGTACTGTAAATCAATATCTTTTCAACTCACTAATGAAAGAACATGGCTCGCCCCCGCCCCCCCCCCCCCCATACTTACGAAATTTCGCTAAAGGGGAAGTACATGTATACCCTAAAAATCAATTTTTCACCAGTTTTAGTCTTCGGGGTGCTGAGTCGAATGGTCTTGGTCCGAGGAAGCCAAGGCGCTCCCTTCCTCCTTTATTCCCAATCGAACTCGCGCACTTCCACCCAAACTGGGTGACTGCACCCTACTAGATGGGGATTTGTATGCAAAATGTCACTAAAAGCGCCATTTCCTTCTTATAAAAGCACGGATGACCGCGATTGGCCCATATGGTGTAGACTTTTGGACGCTGAGTCGACTGACTTTGGTTCGAAAAGGCTGCGATGCAGCGTTCGCCCCCCCCCCCCCCCTATTCCCAATCGAACATGGTTGAACAAGCGGTCACGTGCTCGTGCGCACACCAGTCACCTGGTCACCGTGCGCCTGCAGGGTACGAGGTGATTCGTCATTATTTAACACGAAAGTAAAAAAGCCTTCCGTAGGGTTCGAGGTGCGAATCTTTCCATTTCTTCCTCCAAAAATGTAATACTGATGTCCTTAGATTGCAATGGTGGGTTGTTTATGCACATAATCCTTGGTGTTGGGAAGCAGGGGGCAGTTGAAAAATGGCACTTTTTCCGCATATTATTTGTTGTGGTCATTTCTTAACATCATGGTAAAATAGGCCTTAGCAGCACAATTTCAAGTCAGTTTTCAATAGAAAGAGACCCTACGTGTCCAGGATGGTCCAGCAAGACCGGATCAAGATCATGTTGATCCTAATACAAGCCATTCAAGCTTGCATAGCAGTAGGTGTATCACCCTGATTTTATATGCAATTGTGATCAACATCTGTTAGCAAATTCAGTAATTGCCAATGTTTGGCCATTACCAGGGCCAACACACCCCATTCCTCCTTCCCAGGCGTCGTTTCCAGTATGTATCTATCATATGCTTCCTTTTCAGCTAAATTATATTGTCACTGGAGGTTGAAACCAGCGGCTATGACTCTCTTATACTCTATTTTACCGTAAACATCGCGCACATGCAGACTGAAAGCTCTTGCAATGTCACTTCCTGAAGGAATATCAGTCTCAATTTTGGAGGCGAACTTGACAGAACATTGACAATGGCAATGGCAAAAAGAAATTTGACGTGACTTTTTGCAGGCGCTGGCAATGAGATATTTTACCGATTTGTTAAGAAATGACGCAATGTTAAAAAATTACGAATCACCTCGTACAACTTACAGCCTGTTTGGGTGCATTCCTGTCAAAATGGCGCTTTTAGTGTCATTTTGCATACAAATTCCCATCTACAAGTAGGCGCAGTCACCCAGTTTCTGTGGAAGTGCGCGAGTTCGATTGGGAATAAAGGGTGAAGGGAGCGTCTCAGCTTCCTGGGACCAAGACCATTCGACTCAGCACCCCGAAGACTAAAACTGGTGAAAAATTGATTTTAAGGTATACTTCCCCTTTGTTACTCAGGACACTCAAAGGAGTCATTGCTGGACATGCCAGACAGTCAACCGACCCTGCAAAGGCCTTAGCTGCAAATATTTATTCGACAATAAATCATGAACGGTTGTTTTCACGAAGTCGCTTACCAACTCCAGTACGAGACACACTGTCACTGTGTGCTTGCATGCTGAGGGTTGAGGCTATCCATGCCATGACAATTCCGTATATTTCTCGTCCGTTGCTTTCCTCCAGTCCAGGATAACCCTGGGCTCGCGATAAACAGCGCCGGGAACGTTACTCTATTCTAACCGGCTTACTTACCGAAAACGAGGTCCAACCGAACGTGACTGTGCCGGTTTATTCCCGCTCCCGGATGTTCCCGAGGCGCGAGGCTTCCGCTTGCTGAGGCCTTGCCTTGCTGTGTTGGTGCTTGTTAGTTCCAGGACCTTTTCTACTTGCAGGCTGCAGGACGGCGCTTTGAACAGAGTGAGGCAGACGAACATTTTTACTTTCCAGGGTCACAGTCAAGAAGTAGTTGACCATGGTTGCCGCAGCAGTCCTGCATCGAGTGAAATGCTCAGCTTCAAAGTGACTACATCCTCAAAATGTAGTCACATCCTGTGGATCGGTTCTTGGACCGTAGGCTTTCTGCTCTGTTTAGTTCGAGAGAGGCGTGAACAGCATCACATCGTGGTGCGGCGGCGCTGCCATGCCGGGCCTGATCTCGATGATGTCGCTCCGAGCCGGCAACCCGTTCACGACCAAGTCGCGCGCGTCTTCATCGGTAATAATTACCATGATTACAGGATTCATGAGGTTCTTCATTGTGCTGCTGCCGGTGCTGATGGTGCTGCCTGCTTTCGATGCGAGATGGAGCAGTTCGAGTCTCCAGTGGCGTGGACAAAATGAGGTGAAGCGCGGTCGAAGCAAATTGCTCGTTATCGGTGTGATCGGTGACATACATTTACGCTTAGGCCATTCTGTGTGTGATGGCACAAGGCCGTCTAGCGGATCGCAGAAGAGTAGTTTGCAGGGAAGAGTCGCAGTCCCACTTATCTCGGACTCCAGGCAATGTGATACGAGTGAGCCATTGCTGACTTCAGCATTGAAGCATTACTCGAGGCTGAGACTGAGAGACAAGCACCGACCGGAGTTCCTTCTGCTGTTGGGTGACAACGTTATGCATAATGTAGGACTCTCGCTGAGAAAGCATACGTCTTGCGATGATGCTGCACCAGGCGGCAGGAGATGTCAACCATCAGCATGGACAATTGCGTTGGCGTCGCTAGCCATAGAGTTGAAAGTGACGCGGCTTCTCTGCAAACACCTTCATGGACATCATGCCTTCCCAGTTGTTGGCAACAATGACTTACCTACCGATTGGCTTTTGCCCGTGTATGGTAGAGTGAGATATTGGTATCATAGCCTGTTTCTGATCTGGTGGAGAATGATATCAGGTTGCTGGACAAGAAGACACGACGTACATGCACCCAGTGCTTCAGAGTCAGTGCAGGCTCAAAGGAACTCCGTATCCCGGACATTCCAGCTTGGTGGATTCTATACGGTAGAACTGGAGGACAATGTTGACATCGTAGCACTCAACACTGTGCTGTGGTGCCGGAAAGCCAGACACGGGAATACAGCACACTGGAGAGCGATTGCCAAATATCAATTGTATTGGCTCCGGCACTGCTTACAGAAGAGTTATAGCAGCGGCCGGAAGGTGATCATTGTCGGCCATGTAACGCCAGGGTAAGCATTGAGAAGCTCATGATGTGTGCTAGCTTAGAAGTTACAATATCTCAGCGAGGTGTAACAGATGCCGCATCAATACTGTCTATTTGAATTAGACAATGTGTCTGATGTTCTTGCTGCAAATAGTGCTCAATACCCTAACAAACTTGGCAGAGCGCCACAGGGCAGAACAACAGAGACCAAAAAGCTTTCTTTTGACTCCGAGTTTCATTATCAAAAACACTCATCAGACGATAAAACATAATGTGCTATTCGCTGGTTATATACAATGTAGGGTAATTGCAATGTAGGCTAAGGCAGCTGTTTGAATTGTTATGTACTGGTGTTGGCCCCAGCATGCCACATACATTCCCGTTGAACTGACTTTGGACAGTTTTGGTCATTCACCGTTCACAGTTTGATATGTTACATGTTGTTCGAAGGCTTCATAAACACTCCTACGTGTTCTATCCAATCTCTTCACCTTTGTCTTCCTTTTATCATCAATGAAAGTTTTATGTCTGCCTATCTGTATGTATGTCTGTCTGTCTATCTATCTATCTACCTATCTATCTATCTATCTATCTACTCCTCTCTCTCTCTCTCTCTCTCTCTCTCTCTCTCTCTCTCTCTCTCTCTCTCTCTCTCTCTCTCTCTCTCTCTCTCTCTCTCTCTCTCTCTCTCTCTCTCTCTCTCTCTCCCTCTCCCTACCACAGGATCAATGAGTATGGCATGCAGCCAACATGGTATGAGGAATTCACGGGTGCTTATATCAGCTTGATGGCCGGCATGTATCGCCACACTGTCATCGGTGAGTTAGCTGAAAGCATCAGTGCTGTCACAGTATGCGCGCCATGCATCAGCACTGAAACGTACAGTGTGGTCCCTGGATCAATGTACTATGCAGTCCATGCACTCACTGTTAAGTTCTCACCCTTTCATTTAAAGTTTCTTTACTGTCAAAAAGCAATGATTGGAAGAGTGACGGCAGAATTGCTGGACTATATCCACCTCAGTTTAGCCAGTCTAATCACACTGCTGCCACTGAGATACATGAATCATCTTTACAAGCATGTTCGTTATCTTAACGTCACACCGATTCACACGTCAGCTGATTGAATACATTTAACACATGCCTAAGTGCATCCTGAGCTAATCTCTTCAACATGGTGATTGTCACTCTCTTTTTGTCTTTCTCTTTTCTATTCAGGTCAGTTCTTTGGTCATTTCCACCGTGACTCGTTCAGGGTATTTCGCAAGCAAGCGATCCTAGGATATCCTCCCATGGAGTATTCTTCAGTGTTAGGTCCAGAGAGAATATCTTCAATTGGCACTACTGCCATGTTCTTGTCGCCATCTATATCACCCATCTATGGAAACTGTCCTACATATCGTATATTTGAAATCGACCCTGCCTTGAGCACAACCGACTATGTGCAGTACCGCTATGGACCGTGTCCATCAAGAGCTGCAAACGGCAGAACACAAGGTAGGAGACACTGTGCGTGGCACTTCATAGTGCTTGCTACACCAGCACCATATCACGATGCTGAGCTGACTCCACAGGTATTCACGTATCCTTCACATATATACACACACACGCACACACACACCTGTCCTGTTGAATCACAGCCACAAGGGCCATATGGGCCCCGAAGGGGCAGTAGTGTTCACGTATACTTCACACACCAACACATACACACACAGGGCATGCGCTAAGGATTAAAATGTGCTCAGACACAATGTCCTGCCAGTTACAAAAATGGCCGGACATGTCCGGACATGCAAATTTTCACATCAAATCACACAGTGTTCAGTGTAGAATTAATACCATCAAAATGTTATCATGACGTGAAAAGAGTCCGACCTTGGCTGCTGCTGCGTCGTCAAGTTTGCACAAGGCTCGAGCGATTGGCGCATACTCTATTGGGTTTCCGCTTGACTCACGGCTCCTTGCCAAACAATGCCATGGCACGGCGATGCATTTCAGAAGCAGCATGATCTTTGAAGGCTGATGTTTTCAGGTTCCTTGAGCAAACGACGAAGGAGTCAGAAAAATTCTTGCTGCTGCGAATTTTATCAGCAAAACGGGAACACATCTTACACTTCAAATTTTCGGCAACGCTACGATCTGAGGGACTGCGCTCATACTCATAGCTCAGCCAAACAGAAGTAAATTGAAAGCTCCCTATCATACTCGGCGACCCACTTGTCACAAGTGGTCGTCTTGACTCCTCTGGGCTTCTTTCGAAGAGGAGCACCCGGAGTCTGCGGTGCTTGGCTTTCTCTTGCCAGACTACATCACTAATGACTATGAGACAAAGGATTGACGTGCCTTTTCTTTTTTGTACTTTGCAAAAAAGTGCGCGGACACTTTGTCCGGATGTGTACAAAACATCCGGAAACTGACTGTAAACGGTCGGAAATTGTCCGATGTCCGACCGTTATTTCGCGCCCTGCACACACCATCGCCGGCACCACCTACAGTACACCAAAGGCATAACTGAAATACGGGCATGGCACCTTCAGTCCTGCGGCACCCAGATGAGAACGGCTCTTCATGGTACTGTATTTGGGATTATGGCCTGGATATGGCGTCACTAATAATCATTATGTACAATTTGATGTCATCCATAGCGTATGCTTCTGTGTGTTTTTGCATAGATACGGGCACATTTGTGCGCGACTATCAGTTCACAGCGCTGTACAATATCAGCAGCAGCAGCGGTAAAGTAGGCTCACACCCAACAACTGCAGATCACCTGTATACACTTGCAACTCAACTTCAAAAGCAATCACCTCGTTCTGCTCTGTGGCGCCAGTTCTGCTCAAGGTACTACGTGGAGAAGAGCAGCGCGATGGACTTATGCTTTACTCCAGCAATGCATGTTACCATCTCCTGTGCATTCACCAGCAAGACTCGGTCCGAGTACAGCCAGTGCATTCTGCATAGGACACTCTCAAAGGCAGCAGCAGCAAAAGCACCCAAGCACTAAAAGTGACAGCAATAATAAACAGCTGCCGCAGGGGAGAAAGCAGAGCACTACAACAGGCCTGTAACATTTGAAAAAGGGAAATGTACGCATCAACATCGATACTGAACAAAGCAAAATAGCATCAGGTCAGAGCATGACCAATAGATTTCTCTTGCATGCCGCATACAATGTAACTTATTCTCGCCCTGTCGATATTTTTTACTTTTTTAAGTACAATCTCGATCTCCACAAGAACACTACGCAGTGTACAAGTTTTGCTTCTTCTTTTTAATTATAAATTATTCAGTGTTTTTCAATGACTATCTAATTCACAGCAAGTGAAAGAAAGAGGAAGAGGAGAGAGACAGAGAGAGAGAGAGAGAGAGAGAGAGAGAGAGAGAGAGAGAGAGAGAGAGAGAGTGTGTCAGAGAATAATTGCAAGCCTTCTAAAGTAGCGCCTAATCCCCAAGAACCTAACAGCAGACGGAAGAGTAAATAAAAAAATAATGGTGCCTACAGCAACAAATAAGTAGCAGAGTCCTTGGGAGGAGGAAGACCAGCAGCCAGTATAGTACTGACAAGGGTATTTCCCAACAGAACGAAGGGGTGGGGGTGCAGTATAGCTAGAAGTGCATTCTATGAGTACATGCACATTTGCAGGAGATGAAATAACGTTACCAACAGCAGTGGATCTAGCTATCAAAACGTCTTTCTAATACATGTTGACTAGAATCAATGCGGCAACAGCAGCAGCACCTGCAATAGCATTACGCACTCACTGTCACGAGTCCAATGCCACACCACTCTCCATCATGATGCTAGGCTAACAACACACCACTCACTCTCCGGCACGAGGCAGGCAGTAGAATACTATCATCAGGAGAAGACTGTCCCAAAAGGGACTTTCAGAACTACTCCGTCATTCAGCCTAACCCAAGCCATGCGAGTGGAGCACCTAGCCAGCATCAATGATAAGGGAGAAGCATAACTGGACAGTTGAAGACAGCAGCAGCTGCAGCCCCAGTAAGATCAAAGAAGCTGGATTATAGCAGGCGTTCAAATACGGAGGTGAATGTTTCCGGTGGCTGTGCGCCAGAGAAGGAGTACGGCTGTTTGTTCGGCTCGGACTGGTTGGAAATGATAAAATGGGGCACACCATTGACACCATAGTCGGAGCGACCTTCATCAACTTCCCCTCTAACCCTGGCTTGCACTGCAGTGCTGTCAATGTGACTTTCTGCCTCAGCACGGTTTAGTCCAACCTGAACAAATAACCAACAGCCAAAGGAGTAACAATGGAACCGCTCAGACATCGTTTTCCTGCCAGGTCCAGGACCAGATATATGCTAACTGCTCTGGACACGCCAAATCCTAAGACATCCTCATAACGCATACAACTGCTTCAGCAGCATTGGCTTCCTTGAAAAGTGTGAGCAACCCCATCTTGAACCAAGCCAAACTTTCCTTTCCCAGTCCCTCAACAGTGTGATTCGGTGAGCTTGCGAACAGCATTGCCCAAGCTCACCACCACCCACTCCAAGAAATCAAGGAGCATCAGTTATGCCTTTTCATCAGGGTATTCACAGGGAAACAATGGAGCAGTGTTGTACTGCACGTATTCGGTGGTATTGATAACTCTGCTGAGTCATGATTCGTCGGCAATCCTTAGGGCGTGCATAGGGATGCAGGCTTGCTCATAGGTATGCAGAGTTGCATGACAGAGCCTTTTTGATTAGCACTGGCCATCTATTGTACAAGCAATTAGTTTGAAGTTTGACTTCAAGGGAGCTTTGAGTACATTTCTCCATACTAGTCCACATACACTCTCAGGTAGTACTCCATGGTATGTTATCTCCTATCAGAGCTGTGTGGAGTTACAAGTTACAACTAAAAGGTAAGAACTCATCAACAACACCGCAATGCAGCAGCCTCTTGGAAAAACAAACGCAGCACAAATACCAAGTGAACACCGCCCACCTTCTCTGCAGCTTCCAGCAAGAATTCGTTGGAGCTGATGAGTCGGCCATCCGCAAAATAGCCTCTAAACAACACCTCAACCAGCTCGTTCTGCTTCTGCACTCCAAACGAGCTAGCATAGTCCACAAGGCAGTGGCTCTTGATAGTGCTGGAGATGATGCGGTTTGAATCAAATTCAATGCCCTGCAACAAACAGTACCGCATACACAAGCAAGCACACACACGCACACACACGCACACACACACACGCACGCGCACGCACACACACGCGCGTGCATGCACACCCGCACACACACACACACACACACACAGTTTTCCAGATCCATACATGCAGCACATAGGGAAAGATTCCAGCATCCATGCCCCATTCATCAATCAACAAAACCAAGAACTTCACGGAAAGGAAATTTATCAAAGATAAATAAATATTCATCGATTACATAGTAGAACATTGCAGTGCTCTACACGAGAACAGAGGCACAGGCAGCATCACAAACTACATGATTGCACACTGCAGGAGTGTAAACTCATCTACTCACCAGTTTGGCAGCAAGTTGATGTAAGTGACCAGACTTGCTTTTTGCCGATTCAGCTGCTTGTGGACCATACTTTCTTGCTAGGTATGTGATGACGGGCATGCCTTCATCTGTGGCATTCGGGTCGAGAAGAAATGGTTTCCACTCCACCTTAACAGTGTCCACACGGTCGGCAAAGCGGCGGACTGCATCCTCAAGGTGCCGCTTGCCAACCCAACACCTTTAAAGAGCACATCACATACAATGTGTCGAGGTGAGTGATGAGCCCACGTGGCGAAAATACAGCAAAGGCATTCTTGCTTATACAATGCAGAGTGAACATTCCGCTAGCACATGCAACAGTAGTAGAGTGCACACAGATCATCTTATGCATATCAGCAAGAGTACATACTAGTAGCCTTATGGTATGTACTTTTCAACGCAACTCCTTCAGAAGCGGAGCGACTAACTTGCCTCGGACAGAATGCACTGGCTCGACGTCGACAAATGCAGGACCCTCATTTGATTTTTCATTTGAGTTACATGTACTAATATAATGCATACCGGTATTACACTTTATCCAACGTAAAATGTCATGTCAGGGTATCATTTTTCATAAGGGTGGCAGGGTAAATTTTTCTACCAGGGTATCTTCATTTATTATCAAAATTCAGTTAGTAGAACTGTGAACATATCCCACCAACTTATACCTCACTCATCTTCAATAACTCGCCAGGCTTGGCAAACAAAGTTGATTCCCTGGCTACATGTATTCATAATTGTAGATACATATGCGTGAGATTTTCCCCAGCGATGTAGATGAGACCTCCACATCTTCATTTAGCCTATTCACTAACTGTTACGTACCAGGGTCATACCGTATCTGAGATCACTTTCACCAGCAACACTGGCTTAGTCCTACCAGCCATGTCCGTTGTCCTTCAAGTCCAATGGAGACGAAAGAGTCACTGCGTCGCGAGGTACAAGAGACGCGGACAGAGCTAGGAAACAGCGGGGCGGGCAATCTCCAATCTAAGCCTTCCCAAGCAAAGGTCCAAGCTTTTCTACTGATCGAACCACCCTCTACCAGGTTCTGGGGTCTTCTCGGTTTTAATTTTCTGTTCGAAAACTCGAGAAACTGGGAAAAGCCGTCAAGGCGTTCCAAGCTTTCTGACCAGCCGCCTGGTCACTGTGACGCAGCAACAGGAGTAATAAAATACCGACTTTGTTTCCGGAAAAAGAAAAAAAATGAGCGTGCTCCCAGCAGGGCTCGAACCTGCGACATTCGCGTTATTAGCACGACGCTCTAACCGACTGAGCTATGGGAGCTCGTCGAAAGACCGGTGGCTTATCTAGAACATCAAGACTTGTGCTACTGTAGGTCTGGAGTCAATTAGCTCCGGGGCTGCCTTGATACCACCAAGACTCAAGAGTAGTCAAAATCACTGAGATAAACGTTTATCTACTCTTGATACCACTCATCGGCCTGACCAGGGCTAGGCCTAGGCGGAGTCCTAGACTTGTTCTCGTAACATCTACTGAGTCTGTACAATCAGTACACACTGTACATGTACTTCGAGGTACGAGCACATGAATGCTTCGATTACTAATACCAAGAGTTAACGGGGGTTATGAACTCTTGCTAATGCTACCATAGTACCAGTTCAGGACCGTGAACAAGTCGTACATTTACGTGACCATCATGCTGGAGAGGGGAGGGGCTCTTCGCATTCAGTAGCTACATGTATCTGGTACCAGCAGTTGCCTGTAAGTGTTGACACAGCTCACACTCTTCTCTCCCACACATTGCTTTTGCAAATCATGCATTCCGAATTTCCGAGAGTGAGCTTCCTGCTATGTTTGGACTCCATTCCTCCGCATAGCTGTCACCGCCGGACCTTCTTCTTCACCGCCTCACACATAACAACTATTGCTTCCGGCTGCTCTAGCGATGCCTTAGGCAGTGTAGCCGCTCACGACTCCATCTGCATGCCTACTCTTCTTCTAGCCTCTACAACACTCTCGCAAGAACATAGACAAGCGGCACCCCTGCCTTCAACCTATAGTATAACCTCAGCCCCAGTTTCCTTCCTCATCATCTCACAATTCTAGTCACAACTTTCTGTAGTTTGACTTTACTTTTCAATCACCCTAAGGCCTAACCTGTTGCACTTGTTGTCGTGTGTTCCTGCAGGCTACACCTCAGTATATAAAAGCAGTCTGTCATTATTATTATTATTATTATTATTATTGTAGAAGAGAAAAGGACATATGGATACGAGTTACTCTTAACTCGTATCCATATGTCCTTTTCTCTTCTACATTTATTTATGGCTCAACATCCGAGTTTCATTATTATTATTATTATTATTATTATTATTATTATGCTCTATTCGCGTTAGCATCAGTGAGCTTATAAAGCTCACATATAGCCTTCGCTTAAGCCGCATATAGCCTTCGCTTAAGCCGCAAGAAGTCTGCAGTCTGTCATCGTAAAATTATCATTCCCACATTCCGCCCTCTCTCCTCCCCCACTCTCCTCACTACTCACTACATCATCGCCCCTCCCTGTCTTCTCTCTAGCTTGGCACAAGTAGTAGCACGTCTCCTGTTACAGAAAGGCAATGATTATGTACATATACATGCATGTATATTGGGTCTTGGGTCTTGGGCTTCTCAACATTGCAGAGCTCGACACGGTCTATTGCAGCTGATGAGTTGAACCCATCCAATTGCTTTCTCTGAGTCTCTGGCACCATGATACTCATAGGTGTTGAGGGTATGTCAAATGTCGTGATGTCGCATGCACATAGTACTGCTGTGCCTGATGTGTCTGGGACGGTGTGAGTCCAAACCTCAAATGACCGGGGTTTGCCAAGAAGTGCCGCTTTGAATTTGATGCTCTGCATTGCTATTCGCACTTTTTTTTCATGGGCTGCCGACTAAGGCCTGGCGCTAGATATCTGAAATAGCTACTCAGGTTGTTTGATGATGCTGTGGACAGAATTATGGCTGGTATACTGCCTACGGAGCACTATGACTTGTTCTGTCGAGCATGGATCGTGATGCTGTGATGTGCTGGTAAATTTACTGGTGTTCAGGGCAGTCTGCGCCAGTCTGAGCATGATGCCTGATGGTAAGGTCATTCTGCGCCTGGCCGCCAGTGGCGTTCACATCGTGATCGGCGCTTGGACTGTGCCGGTGAGGCAGACCGGCGGCTTGCAAGCTGGGTAACGGGTAGCCACGCCACTCAAGCAGTTCAGTCAGTGTACATCCCCCCCCCCCCCCCACACACACACACATAATAACTAACTATTGGGGATCCTCTCTAGTCTAGTCTATTGACATTATTGCATGTACATGTGCATGTAGTCATGCTGCGTAACCGCTGCCGTTATACTTATGCCATGGTCACATGCTACCAAGGTTAGGAGCTAACTACAGTCACGAGAAGCATGCCAGCACACACACGTACACACGCCTTGAACACCTGCCAGAGGGTTTACTAATACTAACAATGCTTGACTCCATAGACCAATAAGGCAATGTGCAGACACTGCCACACTCACACACAGCTGCATGGTAGTCATGCTCCCTCCCCACGACCCCAGTGATGGACATTGCTCGGTGGTAAAGTCTTTGCGCCTTCTCCGTATTCCACGAGCTAGTCTCTTTGCAATCCAATAATAGTTGTAGTAGCGGCGCTGTACGCCTAGACCTTCTTCCTATCAGAGAGAACAGAACTGACGGGAGGACAATGGACGAAGGTTGAAGCAGCGATACCACGGGTTCTGCACAGTCAGGACGATTGCTCAGATTTCTGTAAGTAGATGGAGCAGACTCGCGCTGGATACCGATGATGGCCGTATTGGACGGGGCAACAAGAATACGAACAAGATACGTTCTTGTAGCCATAGCTCTGCTCAACTTCATACCAACGGGCTCTTTAGCAGCGCGGTATCAGCTGGGAAGAAGAGGTAGCACTCAAGGTGGCGATCGATGGACATGTTCACCGACCACTGGTTGTGCCCAGCAGTGTATGCAACCTGTACGACAATGTCCTGTAGTAAGCTCAACATGGAGATCGGACCAAGAGCAATGTGTGCAAACCTTAGAGGGTAAGTCAGCTAAATACTGCGCCACACGCACCACGTGAACACGAGCATTATCTTGTAACGCTAGCTTCGCTTTTCTATTGCCACAAGAAGAGTGAAATGTGTCTTTCAGTGTACGTTGTCGTCGGAATGTCTTTCGTCTCCGCTGTGCATGCACATTATGGTGATTCGCACTGCGAAGTAGAGCAAATATCTCTACAAAGTGGTCGACACAGTGCTTATTAGTTATTACAGACCGTGCACATCGTGTACTCTTGACACGGCGATTCCCGTGTGAGTGCCATGCGGGCATTGTGAAAGTGAAAGCTCCGTCATGTTGCAGTATGTAGAACAAGAAGAGGAACATAAACGACAGCGTGCAGTGCTATCCAGGATAGGACTATACGTTGTGAGTGCTTCAATGGTTCTCCAGTGGACCTACTTGGCAGGCATGTCGCCCCACGAGGCCCATGCACCGTGGGGCATGATGGCTGGTGATGATATTCTCCGTGATATGGCATAACACCCGTGCAGTGCCATAAAGACACTGTCTTGTAGATACAAATTGCAACTCATTCGGCTCACACTCTCAGTCTCACATCGCACCTGCCTCTCACCTACATGTATGCTACACTCAGCCTACGGACTGCGTGTGTCAATGGAGAAGAGGATATAGTATTATACAGGGGCACGTTGTGTTTTATTTTCTATCAGTACAGGTATGTGTGAACAAGATATGTACACTGAAAGACGCACGATTTGTTCCCCAGAACTACTAACTTGAACAATCCCACACCTGTTTCCACCTTACAAAGAGCTGTCACAAACGGCGCTTTTGCTTGAAAGTGAAATTTTATATGGACCCTTGATGAAAGTCGATGATCCTTGGATAAAGCCTCTGAAGGTTCCAAGCCGCATTATGTGCATAGATGTACCTGCGTGCTGGTGTGTGTGTGTGTGTGTGTGTGTGTGTGTGCGTGTGCGTGCGTGTGTGTGGTATGAGTGTGTGTATGTGTGTGTAGTGTGTGTGTGTGTGTGTGTGTGTGTGTGTGTGTGTGTGTGTGTGTGTGTGTGTGTGTGTGTGTGTGTGTGTGTGTGTGTGTGTGTGAGCGTGTATGTGTGTGTGTGTGTGAGCGTGTATGTGTGTGTGCGCGTGTGTGTTATAATCATGTGTGTGTGTGTGGGGGGGGGGGGGGTCTGCGTGAGTCTTCAGGGACCCTTCATATCTATCCGCATTGAACAAGTAGTCTGCCACTGAGTACAACGCCGTCATAAATGTATTTCGCCACATTGATGTAACGACCAAGAACTAACTTTTCTTACAATGTAATGCTACTTACTAGTTGTACATGTAGTTGGTAGATCTACAGTATTATGACTGATTAGAACGAGGTCTGTCTCGTTGTCCAGGAAACGACCAATCAGCGACATTCCCGCCAAGGGCCTTATCAGAGTTTAAAGCCCGCTCAATCGTTATTTTACTACTCTTGATGACGCGTCGAGGGCCTTGGATTAGTTTAAAGCCCGCTGAATATACTCTAAACTGGTGCGTACAACTCCCTGTATGCATAATAGTACGGTGCAGATAATGAACTCTGCATAACGTGTACGGTGTACTACTAAAAGCTACGCAATTCAGAAGTGTGTACGGTTTTTGCCTCCCGTATTCTTTCATCTGTACGAATTTTCTTTGTCAACAGCTTGCGTAAACCTATAAAAAGCGAGGATCAAAGTCATTACAGTTATCGACAAGGGGCTCTCAAAGCCCCTAAATAGCTCCACAAGCTACATACATGTATATGAATAAGAATGAAGCTCGCAATAAGAGCCCAGCATTTCATTTGCTTCCATTCTACTTTTAGTAGTCCTAAGTGGTGCTGAGTTACCATAACTTACCAGAAGAAAATATTCTTTCATACCACACCAAGTCTCTCTGCACACAAACCACAAAACTACCCAATATAGTGGTACACAAGTATAATGGAAGTGAGATAATGCATGTAACCTCGTTCTAAAATAGTTAGTGCATGGCAGGGAGGGTCTTATGGCTTGTTTGTGCCCTTCAGGTTAGCCCTCGGGCCTACGGCCCTCAGGCTAACCTGTCGGGCACTAACAAGCCATAAGGCCCTCCCTGCCATGCACTAACCTATAATTATGAATATGAATATGACTGTACAATGCGCCTCAAACACAAAGTCATGATGCCACGGCGGACTTCGTTAGGGTTGGATGCCGGGTTTAGTTTAAACTTGAATGTTACTTGATATCCGTTTCGTGGTCATGAGATACATATAGATTAGCACTGATGCCGTGATGGCTATCACCTCACATTCACAATTGATCCACACAGTACATGGAGACGGTCGCTGTGTACTGTGAACGTCCCCCATCATAACCATTTTCGCCTTCTCGGTGAGGGTTTGTAGCAACCTTCTTTTTGCGGCGATGCCTCCTACTGCAGTGCATGTAACGTTATGGAACCAATAAACGCACCAGAACCAATAAACGCACCAGAACCAATAAACGAACCAGAACCAATAAACGAACCAGAACTAATAAACGATACAACCATGTCTTGCGATGGCTGTTTTATAATGGCCGTCTTGCGAGGGACTCGATGTCTTCCAATGCCTGGATGTTGCAGTGGCTGTCTGGCGATGGAGGTAAATGTACACAGTACAGCACAAATACATTTTATTTTTAGTCTTAAATAAAGTGGTTTCTCTTCGCCAATGCAAATACTAGTAAGCGAGTGTTCCCCCTACTCCGAGTACTCGGGATTCCAGATCGCTGTAGTCTGTTGCAAGACTTAGCAATAATACCCCCCCCCCCTTGCATATTAGTCTATTTGAGTCCTGGTGGCCACGAGTACATAGCCTATAGTATAGGGGGTTATACTCTTGGTACGGAATGCTTTGCGGTAGTCCACTGCATGTACATGTACTAGTACTACTAGTAGTAGTGATTACAACTACAAGCAGGCGGAAGGAATGTCAATGACTCGAAAGTCACCAATTAGATAGTCGCCTGAACACCTGGACCTGTAGATATTCGGTGGGCAGCTACATGATATAGCCACTAGTCACTGCCTGTCTCAGTGGTTGTCTCAGTGGTTGTCTCAGTGGTTGTCTCAGTGGTTGTCTCAGTGGTTGTCTCAGTGGTTGTCTCAGTGGTTGTCTCAGTGGTTGTCTCAGTGGTTGTCGAACATAAACCTTTTTTAAAGTAACCAACAACAAAATTGTTTATTGGTTTGAAGGAAAGATGCAAGCGGGAAAAGTCTGAAGAACAAATAATAATTGCCTGTCATTCGCCAGAACTCGAACCAGGAACCTTCGCTTTTTTTGGCCAGTGATAGTGATACTCTAACCACTGAGCTATGGACCGATCAGGGAGTCGTATAACCCGGTTTATACGACCGGTTTATACGACCGGTTTATACGACTCCCATGTCATCCCAGCAGAGCTAGCTACAACGTTCAACACCTTTTTTTTAGATCTAGTCAAACTACAAAAATGTAGCACTGTCGACATGTCGTAGATCTAGCTACGCGTAGCTGATCTACGCGCACTTGCCAGTCACTTTACTTCCACCGACATAAAATTCAAGATCAAGGATAGCATCGGCGGTGTCGTGTGTGTGTGTGTGCTCAGCAGCTACGTAACGTTGCTTGTTGGCTGAGAGAAAAGTAACTACACGGTGTAGACTACATGTAGTACTAATAGTAATACTTTCCGCCATGCTCACCGAAGCATCATAGCTTTGTGGTAGCTGCGGCTGGCTGCTGCTTCGTTCAGGTCAGGATGCCAGGGCAGGGGTTGTGCGATAGCGAAGAGGAAGTCTTTGGCGCTACTACCGTTTTCCTGCCGTAAGTGACAACCGATTGCACCGCCACAGCCCTTATGAAGGCAAGCAGAACATCTGCCTGAACACTGTGGAGTTACACTCGCAGTACAAAGCAGAAGCTCTTCTCAGCAAGGAGCGAGGATCGGTCTGCATTCGGTATGCATGCAGGGAAGCGGAGGGATTTCGCTGTGCCGCCGCTCTTCGAATTATTGTTGTTGGCTATCGTTGATTACTAGTATGGCCTGCCGACGAGGAGGGACCAGCGTGCAAGCCTTACGGTAGCGTGAAGTGGACATCCACTCACGCCGTCACGCAGCACAGCGTATGGATATTGCTGTTGGAAAGACGGTAGCGGTGGTGGCAGCCATGTACATAATTATATTATTATTGTTCTCGGCGTCACTCGTCAAGATACCGTATGACAGAGCTCGAGGTTAGCATGGGCCACGAAGCCACAGCGATAAAACCGGTATCAAGACAATAGCGGTTTAGATGCCCCAGTTCCAAACACTATTGAGCATTGTATTCTCCGTATTGTGTTTGTATGTATAAGGAGTGACTAGCACACAAGAACAAGTAGTACTTCATAATAGTTAGAATAAGAAGAGAAGGGCACCAGGGAAGTCGGGAAATGAACAGCCCGGGTCAACTATTTCCAATGACCACCAATACCCTGAACATACATGTGTGTACGCTGTTGTTCATAATTATGCAGACTGCCCGAACTTACGCTTAGGCCGAGACATCCGCAGCCTCAATCCAATGCGGCCACAACAGCCTCCCGAACAGGTCCTATTGGCAAGTGCCGCCGATACTATAAGAAGATCGTTGAATTGTCGCATGTCACATGTCCGCGGCTTGCAGGGTGGTGTATGGACAACAATGGACGCACAGTTCCTGCGGATCACAACTGACCAGACCAATTCATACATTCAGGTATGGTACATGTACATGTCCGGGCCTGCATGTATACCCCCCCCCCCCCCCCCTCTACACACACACACACACACACACACACACACACACACACACCTACACGCACACACACACACACACACACACACACCTACACACACATACACACACATACACACACACACACACACCTACACACACACACACACACACACACACACACACCTACACACACACCTACACACAGTCGATATTGCCATGACTGTAGATAGTGTAGTACAGGTGGAATCCTGATAATTCAAATATGGCCTAATTCAAACATACCACTGTAGTACATGTTCATCCGTGGCCAAAGAGGGGAATCCGACGCGAGAGTCAAAAGCAGTGCCGCCAGCATTTACATTCCATGTACGCTCCAAAACCCGATCCGAGGTCCGCAAAGGCGCTGGTTTCTGCTCACGTCTTGGATTTCTCAGTTGGCCACGGCTGTACAATACAGGTCTGCTCTCGATATAACAACTCTCACTTGTACATAAACCTCGCTAGTACATAAAAAAATCAAATCCCGCGCCGAAACAGCATCACTCCCATACAAATTTTGTTCTACACAACATAATCCTACATAACATAAACCTCGACATAACACACGCTACGGCGGTCCCCGACGTGCAAACTCTCGATACAACATAAATTCACTTGCACGGTACGATCAAGCGGTAGCTGTAGCTAGGCAGTTTAGGCCAGTTTAGTCCTACATAACGTAAACCTCGGCATAACGCACCCTACGGCGCAGTCCCCGACGTGTGCACTCTCGATACAACGTAGATTCACGTGCGCGGTACAATCAAGCTGTAGCCGTAGCTAGCCAGTTTAGTCTTATTGTGCATATATTCTGCGGCGTTGATGATATCTGATGTCGATGGTGGTACAGTGTGTATATGTTTGCACGGTTGAACCCGCCTTGTAATACCCTTCATTTTGAGGTGCATCTTGTATTTTACACACGGTTTTCTACATAACATAACTCTCGATATAACATACTTTTGCGTGGTCCCAGAGATTACGTTATATGGAGAGTAGACCTGTACATGCCATGTGTCCATTTTGCACATCATGCATCAAGATCTGTGGCTACAATCAGGGACGGCCGTTTGGAAAGGCCATGCATGCTGTGTTTAGCACCCCTGTGCTAGTCAGGCTGAAATTGATCAGATTGTATGTTGGCTGTCTTATCAGTGCTTTCCATCATTTTCTGGCAATTCAAATATGCCATACATACTGAAGTCCACAGACTCAGAGTAGCAGCAAGAGTACATACTAGCACTAGTGTGACACTGCATGATTGTACACATCATGTATAGTGACACTTGGGGCCAGGCAGTGCGAGGACATACTCACATAGTGAGCAAGTTTTTGATAATCATAGAATCATGGCATGTATCCGCCAACGTCTGCGCTGTTCTGTCCTGCCCTGTCCAGCCTTGCCTTATCATGCCCTGCCCTGCTCTGTTATGCTTTTTTTTTTGCTTTTTTGCTTTTTGTTCGCAAAGTTGTGACGTTATTTCCTGTACACATGTGTATCTGCGTGCACAGTGGGCTGGAGGTGCGCAGAGTGTAGCTGCCTACGCTGGTCGACTAGCCAAAGTCTTCATGCACTGTTCAGTCACTGACACCACTGCAGCCGGTGCCCAGCCGGGAACTGCTCCGCTACAGCCTAGGCCGGCTATCATCTTCTGCCTCCCTGTGAAGTTTGCAGGGACCTATGAATGTAAGTGTGGTGCAATGATCACTGCATTTCAGGATCTTGATCAGTCTGAGAAGCAATCCTAAGCAAATGTAGGATAGTAACAGTAGAGAGCAGACCATCATTATTTATTGTGCCATTCTGTGCAACATCATGGTCTATGTTAAGCGTACGGGTGTGCTAACTGTTAGCTGGTTGTAACGCAATTGGTAAGTATTAATCTTGTCTTCATCTTTGGCTCCAGCTCCACTCCGGTATTTTATTTCTATAGGGTCGCGCTAGCACATTCACACACCGTCACAGCTCTCCACTTCTCTCCCTCTTTCTCCCAACACCTTTCACCAGAGCTGTGACTCTCCACATATGCAAAACACACACACACACACACACACACACACACACACACACACACACACACACACACACACACACACACACACACACACACACACACACACACACACACACACCTATCTGGCACATTTCAAGTTTTTTTTCCTTTTCTTCATATTCTTCTCATCACTTTCCCATTATTACCTCACAGAATATCCACTCACTGATTCCTAGGCTAGGGTTTTGCATTTTACTTTTACTGTTTCACCCTAAGGGCCGATGGGCCACATCCGAAAAATTGATAAACCTGAAGTGACATTTCCAGCTGAGAGACCATGCATGTGTATTTGTATTGACAAAAGTAATGTGTAAATGGCTGCTATGGAGTGTTCTACAAAAGTTTATGCACCAAGGATAAAACGTTTTATAAATACCTATCACTCAATATGATAGTTCACTCCCCACACCGTAGCCTCTTTCCCGCCGCCTTGACTTGACCCTTGACATGATAAAAATCATTGCCGAAGTCGCTACCACTATATCATGCAATGCTTCAATTGAGGGTGTTTATCTTTGATCTGCTTACAGATTCATCATGCCAGAATGTAGCTGTATTGCCTGCACGCCTTACAGGACCAGAGCCAGGCCAGCCAATGCCACCACCGGGGCCGCGGGGTATGCCACAAGCAGGCCAGCCAATGCCACCACCGGGGCCGCGGGCTATGCCACAAGCAGGCCAGCCAATGCCACCGGTGCGGGCTATGCCGCAGGCCCAGGCACAGGTCATGCAAGCACCAGCAGCGCGTGCAATGCCACCCGGACCGCTACCTCAGCAGGCAATGCCGCAAGGTGGCATGATGCCTGGAAGACAATTCGGAGCACAGCCACCGCCAGGCTTCGGCGGTGTGCCTCCACCGGCATCAAGCTGGAATCAGCAGGCCCGCCAGAACGGTCTGTTTCAAGACCCCGAAGCGGAGCAGCTGGAGCAGCGACGAGTATCGTTCCGAGTGATTGCTGGTGTTGCTGGCGGTCTGGCAGTGGTGGTTGCTCTTATCATTATCATTGTTGCATACTACCGGAGAAAGCAAATCCAAAAAGAAAAGGAAGGGTAAGCGACTAAGCATGTACCGGTGAACAGTTACATCATGTACAGTCGAATGTCACTTATCCGGACGCCAGTTATCCGAGCACGTCGGTTATCCGACAAGCCCTGGAGTGGTAATTTTATGACTCTCAACAGTAAAATTCTAAAACATAAATCAAAAGAGACTTTTTTTGTATATTGTACGGTGTAATATGCATTTACTTGAAGTAGATGTGGTCAAGTATGCTAACATGTATGTGTACATGGAATATGCATGAATATATTAATGGGTATTGTGTACATAAATCAATGAAATCCAGCCATATATGCACATACAAAATGATATCAGTTATCCAACATATTCAGTTATCCAACATGCCTGATTACCGAAGTGGTCGGATAAGTGACATTCGACTGTATATATAATGTAGGACATTACAATTGGTTTTCACTGTTGGTCCCAGTAAAACTATTGTGTGAATATGACAGGTCCAAGCAAGCCACATCTAAACTCTGGTCTCCACTATCCTAATTTACCGATTGCCACGGTTTCGAAATGCACTCGTCAGTGTTACTAACTTTGCTCTACTTCAGTCTCATCTACACAGCCCACAACCACCATACGCTCCACGCCAACCGGCTCGCCCTCTTCGGACTCACGTGACAAATGTCCCTTCTCACAATCTGCTGCACTTATTGTAATATCCCTTGTCTGCAGAATGAGTGGCTGGGATCGATCCCAGAATCATCCATCTTCACGGATATCTCGTGCACACACGCCTGGTGAGCGAATTGTTGAAATGTTGGTGGTCAACTATTCAGTTAGACAGGCTTGAATTTACAGGACATGATCTTCGCTGCAATTGACTTTGGCAGTACATGTATGTGGTTGTGTTTTCGCTCACTGGTGCACTTGCTACTAATTGCATGCGCATTATTGTGTGTGTGTGTGTGTGTGTGTGTGTGTGTGTGTGTGTGTGTGTGTGTGTGTGTGTGTGTACATGTCACATTGTGCATGTGTGAATAGTTTGCCTCGGCATGTGTGAATATATAAATCAACGGATGCGGCAGGTAGCATTGACTTTCACTCTGCTAAGATGCTTGCTGTGTCTACTTTCCATCACAGATCCGTACAACAATGTAGAGGACAACTCCAATGCAATGACTGAGCAGCCTATCTTCCTTCAAGCTGTCCCTATTGTAAGCCTGAGCCACATCCAGCTAACTGCCGGGTTGCACACTCTTCAACGGTTTATGTACTCTTGGCGTCACTAGTGAAGGGCATTACTCATGCAGCGTGTTACTCATGCATGGTGTTATAAGCAGTGGTCTGCAGGAGAGGGACGGTGGAATATAACTTAGATCATTTTGTTCCATCAATGGAATCAGTATTCAATTTTTTATAAAATATATGTAGGTGTCTTAGGTTATTGATGCGCTGCGAGAATACACTACAATTGACAGACTCCGTTTGAAAGGACTGTATCTGTGTGCCGGTGTGTGTGTGTGTGTGTGTGTGTGTGTGTGTGTGTGTGTGTGTGTGTGTGTGTGTGTGTGTGTGTGCGTGTGTGTGCGTGCATGCCGGTTTTTTGATTGCTTGTCTATAGGATACGGGAACCGACGCAGCAACAGTTCTAACCAACCCGCTAACTGCCACCAGTATGGGTGTCCATGACAGCAGCATGCATGACATGGACCCTCATCAACACACCAGTACACGTGCATCAAATGATGACTTGCGCTATGAAGATGTCAGCTCGTCGTCTTACTATGACAGAAACATGTCGGATGACACCTGGATGGAGGATGACGACGCTCGTGGGTGGAGTAAGAGCAAACGAGCTTCATTCACTTCGTTCAGCTCCGGAATGACGGACTCGGTGGCGCAGGGTAAACCCCGCAAGGCGTTAATGCCGAGCAAGGCTGCACGCCGCAGACGTGACCGGCACAAGCACAATGGCTCACGCCATGTTCACAGCGACATGGATCTAGCCGAGGAGGATGAAGATGAGTTTGACCATGACCACCACCACCATGACCACCATCATGATCACCATCGCCGTCATACGGAATGTTCGTGTGCTGACTGCGACGATATTCCACCGGATTATGACGACGGCGATTGCTCGTGTCATGTGCATGCTGCCTCTGCCGCACAGGATGATACTTGCTCGTGTAGGCCTCACACATGCAGTAGACATTCCAGCGAGGGGCAGCAGCAGCAGCAGCAGGTCTGTTCATGTGGTCGTCCAGCTCAGAAGCAATCGGCAGCATCGATACCAGGGCAATCTCCACCCGCACAATCACACAGTGCAGCAGCTGTGGATGTAGCTACATGCACATGCCAACAGCAAGCAGCAGTAGAAACACGGAGTGTGCCCGCTCATCATCAACATCATCAGAATCTTGGTGCTTTGTCATTAGAAGGCCAACCACTGCCTGCCATGAGAACCCTATCAAATCCATGCCCCACACTTAGTCGTTTCCGCAGCCAGCCGGATATGCACACCGAAGACTACTATCGCGAAATGGCACGATTTTACCCGGGCAATCCTCACTTCATGAACCCGTATGCTTCAGCCTTGTCTGGTCCTGCTGCGGCACCCCACAGTGGATATCACTGCAACTGTAGCCTCTGCCTTCAGAATCGAAATCAATCACTTGACCTAAAGCAGGGCTTGCTAGCTGATAATCAATTTGGTCATGCTCATGGCAATGTGCATGCACAAAGCCAACCCACCGCACATGCAGCACATGCAGCGGCATATTCGCCCACGGCAACAGTGCAGCCTCAGCAGCCATGCACCTGCCACTTCTGCATTCAGCCTGGCGTGCCTCACCAAAACGCCAGCAGCAGCAGCCAGTTCAAACCGCTCTCCTCCGGTCTTGGTCACCTACCCACTCACCCAGCCATGCCAGCGTCACAGCAAGCGCCGATGCACACACAGCCCACTCACCAATATCCAGGTCGCTTGCAGCGACATCGCAGTGATGGTGACCTACTGCTGGCAGCAAACAACACGTCGCGCTTTCAGCAGCACTTCCAGTACCCCACCACCAGATTCCACCAGCAGCCCACGCAAATCAATCACGCTGCTGTCAACCACCAGAACCTTGGAGTCCAGAACGGAAACATCGCACAAGTACAACCTATGATGCAGCAGCAACATATGACCATGCAGCAGCAGCAGCAGCAGCAGCAGCAGCCACTGCAGCAGCAACACATGACCATGCAGCAAACAGTGACTGCAATGCCACGACAGCCGCAGCAACAACTTCATGTCCATCCAACACAGACTGGATCAGTAGCAGTCGAGCAGCAGCAGCAGCCAGCCATGACCGAGGATATGAACTATTGCAATGGCTGTGCAGACAATACGGAAGATGATCAGCATGCCAGCTGGTGTCCTGGTGATTACGAGAACTTCCAGAATCCCCTGGCACCATCAGTAAGTTGGGTTTTTTGGCGTATGAATATTGGTGAAACTGGAGCCAGGATCCCTAGGAGCACCGTGGAGCTGAAGGACACACCTTCACTTGGGCATTCAATATCCACTGTAACATATACATTGCATCATAGCCAGGGGCGTCGGAAGGTATTTAGGGTCGTACGGTCAACCACCTGAAGTGCTTGTGGGGTTTGGGTGGCTCCTCTTCTCTTCAAACTTGAGACCCCAGATCAGTGCTTTTTATTAATTCACAGGGTACGTGGGACAAAGAGTGGTACAGTCAATACCGTAGTGACCGTAGCGTGCCCGACGCCCCTGCATAGCGAATGTATTGAGTCCCCCTATGCTTTAGTACAAGCACGTCTTTAGCTAATTCTAGCTATCCATGTGACGCCAACTCCAGCATTCATGAAGGACAGTGTGAGAGTATAGTATAGTATAGTATAGGTGATGATTGATGTGGGCTTGTAACAATGAGAATGGCGGCGTCAAAAAATCTCTATAGCTCCAACTGGTCACTTTATGTGCAGCTGAAGCAGGGAAGCGTGCGACCATTGTACTGAGGGAGAACTGAGGAAGAAGGCAAAATAATCCATACGTAATTAATTGTTATGGTTGTCTTCAGCTGTATTTCTACTTCGAAGTACAGTGAAACTTCGTTAAGAAGAACACTGATAAGACAAACTTTCGCTTTAGAAAAACTAGTGTTCATAGCTCTATTGGATAAATCACTGTGTATTCACTGGGTAAAAAATATGGATAAGAAGAACTCCCGTTATTACGAACAAATACCATCGGTCCCTTGGTGTTCGTCCTAAAGAGGTTTGACTGTAGTTTCTGTGATGAAAGAAGTACAATTTCAACAAAATCCGTAGACACAAAGCCGCTGACTTGTACCGTGTATGCATACTCTGCTGGTGTGTCTGCTACAGAGTGGTGTCTTGTCGGAAATGAGGACTGCACTGGGGAGAGATCGCCGTTCCCAAGCACACAGTGAGTCCATGGCGCGTCAAGCCTTGTTGGAGCAGCACCAGCAGCAACAGCCATATGAATACCTGGATAGTGCTGCAATGGCTGCTGCAGAATCCCAGCAACAACAAATCTTCGATGCTCACATATACGATGACGTTATGATGGAGGCTACATCATCGCCAAATTCCTACCCGGGTGTGACACCAACACATCAGGCACATTATAATCCCCAGCATGCAGTATCGGGCGAGGAGTATATGCAGCATTCAAACTACGCACGGCCTCCCATGCCTGTTCCCAATGCACCGCCGCTACCCAAGATCTTGCAGCAGGCACGGCAGCAGAATCAGCAACGTGCAGCACATCTTACGGGACAGAAGCCACCAATAGCTGTGAAGCCACAAGCAAAGCCGCGCAGCCAACTGTGATTGCTACATGTAGACATGTGCTTGCAATGACTAGCAATCATGCATTCGTTGATTCTTGAACCTGGTGACTGGAGCCTCGCCCTCAGATACGCTCTGTGCGGTAACCAATTTTCTGGTAATCGGCAATGTGATACCTTCAGATCAGCTGCAACCATGTATAGACTTTTCGATCTAAACTCAGATAGCACGTTGAAACCACACAGCTGCACCGGTGCACAGTGTGTACAGCAAATGTTGAAAGAATGAAATCAAGTATTTATACATGTAAATCAATCTTTTTCAAAATACTATTTCCCTATTATGTTGCTTTCAAATACGGTTGGATGTTACATACCTTGAGAATTAAAACATCACCTTAACACTCAGTTACGTAATCATTGTTCCAAGTGTGCCTGCCACTTGCTTGGCATGTGTGCAGTGAAAGTGAAACACACTCGTTCCTGTACTTTCACGAGGATGCTGAACAACACACGGCTAGTAAAAGCATCACTCCTGAGAACAAATCAGGTGAAACAATGTCATGATGGATTCCAGCACATGATAACAAAATGAGCTCAAGTGTACTTACAATGTTGCTATGGACATGTCATTGTAGCTATAAGACACAAAGCAATGGGCAAATGAAAATGCATCATCAAAATCCAAAATGAGAATACATAAAGACTTAAGTTAATGCCCGCTGAGAAAATTACCCGTTCGGCCCAGAATATGTTTTAGTGTGGATGTTGAACGCACGGCTTGCTCAGTACAAGAATGTGAAGGAGCAATAATACATTCCCTCGTGTCAACTGAGGGAACTCGATTATTTGAATAAATACACCCATGCCTAGGCAAAGGACCCGGGACAGCTGCAGAAGGGAACCCTGCCAGCACACCAAACTATTCCTGTGACTTTCCGACATACCAGCATGGTCATTGTAACAGGAACAGCAATATAAGGGACACTTTCACACACAGCACATGTTTTCAGTTGAGGCTCGGAACGGTGCTTTGATCGGTTGGTAGGCATTAATTTTGAAATGAAATTCGAAATTCAAGAGAAAAAAAAGACGTTATGAAAGTAACCAAAGTTGGAGACAGGCACGGACAGGGAACAGACTAGCATGCAAACACAGTGCACTAAATAATGCACTGTTCAAAGTCTTGCTTGCATTCTAGCAAGTGCACTGTTCAGAACTTCCCAAATAATAATTGGAGTTGTTCAAAATCAGCACGTGCATTCTATTGGGCACAGACAATGTGCCGTGTCCTGCGACAGGGATAAAGCTGCTCGTAAAGCATAGAGTTTTGGTTGACAATGATCAAGTCAATAATCAATGCACAGCAGCAGCAGGTGTGTCTAGACAGTAGAGTAAAACACCAGCTCACTATACACGGCCATGTACCCTGGGTTCTGCTCAGGGTTCGGCGTTTTACCATTGAAATATCCCTGATAGAAGACAGTATTCTTGGAGCCGTCCATCTTGACCTGATTGGTAATATCCACAACCCAAGGGTCTACCTCCTGCCCGTCACACCAGCCATCGCGGCCATACAACCAAGTACCGTGTTCGTTGGGCACAACACCATTGGGTACGTTGAGAGCGCAGCCGAGTGGTGTACCGGCCGTGTTGAACTCAATGGAGTTGTTGTGTTGACCGTTGACCGTGAATACATGCTGAGTGACACAGAACTCACCACAGCCATTCTCATCGGAACCATGCCCTGCACGGAATAAAGCGGAGAAAAACGCGAAGAAATGATATTGATAGCCATTGAAGTCGTCGGAGAGAAGTGAATATACCCTGTCAGTTTTGTGCCTTATTGTCACACACTATCTGACAGTATAATAATCTGGTTACCTTGGTGGACTGTTAGTCATAACTCGTAACAATCATCATTGGTCCTTTCTCTTTACATGAAGGCACATTACAGACTATTCTTCTTCAATTCTACTTCACCTAGTGTTCCGTGGCACACAGACATCAGCCACAGTCACCGCTACTTGTATGCAGGTGTATGCAGGTGAGTTCTTACCGGTGATCACAGATACGAGACGCACAGAATGTGTGCCGGCAGGTACGGTGAACGCCACCGCCGAGCGGTTGTTGTAGTGCTTGTCAAACGCAGCACCGTGCTGCATGACAGATATCATGGATTCCGGAGCCAGCGCAGCACCATTCTCATCAACCACGGTCCTTTCCAATAGCTGCTGCATGTTTGGAACACAGAAGAGAGAAGATTGGAACATGGCATAACACTTAACACTTTCTCTTACAACTATTCATTTAGCACAGATACTACTTTAACGTCACTGCAAGCCAAGAAGAGATGTAACTTCACAGAAAGGCATCCACTTTCATGCAACCAAGCATCCGAGGCATTCACGGATACTGAATGTATGTACTGCTAGCAACAAATGAAACCATGCCGATGCATGCACAAACACACGTTAATACATACATGCACAAAGACACACATGAATACGTATACGAAAAGAGACACATGGATGTATGCACGCAAAATCCTACCCGCACAACAGCCACCCACAAGAAGAGTACTCTCACCTGGTTTCGGAGGCATGGCTCTCCAGACTTGCACGAGGGCACAGCATGCTGCAATCGCAAGCTGACACTAACCATCCAGGGTTGTGCCCAAGGATCAGTACGCATTGCAAGGCTACACTTGCCATTCGTAGACTTCAATAAGGGCAACAGTGGTGTTACATCTGTCAGCCAATGGCCAATACGCCTGTGAGCAGAGCAAGCACACACAAGTTGAACTTTGATTAAGTTACTCAGTCCGATCCACATGTATACAACATCAAACACACCATGGCACCCAGCAGAATTTCAGCAGTAAATCCCTTCCAGCTAATACTGGTAACTGGTGAAGTACTTCAAAGTACTAGCAGGAGAGGTTGTGTGTCCAGTGGGGCTGTCCAATTTACCAATCCACTTCGCCTGGATAACACAAGAGCTCAACCCTAGGCCTATACAAATTTGCTCCACGCGAAACTTTGTGCAATAAAACTTCTCCCTGTAGAACGACTGAATGAAAGTCCAGCATTATCGGCATCAGCGAAGTTCAAAGCGCTCTCTCCATGTAACTGCTCAGCCATATGCACCTGAGGGAAGACGCCAGCACTGGCCCAACCAGTACGCATTGCCAGGTGACTTTGAAAGCAAGTATTCAATCGAGAGTCTGCCCAGGTGTTATACAGCATTCTATACCTTCTTGCCGATCGGTTGGGCTCAAGTCCTGCATTATCAGCATGCTACTCTGCAACCACTCAATAGACCCTAATTTAAAAACTCGGCCTCGTCATTTACTGCTTGTGCCTTCTCAACCTGTACAAGCCAAACGAAAGCGCTAGTAGCTCAACATACCTTCTGAACGGTGTGATCCATCTTCCAAGCTCATAGTCACAGAAAGGTGCTTCTTGTCCCGTACAACAGATTGACAATCCCACAGTTCGGTCCCAAATGGCACAATCCAGATCAAAACGACCAGGACAAGAAAACGATGTGTGCAGCTCCACCAGCTGGTACTTGCGCAAGTCTACAACCAACAAAAGATACGAAGAAAAAAACAAAAGATTTATACGAGTATGCGTGCGCGTGCATGCACACACGCACACACAATGAAATCTGCTCATGAAACCGATAGCACATAGCAAAATAAAAGGCTCGTACCGGCAAGAGATCAGCTGAGGGCCTCAATAGCAAGTAGCAACTAAGCAGGCACAGCACACTGCTAGTAAGATGAACTACAATATAGCAACACACAGTACAAACACTTACCCTCAAATGAAGGGAGAGAAACAGTAACATTGGCTCCCGCTGGGCCGTGCATTTCCTGAAGAGGAATGAGCGGAATGGTCTTCGCTGGCGCATTCAAGCGCCGGTCTAGTCTTGCTGTGTAGTCAAACCTACGACAACAAAACAAGCATAGTCAAGAACTGGGGATCAACAGCCATGAATTTGACTGTGGTGCAGTTAGCTCACCGGTGCACTCCAGCTTTCTCATTTGCTCCACTCATAGCCACCAAAGACAGAAACTTCTGTTGTGGTAGCAATATTCTCATCATGATCACAACATGTCGTTTTGACGGAACGAGGGGGACACACAATTATCATCAATACTGGAACGAGCGTTACATGGAAAAATCTTCACTTGGAAGCTCCAGAAAGAAAACCAAGCAAGATCACCTAAACTTCTAAAATACTCGTCCAATTCTCTACACTGCGATAACATCAAGTCACATCAAATTTCCAGGACAGAACAACACCAGATTCAGTCAACTACAATACAGGAAAAGAAAATACTGCGTGCATGTGCATGTGTGTGTGTGTGGGGGGGGGGGGGGGGGGGGGTGATCGTTTTCGATCTACAGGTTTCAGTAGAAACTACAACAGCAGTGCTACTTTCGGTAGATCTGTTCCTGTTTTTCAACTCCAACCGATAGAGTCAACTTTCCTCTATCGCCTCTACCAGGTTTGAGGCTGGCAGAATTCAGTAGAAGTTGGTACGAGTAGAGCTACGGGATTTCGGTCAGAAAATATCGTATGTACCATAAACGTTGCAAAGATGGGCAATATAAGGACATAGCATCGATGATCTACCGAAATGGGTGGACCTGTGTCAGTGCACGTCTAGCTACCGTTTTCTTTTTCCCAAAATGTGTTCTACCCTAGCAAGCAGACAAAACAAACGCAGCCTTAGTCATGGTGACTAATTGGTTCCAGTACTCACCAATGTGCTTCAAAGTCGAGGAACATAAGTGATGGGTAAAGAAACCAACCACCTTCCGCTAGTTTACCAAAGTAGTCGGACATAAAGTAGAAATGAGGAAGGTCAGTCTTGTTGAATGTCAGTGTGACAGGGCCCTTGCTTAGCAATTCCAGCACAGTATCCACCGAGTCGTAAGAAATGCCAGTAGCTGGCACTAAACCAGGTCCCAAGTTGCATTCCCTTTCGCTGTGGCACACTATCTCATTCACCGCTGTGGCCTGCTTCCCGGAATAGATGATCAAACCAGCTGCACCCTGCTGCTTGGCATATTGCAGCTATGAACAATGAACAAGCAGGAAAGCAATGAAGAAGGGAAATAGAAGAAATCACATACATGTACAAGAAACACACACACAGCCATGCACACACACACACACACACACACACACACACACACACACACACACACACACACACACACACACACACACACACACACACACATACGCATGCCCAGATGCGAGACACAGACACATGCACGTACACACATGCACACACAAACACACGCAAGCACACGCACGCATGCACACATGTATACATGCACACACACATACACACAGTCAACGATAGCCCTGGAATGAGAATGGAAGACCCAACATCTTTCAGACGCTCTAGGGGTTTTCTTTCCGGATCCTTGGAACAACTCAAGACTTTACGGGCCTTGAAGCTGAGTGGTAAGCTCTTATCCTAGCGCTTGCCTTCACTGCCTGGCACTACAAAACGAGAAATTTTGAGCATACATGCTCCTTCCCCCACACCAAATGTTGGCATATAACTGCTCCTTTGCAGACACTTGCACACCATGTTGCAACCTGATGATGGTAATTTGCTGAAAACGTCGTTGAAACAGATACTGAGTGACACTGTGAGTTGTGAATGTGCAGTGCTGGGGGAAAAGAGCATGTGTGCTCAAAATCTCTCATTCCGGTATGAAGCTGCAAGATGCCTGACCCTATAAGAACTAGATGCAGAAGTATGCCGGTCACAGGGGAACACAATAACAGAAATATAAGCGCACCAACAGCAGTAGCAGCAGTAGCAACAGTAGCAGCTTTCTAGACCATAGCTTTTTTTTACCATGTCATGTTACGGCGATTATGTTGAATTTTTCCTTTTGTAAGAATCTTGATGTTGTTGCTTCCTTTCTGGGAAACCATGATAAGGTGTTTTGGTTTGGAGTTTTTTTTAACGTTTTGGTGTTCCTTTCTCTGCTATAAACCTTGTTGTAATCTTTATTGTTGTTGTAATCTTTTATTGTTAATGTAATTGACATTTTTTCAATCAATGTTGCTGTTCTCTTTTCAAATTCTTCGCTCTCCCTGCATTCATATCATCAATGTTTGTGGGTTCAATAAAACACCTTTTAGGAGCAGCAGAAAACAACAGTAGCAACAGTAGCAGCAGCAGCAGTAGCATCCCAATTTATCCTTGAGCACTTACTCACCTTAGTAAGCTGGTCACAGCCTGTTGAAGAGGTGAGTATGAACTGACCGGAATAATTGGCAGATGGGTCAGCAGCTGGCATTTTCCAGTCTTTGTTTACAAGCCAGGGTGCTGGCACAAAACTGCCCGGTGCACGCACCTCCATCTTGGGTTGCACTGACTGGTGACATGTATCAGCATGAACTACAGGGAAAGACTTCGCACCAAGCTGAATAATCTCGGGAACAAAGTCGTATCGAGCATCCAATCGAGGTATCGAAGCAGTCTCTACCAAATACACAGTGAGAGCAGCACAGAAACAAGACCACTGAACAACCTACACTGTCGGCGCGGCCAGGTCTTAAAGGGGAAGTTAAGGCAAAAATCAAAATTTCACCAGTTGTAGTCTTCGGGGTGCTGAGTCGAATGGTCTTGGTCCGAGAAAGCTGAGACGCTCCCTTCCTACTTGAATCCCAATCGAACTCGCGCACTTCCACCGAAACTGCGTGACTGCGCCCTACTAGATGGGGATTTGTATGCAAAATGTCACTAAAAGCGCCATTTCGTTCTTATAAAAGCACGGATGACCGCGATTGGCCCATATGTTGTACTCTTTTTGGACGCTGAGTCGACTGGTTTTGGTCCGAAAAGGCTGCGATGCAGCGTTCCTCCTTTATTCCCAATCGAACATGGTTGAAGAAGCGGTCACGTGCTCCTGGGTGCCCAAATCACCTGGTCACCACGCCAGCAGGCGACAACTTTCACACCAAGGTTCAACTCGAGTGACAGGACTGCACCCAAAAAAGGTCAAACAGGCTAGCAAGTTGTAGGGTAAATGATAGCTTGCATGCCGCCCTGCCGCTAGGACCCAAGAAATCGCATCGTAAAAGTGCTTTCGGTTGAGAATTTATTTTTTTACGGTCTCTGTAACTCAAAACAATGGTGCAAAATGTAAGACGATGTCCAGTGCACTGCATATGTGCAGTTGTCAAAACGGCCGCACATGTTCAGATCGGAGTGCTAGCAACCATGTCAAAAGTGGATTCTGGCCATTGCATAGCACTTATGATGAGAATTCATACTCTTTCTTAGCTTGCCATGACAGTGGAAAACAAAATTCCACACTCAGGTTGCGCTGTTGCCATGGACTCTTGCAATGGAGTCTCGCAATACGACTCGTAGGATAACCTCGAAATTTTGCGGGCTCATCGTCTGTCCCTTGGCAACAGTTTCGGGTCGAGTTTTTTTGCTGGATGTAAGGCACAGGCCATGCAGTGTGTTCGTGTATAATGGTCCTGCCAGTAGGATGGGGGTCTATGCAAGCTATCATTAATGAGCAGTAAGAGAAGTGCCCTGAACGGAGGGCCAGTATGATGACTGTCAGGGCTGAATGTACGATAGCAAGAGTACATGAAGCCCGGTTTCATGAATGTACTCTTGATGATAGCTGTTATTGTACTCATGCAGACCACTCTAGGCTTTGTGATCTATGCAGTATGCTTATTACCTTTGCCTTGTGTGAATATGATGCTGTCAGAGCCACATCCATGGTCGATACACTTCCACTGCTGGAATACTTCTCCAATCCACTTATCATCCAGGTCTCCAATATCCACAGGTATGATATGGCACCTATCCAACAGCTGTTTATCGCCAGCCGATGCCAATACCAAACTTGAATTCAGGAACGGTGCAACCTCTTTGGCATTCTTACTTGCCATGAAGACGAAGTGGGTGGTTCTGGGGGCATGTTTTACAAAATCCTCCACAGAAGACTCGGTGTGCCATTCGGCCAAAATAAATAACGAGCGTTCGTCATATCTGTAGAACACCACAGGTAGCCTTTGCCCGTGTACAACACCATTGAAATTCACACCACTTAGTGTTGGTAGGTTGAAGTCAGGTGTCGTGTCGCCAGGATAATACGCCTGGCCATCTTTGGGACTGGCATTGCACAATGCAGCTGCAATGACATTGACAAGCCAGAAGAGATACCGAGGCAACATTTTGGTAAGTTCCTCGACCTCTACCTGTAGACGTTACGTCGTAGAAGTCCGCAAACTCCAGCACTTTGGAGGATTAGATCCTAGATAGCCTATCCTACTGCTGTCTCCTTCAAGTAAAAACGAGAAAAAAGCAGCTGAATGATTATGTATTTGAAAAAAATAGCCATGTGCCACCAGCTTTCTTTGTACCCTAGCCCTAGCGCCGCGCCCTGGCCTGGGCTGCTGCATATGCACTCGCGCGGATCGCACAGATGCAGACTGCATGCACTGGGCATGGGCCATGTGCATGGGCCATATTATGGGCATGGGACCATCCGGCATCCCCCGGGCGCTAGCGATAGTACTAGTAGATAGGCTAGGCTATGGACCATAGCGCTAGCGGCGGCTGCAATGTTGCCCTGTGTGGGAGTGTGGGGGAATCAGGGCCAGGGGAAGCTTCAAGTTCAAGTGACCCTTTTCACCCTGTACTCGTACTGCCCAAAATGTTGTTGTTGTCGTCGTCGTCGTCGTCGTCGTCGTCGTCGTCGTCGTCGTCGTCGTTGTTGATTTTTATTTTACTTCGCAAGGCCAAACGGGCAATGGTGCCCAGCGAATTTAGCGAATTGAAAATGCGAATCTCAAAGCGGGAGAGAGAGAGAGAGAGAGAGAGAGAGAGAGAGAGAGAGAGAGAGAGAGAGAGAGAGAGAGAGAGAGAGAGAGAGATACAGAGAGGGAAGCAGTGAGGTTAGGGGCATCGGTGCGTGGTGGGCGCATCAACGTATGGTTGGGGGTACTACGTAGCAGCGAAGAACAAATTGCTATGTAATTTAGCATGATGATAAGCGATGTTGCAGCATCAACAGAGCGATTTTGCAGCGCCAACAGAGGGAACACAAAGAGTTCATAGACATAGGTGCACAAACATGCAGAGAAGAACTTCACATGACGTCACAGTAGTGTGTGGACGGGCAAAGTCAGACAGACCATTCATTGCAAGGTGTAGGGGATGGAGGCAAGCTTAAAGGGGAAGTTAAGGCAAAAATTAAAATTTCACCAGTTGTAGTCTTCGGGGTGCTGAGTCGAATGGTCTTGGTCCGAGGAAGCTGAGACGCTCCCTTCCTACTTGAATCCCAATCGAACTCGCGCACTTCCACCGAAACTGGGTGACTGCGCCCTACTAGATGGGGATTTGTATGCAAAATGTCACTAAAAGCGCCATTTCGTTCTTATAAAAGCACGGATGACCGCGATTGGCCCATATGTTGTAGTCTTTGGGACGCTGAGTCGACTGGTTTTGGTCCGAAAAGGCTGCGATGCAGCGTTCCTCCTTTATTCCCAATCGAACATGGTTGAAGAAGCGGTCACGTGGTCCTGGGTGCCCAAATCACCTGGTCACCACGCCAGCAGGTGACAACTTTCACACCAAGGTTCAACTCGGGTTCAACTCGAGTGACAGGACTGCACCCAAAAAAGGTCAAACAGGCTAGTAAGTTGTACCCTGCAGGCACGGTGACCAGGTGACTGGTGTACGCAGGAGCACGTGACCGCTTCTTCAACCATGTTCGATTGGGAATAAAGGAGGAACGCTGCATCGCAGCCTTTTCGGACCAAAACCAGTCGACTCAGCGTCCAAAAGACTACAACATATGGGTCAATCGCGGTCATCCGTGCTTTTATAAGAACGAAATGGCGCTTTTAGTGACATTTTGCATACAAATCCCCATCTAGTAGGGCGCAGTCACCCAGTTTCGGTGGAAGTGCGCGAGTTCGATTGGGATTCAAGTAGGAAGGGAGCGTCTCAGCTTTCTCGGACCAAGACCATTCGACTCAGCACCCCGAAGACTACAACTGGTGAAATTTTAATTTTTGCCTTAACTTCCCCTTTAAATTGCTGGGCAGCCTTGATCTCCCTTACACTCCTTGGCTTGGGAGTGCATTCCAGGCCAAGGCTGCCTGAAAGGCCAGGCAAGATCTGCCGACTTCTGATTGTGCTGAGGGGACAGTGAGGCCCCTCAGGGAGTGTACAGTCTTATCCCGATCAGTTCAGCTTCAATTAAGTTCTGACCGCATACCCGAGTGCAGCTTGTCTTTACTGTACGGGCTGCAACAAAGGTTCCAAGGTTCGGCTCACCATATCCGCTTCTGAATCCAAAAGAAAGAAGGTTCAGCATTCAAAGGAAGGTTCGAAACTAGGTTTTTGAGCATGCATATCCTCACAATCTACTGTATATACTCGGGGAAAAGCATGCTAGCATGAAACGACAAGAATGGCAACAAAAAAAGGTGAAAATAGTCATTAAAGGCCACAGGTACCCTTCAAAGTTAACCCATTGAATATTGTTCTACATGTACATGAGATGAAGTGTATAGCTGGGCCATGACAAGTAAGTTGAAATACTAACAGTCACGACAGTCCTAGAATGTTAGAACTTTTGTTTGTTTAGACTAGGGAAGGCGGCCCATGATTCGTCAGCCATTTAAAACATTCGTTGCAGCCCTACAGTGTACAATTTTGTCTTTTTGTCATATACATTATACAGTACTACATGTACATGTACTGTATGATGTATAGTCGAGTGGATCATGAATTCATTAGTGATCATAGTTTTGAAACTCGGATGTTGAGCCATAAATAAATGTAGAAGAGAAAAGGACATGGATACGAGTTAAGAGTAACTCTCCATCACTGTAACATGATACTATACAGTCAGAAAGTGCAATAACTAGGCACAAAACATATAGTATATAGTATCATGTTACAGTGATGGAGAGTTACTCTTAACTCGTATCCATGTCCTTTTCTCTTCTACGATCATAGTTTTGACTGCTTTTTTAGTGTCTAGGTAACTACTTCAATACTAGTATACTTTGTATGCAGGTAGACTTTCTCCACTTGCTGGCAATACTGTACATATTGAACTGTAGAGACCGTGAATACAAGTTGAGCATCCGTGACTCTGTGATAATGTACCGGTACGAGGAGTGGTTTGGACTTACAGCGGAACACACCTTCAAAACAGCTCCCCCAAATGTTCATATCATGAACCTGCACAGGGGTAGGACTGGCTGTATGCACCGTGAGTATGCACAAGTCTTGCTCCCATTTAATTCATAAGCCGAATGACAATTCACCGAAAGACACTTCACCGAAAGACAAATCATCGAATGGATAATTCACCGACTGGACAATTCACCGAAAGACACTTCACAGAAAGACATTTCACCGAATGGCTATATCACCGACAAGACAGCTCACCGAAATTCTACTGTAAATTGTAATGACTGGTTCGTAGTCAGGCTAACTTCACCGGCGCTGAGTTTCGCAGGGCTGAAATGCTGGCACTGACGTACTGCCAGTGCCACTACTGGCGCTGGTTGCACGTTATGTGGCCAATGTAGTACATGTACAGTCAGTCGTCGCATAACCACTGAGTGCATGTGTCGGGTTTGCGTGCAAAAAATGACTACATTTCCACGGTTAAGTTGTGACCAAAATGACCAAACTGGTAAGCACAAAAATTACAAAGATGGAAGAATAGCTCTGAAAAGCAGCGAGTTTTTACTGAATTAATCCCTTATTCCAATCATCACCACTGGTATGAGTAAAGCACTGTGTTAGCTGGTTGAAACATCAACAGTAAGGGTTCATTTTAGTACGTTTTGGGTGAAAAATATGAGACAATCAAAACCGTAATGATTAGCTAGATCCATCGCTTTTTGGTATAATCGTTTCAACCCTAGTAAACATTACACAAACGTGTAAACCATTACAGGGTCAATGAAATCCGATAAAATCTCTGTCACGGGTAGCGAGGTCTGACTGTACATGTATATCAACCAGCCTTTTATTGTCAAAAATTCAAAATTCTTCAACGTTGTGGAGTGATTGCAACATTTTCGCTGCTTGTCTATTGTTCTTCATTGATCTGCTCACCTCTGTACACAAATGGAGACCGCCTCGATAGGCTTAGTGGCCTCTGGGGAATCCTTGAAATATATTTCAAAATCCAAAATTCTCTCCGTCCTTCTTTGTTTTTTCTTTCTTTCGGTGAAATGTCTGTTCGGTGAATTGGCCGCTCGGTGAACTGTCATTCTGTGAGCTGTGCATTCGGTGAAATTGGCATTCTGTGAACTGGGTATTCGGTGAGCTGTCGTTCGGTGAACTGTCGTTCGGTGATATGTCGGGACTCGGGACACCATCGGACTAACTGTCCACCAACGTAACCAGATCATAATATTATACAGTCAGACAGTGCGACAAATACAAATTGCAAAAAAAACTGACAAGGATCGAGTAGACTTTGTCGCACTACCTGGCTGTATAATCTGGTTACATTGGTGGACAGTTAGTCATAGCTGGTAACTTTTGGTCCTCCTCTTTTCGATAACATCTGCGTGTGCGAGTGGTGCATGCTGTGCATGTGGAGTAGCGGCTGCTAGCATGCTGCTGCGTGCTCACTGTTCACTCGACCGTCTTGACTTTACTCTTTAGTTTAGGGCACTGTTCTGTATGAGTATGAACAAGGTCAAGGCCAAGGGGTTACACTTGTGGACTCTCGGTGTGAAGCACAGACAGCATGACTTGACTTACCCGTCACGTCAACATTGACAACAAGTGTCTCTCAGCCAGTATTTTCGCGTTTCTTTTCAAGTAACAGTTTCAGGCCACCGGTGCACCGGGTACTTCACGGACACGGCATAGCAGATCAGTGTCTACAACCTGTCAAAGACTTTCTGCGGCTTCACTTTCAGGCCGAACCGCTCAGCATATCCCCTGTGACTGCCTGTGTCACATCGTTCCCGTCGACGTCCGCAGTATCACCCCAGCACTCAACGACGTAAATCGTTACAATGCAATGACGGTTAGGTAGTCTGTACAGACAGTCATAGTCAATGACATTGTACTCTACTTGTACTGCCCCAATAACCATGATAACCATGCTTCCCAAGCACACCCTCCCACACAGACACGGACTGGTAAAGCGAAACCATGGCCCGGCCGAGGTAGAGTCTACCACTGGCACTGTACCGGCAGTACCCCTACAAATACAATAGTCAATAGGCTACATCACCATGATCACCTCAGCCTCAGTACTACTAGTAGCAAGAGTACATAACCCCCCAGAGTGTGCAACGCCGATCCAGCTCTGTGTAGGGTCTTGGTCGAGCGGAATCGGATCTTCTGATGTCATGCGTACACTTCACACCAGCGCAAGGCCGGTCTCGAGGCAGGGCACCATTGTTTTTGATCCAAGAGTACCCGCGACTCCCCGGGTTCCCTTCAGATGTGTACGGTATTATGACGCAAAGATCCGATTCCGCTCGACCAAGACCCTATGCAGAGCTGGATCAGGCGTTGCACACTCTGGGGGGGTTATGTACTCTTGCTAGTAGTAGTAGTACCAAGAGTTCATAACCCCTGGGGGTTATGAACTCTTGGTAGTACTACTACTACTAGTACTAGTAGTACTACATGTAGAGGCGACGGTTTCAAATTGGAAATAGGTTGCAAACCGGAACGGACTCAATATTCACTTTCTCTCTTGGTATTTTGATTAGAAAACATATGTCACAGTGAGACTACGATGTGTTATACTCCGAGCCAAAATTTCATGGCTCTGCGATGACCAGAAGCGCCATATCAAGCAGGTGAGTTTTTGACGTGTTGCTTCGCACTGCGACTTGAGTTTTACGACTTTCGAAAAATCAACTTCTTGTCGCAGGTAAACAGCGGCTCGCCTCTCGACAATAAAGCACCGCATACCAATCAAAACTAATGGAAGCACACACAAGGCTTATTGTTACTCTGTACTGGCCGTCGTGGAGCGATAGCAATTACCTAATTTCAGACCCAGAGTGAATTTGACGGGCACTCTAAAACGTGTCCGGTTTGGAGCCACCTCTGATTTGAACTTTTTTGAAGCGAAAAATTGGGCAACTTGGAGGCAATGGGTCAACACAAAGGAGTGGCTCAGTTCGATTGACTCTGGCCCCAGAGCAAACTTCAACATGCCAGTTTCCTTCCACAAACATATTTCGAGTGAAAAATCAACGTTGATGATCGTTTTGGGTCTATACAAATTTGGCTGTCAAAACGTTCCGGTATCGAGCCGTCTCCTCTACACAGTAGATCTACAGAACGCAGACTAAACTAAAGTCTCAGATCATCAGCTCATCAGAGTTCCAGACCACTCCGATCTCGCGTCTACTACAGAATACACTCTACAGTATTACACACAGCTCGCAACACCTGCGACTAGACCATGATTCATGATTGTCTGTACAAGCTGGAGTGTGGTGATATGTGGACGTGCAAGAGGTAGTGATTCAGGAGTCATGTAGATGCGACGGAACTAGCACCCTAGCACTAGTGTTGCACTGTCGACAGCTACAGGCTGGGCGCAGCGAGTCACGGTTTTATTTTTATGTGTGTGTTTCAATCGATTGTAGGGATACTAGTAGGCCGTCGCCCTGGACTGATGCAGCAGCAGCAGCCAGCTAAACACCCTGCGTTAGTTATACCGAGAGCAGCAAACTCGAGCCTATGTTATGGCTGACGAGGAAGATCGTGATTGCAGCGACAAGCTGCCGTTCGCCTTAGCTGTTCTTCTCCTGTTTGGTACGAGTGGCCTTTATTTCTACTTCACGTAAGTCCTGCATAGAAATGTACTCACCGCCTACCGGGTGCGCTATTCAAACTGCTTCACGTCTACCACCGAACAGCTGTACGAGCAGCAGCAGCGAGACTGATCTCTGTTGCTTATTTGAAATGCTAGCTGCTACTGGTATATGTGTCGACTTGGAAGGGTAGAATGTTAGAATACCCCTGTGCCAAATAATTATTCAAGTTTCCAAGTGCATTCTGGTCATTTAATTTTTGTTTGTTGTTTCTGTCCCTGGAATGCAATCATCGTCCGTGCCCATTGCAGTTGTCCATACCTATGGAAGGAAATCTCTCTGGCGATACCCATAGTGGATGCCGTCCTGTTCATTGTGGCAGTATCTGCGTTCGTCTTAGCCTGGCGGACCGATCCTGGCGTATATGAGAAAGGTGAGAATTATGCTGGAAACTCCACACTACGCTATACATACAAGACGCAACACTGCTAGTGTCAGTAGTGAGTTGTAGTAATGACTATGTTGCTCTATCTAATCAGATTATCGTCACCATGGGCACAGTAGTGGGAAGCTGCTAGCGCTAGCTAGCGTGCTGCATGCTTGTAAGTAGTATGGTCAGCTTTTGTAATACTACAATTAGTTACTTGTTGTACAACAACTTGAACAAGTGAATGACTGCCTGTTATTCCGTGGACTGTCTGATCATCAAAGCTGAGTGATGGGTTCATCCACCCTTCCTGTCTTGTTGTATTTCATCATTCACCCCCCCCCCCCCCCTCCCTCTTCCCTCCCAGTGTGGCATATTGGCCTCATAGCCGAAGTAAAATGATAGTTATTGCTCAGCGTCTTTCAGGGGGCTAGGGATGCCCTGCCCTGAGTACTATTTCCCCGCCTGGTCTACTGGTAGCCTCAGAAGTACAGAAGTAGGCCTACCACTTCTTTTTACAGAAAGTCAGCATGGTTTGAAACTGTCACGATGGAAGTTTAGTCGATTCCATAGTTGTTTTCATGATCAAAGTCACAAAACTCATACTCTACCAGCTTTTACCAGCCTCTGCGGACTTGGTAGAGGCGATAGGGTTTGCCAAAGCTTGCAGAGCTACTGGTTTTAGAGGAAAATACAGAACACCCCTACTCAAAGTTTTAGACCGAACACTTACCCACAAGTACGAGTATAGAGGTTATGCGATTAGCCGATTACATCATCAGTTGAGATGATTTGGCAAAGTCGTCGCACAGTGTACGCTAGCAATGCACTAGCCACTCACTGCCATACAGTACACAGCGGCCATGAGCGGTTCCTCTGTATACTAACCGCCTGTAAGCGATTCCGGAAATCTGCGGACTCATCTGTGTGCCTGGCTGCATGTGTGTGCTTGGTGGTGGATTCACATGGCTTCGCAGGTTGTGTGGATTGGGCTGTTACCTGGCTCTAGTCTTGATCTGTCTCATTCAGATCTTGTCCGCTAGCGTTGCTATTAGAGAACATCTGTGGGTGCACATCCAGTGCATTTGCAGATGTGCGTGCTTTTTTCTTGCGACGGCGTACACATGGTACATGGTGTGTGGTGTGCTGACTGATGATGCCTGTAATGGTGTTATGTCTGCTGCAGTGGAGGGAGAAGTCCGCACTAGCCTTCGCAATGGTCTCTACCAAGATGCGAATGTCCGTGGCTACGCTGTACAGGTGAAATGGTGCGAAACATGTAAATTCTATCGGCCGCCAAGATCATCTCACTGCAGCTCCTGCAATAACTGTGTAGAGGTAAGACTGTTACTCTAGCGTGCTACTGACCTGTAGCGGTCTTTAAAACGCAGGTGATTTCTGAAACCAAGTCAACCCTCAAACATCTCTTACTCACTCTCTCACTCTCTCTCTCTCTCTCTCTCTCTCTCACACACACACACACGCATACACACACACACACACACACACACACACACACACACACACACACACACACACCTCAGACCTCAGACCAGTGTCTGCTCCAACGCCGGGTGAGCCCGGGTAATCCACCCGGTTGGGCGGCGCTTGGACCCGGTTGAAAATATAGTACAGGGTCATCTATGACCCGGTTGGTACTTTACACTTTCGAACTTTGAAAGGACTGACTATATGGCCTGTATGTGTCAGGTACTTCTTCTTCTTTCTTAATTTTCTCTCTTTTCTAAATGCGGCTTATCCATTCGCCTTTATATCATTGGCCTAGTTCCCGTTTATCGTCCGAATTAAAATAAACCCACCAACCAGTTAAAGCATGTGACTCGGCTGGTGAGACAGCGCCAGGTACATGTGCACCCGGCTCCGACCCGGTTGAAATGGTTGCGCCAGGTACACGTGTACCCGGCTGTCCTACAATCCTAGAGCAGACACTGCAGACATGCCCTTCGCGGAAGCGATGATAGCCTACGAACAGCTATGTTAGACATAGCAACTTGTGCTGGGATTACACCATTCAACAGCTTGCAAGGCTGATGAATTGACCGCCACTGATTTTTAGGCTGCGTTCGTTTTTAGCTACCTGGTAGAGTAGAGTAGAGTCACTCTACCGATAGAGGTAGATGGTAGAGGCAAGTTTCCGAACGCTGTTCTACCGGATTTAATAGTTTACACGATGTGTACGTGAAATGTTCCTTTTTTGGATGGAGTTGTGTACAAATCCTTGATCTTGCTGGAAATCCAATCCCGTAGCTCTACCAACTTCTACCAGATTCTACCAACATTTTCCTGGTAGAGCCGGTAGAGGAAAGTAGAATCTACCCTTTTGAGTAGATTTTTTTCTTCGAAAACGAACATGTCTACCGAAAGAAGTAGTTTCTACCCAAACCTGTAGATCAAAAACGAACGCCCCCTTAGCCTGGTATCCACCACACAGCTGATTGAAGTGGTTTTTTTTCTGGCCAGTGAATCCCTATTTTTCATGTTTCATTTTTTCTTTTTCTTTTCACACACTCACACACTCTCTCAGTCACACACACACACACACACACACACAAACACACACACACACACATTCTCCGAGGCTCTCTCTCTCTCTCTCTCGGTGCCGAAGAATAGTGGGGGAGGAGGGCTGGTAGTGAAGGGGGTGAATATTCCCCCCACGCCTTGCAATATTGTCACATGGTTTGCTATGGTAAGAAGTATTGGTTGTGCTCGGTGTGTGTAGCAACAATCATGAATGTTGTGTGTTTGCTACAGGAATTTGATCACCATTGTCCATGGGTAGACAACTGTATTGGGCGGCGCAACTATAGATTCTTCTTCACTTTCCTGTCCTCTCTCAATCTCCACGCGCTGATTGTAATTGCATCATCCTCGACAGCACTGTCACTAGGCAAAAATAATGAGGATTTTAAAGGAGTTAACCTATATGGAACGTATCCTCCAGCTGCATTCTATCATTGCTGATAAGTAACCAGCTACTGTTTGTGCTAGTGACGTAATGTGATTACATCATCAGCTAAGATGCTTTGGTAAAGTTACGGCGCAGCAATGCACTCTCGGCGCACTCTGTATACAAAGCGCCCATATGCGGTGCTGCCGACTCATCACTATGACATTTGCCGAACCTCTATACTGTTGATGCAGGTGACCCAGGAAGGGTTGGTCAGCTAAATTGTGTGGCACCTGAAGAATGCAAGTCTTATACTGAAAGTGTATGGTTATCCTCAATATGGGAGCCCAGGTGAACATTGGTAGTGAACTTTTCAATTCCCGAACTTTGCCATCGGTGTATGGCATCACATAGTGACCCACTCAGCAGTATGTCTTGTGTGGCCAGAGCTCGGCAGTGTTTAGTGTGTATGCGGCCTGTTTGCATAACTGTGTATTCACAGTTGCCATGTGGCCGAGTGATCATAGGTGAGCCGCTGCAATGCCTGGCAGAGGTTTCTATGTACTAGTAAAATTACCAAACTAGCCTTCTGATATCCCCCTAGAAATCTATGACTGTCTGCAAAGTGAGGGTCGTGTTCTGAGCTTGGAAGAGTTGGTTAGGATGGCGTGTATGAATGACATGCTAAGGAGGCTCCATTTGATCGCATACACACACACACACACACACACACACACACACACACACACACACACACACACACACACACACACACACACACACCATAGTATGCATGGCTTGTAGCGACACAGTAGTTACTTCATGACACTTGAAGTATACTCATGTTCGCTGTCTGCTTTCCTTGACCACTCTGCTACAGTATAGCTGTACTTGCTATTGCCATCATAATATTTTGCTTGATCTTTGGGCTTCTCTGCTTCCACATCTTCCTGGTCTCCAAAGGCAGATCAACTAATGAACAGGTAGGACCAAGGTGATAGCTACAGCGAATCATGCGACCATGCCACCCACTCAGTCACAGAGTCCGAGGCTCAGTGTATACATGTATGCATATCAGTATTACCCAGTGTAGGTGGCTGTCAGTGGGGAATAGGTGCGCCGCTCAGTACCCGGGTGGTTCAGCCCTGGCATTTCGGTCTTTTGATCTGACAGGTAGCTATGAAATCCTGCCCCCCCCCCCCCCCTCCTTCCAGTGCAGTTGGCTGCTGCCCTTAGCCGTTCGTCCATCCTTCTAAGCCGAAATATGCTCAGCTAATCAAAAGTATGACTATCCGTGTCAATTACTTAGCGAGTCCGATGATGATTAGACTTTGATTTAATACAAGCCTTGCAGTTTATAATCACGCTACTCAGGCATGTGTTGATTGGCCCATTAGGCCTATTGGTATTGTCCACTTTTGCCAGCTACTCACCCATGCACCATCTGTCGTACACCATAGTAGGGCGATCTTTGCTGGCCAGCCGGCTGCTACTATTCACACTGGACGTGGTGTGTGTGTGCAGAACGGTTGCAGCTGACAACACGCTTGTGTTGCAATGCAGATCATGCGGCTGTTCTTGAGCATATGTGCCAGTGGCATTCCTGTTTTTGTCTGTGCTTCTGATGCAGGTTACCGGGAAATTTAGTAAAGGACAGAATCCGTTTGACGACAAATGCTTTCAAAACTGCCTCCGTGTTTTCTGCACACCGCGTCGACCGCAGTAAGAAGTTTCTCAGGCAACTGGGTGCCAATCATTATTAGCAAGAGTACATAACCTCCCAAGAGTGTGCAACTCGACTATGGGTGCTGTACTGACAGATGATTTCAAGTTGACGTCATTTTTTATGATGCAATGCGCACTGTACACGGATTATCACACGAATCCGGAACCTGTGGTGGACCAAAGCCCATCTGATCCTGTACAAATTATTGCAAAGAAAAACTTGTGATGCGTTGACATCCGTACACATCCGGTAAATCACTGGTGCAAGGAGCATTGCATCATAAAAATAATGACGTCAACTTGAAATTCTGTCGGGACAGCAGGGTATGTGGAAGTTGCACACTCTTGGGGGTTATGTACTCTTGTTACTAACGTTAGGCTGGTGCACTATCTACTAATCAAGTGCAAGCCCTGTAGGCTGTCACATATTGTCAGTCACTGGAAGGTGTGGTGTTGTAGGCAATACACGTACAATATGAGTACAATATGCATATGTACAATATGCATATGTAAGACCAATGCCCTACCAACAGGATCCAGCTGTAGTCAGAAGCGCTGTTATTTGCAGTGAATCCTCAGTCTTGTCACCCTCACTTTCTCAGTTTAACCATGCGACCATATGACCCGTTTGTTTGCATATTTTGCTGCCCATTTTCAGACCCCTTGCATTGTCATGCCTTATTACATGACATCAAAATATGCTAAGCACTCGTGCCATGCGTGCGAGAAGTCCACAGTCATATGTTCGCTAACCAGAATCGGCCTATTTGCCTTCCGCACCAGAAGAAAAGTGCATCGGTATTGACATCATTGATTGTGCACGGCTGCTATGTTGATTGTAGATATCGTGGCTTTGAAGATGACATAGCGAAGATAGCAGAGCGTAAACGAGACAGGCTCTACTCCGAGAAGGCGCTCAATGCCTTGGTGAGTTTCCTCCAAATACAATCATACAACTGTCCTATACATCATTTATGTGTTGTGTGTGTGTGTGTGTATGTGTGTGTGTGTGTGTGTGTGTGCGTGCGTGCGTGCGTGTGTGTGCAATGCTTGTGGGGCCTGTGGCCGGTGCTGCCGCTCTACTCGTGGATTCCAAATCCATAGCTGCCGGAGATGGCTCTCTCGTCATGCCGATTGAACATGGTCCCTGATCTCTCGGCAGACTGCCGACTTTCTGCCGTCGCGCGTCGTTTTCCATGTTGTCGGCCCCGCGAGGGGACACGTGACCGTAATGGCAGTGTTTACCAGGACCAGGACCAGGGTGTGTGCGTGCGTGTGTGCAGCCAGTGCATGCCAGAGTATGTGGTGTGATGTGTGTGCTTGAAAAAAATGAAAAAGGCCAAAAGTAGGGATTCACTGGCCAGAAAATGCCACTTCATAGCTGTATGGTGTAGACCAGGCTGAATAGTGGCGGTCAATTCTTCAGCCTTGCAAGCTGTTGAATGGTGCAATCCCAGCACAAGCTGCTATGTTTGGCTTCTGTTGTAGCATTGCTATCATCGCCTCTGGCGATGGGCGTCAAATGGTCAAAATGGTGTGTGTGTGTGTGTGTGTGTGTGTGTGTGTGTTAGCGAGCGCACGTGTGTGTGTATGTGTGTGTGTGTGCGGCACATTAGTTCTCAAGTCCAACCGCTGACTCCCTGCGACGATGGCGTCTATTCTGCCTGTACCTCTGTTGTGTTTGCATGTGGTCTGTGCTACAGCCGAGTGGTGTTGGTGAAGATATGCCCTTGGATAGAATACGTACGGAGAGCACAACGGAAGAAATGGTCACGTTGCGTGATGGGCGATTAGCCTTTATGTCCAGAACGTATTTGAGTACGGAAAGAGGTGACATGGCACATACACCACCTATGGCCAATGGCCGCACACCAGTGAGTCCTTCTATATCATCAGCGAATGGCTCGATTTCGATTTCAGAGGCAAGAAAGGATTCTGTGAACCAGTCTCATTTGGAAAACTACATACAAGCTATCAGCCTCTAGCCCAGGACAATGTGGCAACAGGCTGCAATCGGACCTACTCGGAAGTACAACTGACTCGGATTTTGTAATTTGCTTTATCTGCATGCTTGTGCGCTGTAGTGGGTGGCTTGGAAGCCGCACACGAAAACACCAGGACTCAGATGGCGCACGAAATATTTCCCGTGGTGCGTTTGATTTCCTGAGTTAGCTGCCAACACCTCCGGTGTCAAATTAGACCAGGCACCATGAACAGTGGATCATTTACACTATTATAGGTGTGCCTGTATATGTTACGACTGTGCCGCACACTGTCCTAGTTTCCCGTTCTCATATTAATATAGAATTATTAGGTGACCAGTCTGCCTCTGACACTGTACAGTACGGTGTACCAACGAAAGAATCGCTGCCAACTTGTGACCCCGTACGTACAATATTGACTTGCTTGATGTAGCAGGGTACACGCTCTACACATACATGTGGATCTGCAAGTAACCGTCTATCATTCAACTGACTTATTTTCTAAGGTAATGAACTGCCGTAGCTACTATTATTATCTTCCCAAAAACTCACTCTGAACAGTACTACTTTATCAATGATACGGACTTTGTGTGCCAATGTCTTTTTTTCTTATACATAATATGTATAGTGTGTTCCGGTACTCGGATTATATTTGTATGCATACATGCCAACGTACCAGCAGTAACGTGACAGTTTAGTTCAGAGTGGTATTTTTTTACACCCTGGTCTAGTTAGTAAGAAAGTTAGACAAGCGTAGACCAGCCCAGAACGTTTCTAGTTGTAGTGCATGGCTGCTTTAGTTTTGTTCTTGTTTGCTGGTCGCTTTCCGTTTCTTACCCTCCTATGTATGAGCTTCCGTCTTCTCTTTAGATATTACTTTCTGGTGGTGTACTTCAGCCAGATACTGCGTTTGTAGGGGGCATTTTGAAATAGAAATCATTGTGCATGCACGCTCATGCGCAACTTGAACTGCATTGTTTTCTATGATCTCATTGAATGATTGTGAATATACTCTCCATACCAGCAAAGATCCCTGCACAAACCAGGACAGGTGTGTCAGGGATTGCTTGATCATGACCAGTATGAGCAGATACTCTGCAGAATCAGCTACGAAGTGCGGAGAGGGCGCGGGTATGTAGGTGATCCAACAGTGTCCTTGGTCCATGGCCGCCGAAGCATGCATGCAGAACCCATCTCTCCTGTCAAGAGTACAAAGTAGGCTATAGGGGGCTAGCTGCAATGGATTCAACCATGTATGGCACACATTGTGTCGGTATCATTCAGAATCAGCTGCAGCGCTCTACACTATGAACCAACAGGCAAAGTAAGTTAGTAGTAACGTTACGTGTAACTAACTTTGCGCACACACCACCATGCATGGCCCCCGCTTCTACATGGCTATGCTCAAGTCTTGTGTGCAAACGTTCATGATATTGGTTAATGAAGATTCCATTCCCACTTCCTCTTCAGGACAACCGATGCTAACGGCATTTTTAAATATTCATGTAAAATTTATGGTTGTGATTGCTTGCAAGCACAATGCAGTGCAATGTTCACAGTAAAACAACACACACACACACACACACATGGGCTAAACGATGATGCGGATGTGCCTATGCCTACAGTACAGATGGGTTGTTTCTTGACGGAGGGGAAGGCTCTCTAAGTTATGCTACAGAAAGGAAGAACATGAGACACGCTATACACTGACCACTAGATGTACAGGGGGGGGGGGGGGGGGGGGCAAGGCGAGATGTGTGAATACATTATAGTCAATACTCTACAAGGAAACTAACAATACATGGTAAAAGTCCAAGTTTAATGGATAAGAATTGCATCTGATTAAAAACAACAAAAATAAGATTGAAAAAGAACATGTCAAGGCAAGCACCATACAGTGACAGGGGTGGTAAATGCATGGAAAGCCATTGCAAGCAACTGTACTCACACAGCTACAAGTTGTAGGAACCAAAGTAACAGAGAATAGAAGCACAAGTGATGCAGTAACCGTTACACCCTATACAGGGGGACCACAGGCAGGTAGCTGCTTAGAACACAATCGACTAAAGATTTACATGCACACACATTGTTCGCTTACTGATGGCTGCAGCATGCGTAGTATGAGAAAACCTTGTGCTGACTACTCTGAAAACAACAGGGTTAGCAGGCGTTTACAAAGTGATCTTCAGGATGGTGGCGGCGACCGCTCGTCAGCTATAGAGAATGGCCACGCACACACACACATGCCCACTTGCACACATCACTCACTCAGATCTTCAGTGAAACTCTCTGTCCGGAAGAACCACTGGAGCGAGCAGTGTCCACAAGTAGATGAGCAAGCACACCCAGGCCGAAGTCATCTTCACCCAGACCGATGGCCAGTTCTGTGTGAAGGACTTGCCGATATCCGAACTCAGGGAATCTTGCGGGCTGCAGGTGGCACGCAGGCATGACACAAGACACAAGACAAAGAAGAAGGTAAGTATGAAGTATACACCATGCTGCTATAGTAAATCGTGCACACAAGTAGTTGCCAATCTGAATAAAGGAAAGCAGAAGGACACGGTGTAAGTGAGCAAGCACTGGTCCCACATGTACATTAATCCTCCTACAAAAGGTAGACTAAGTTAGTGGAGAACACTCTGCTCACCTTACACGAGCATGAAAAACAAGAAAGTAGACAAAGAGCTGACAAAAGCTTACTTGGTCCAGCCGGTGATGAGCAGCATGAGGTAGAGAGCTGCCAGCATGCACATGAAGTGGAAGAAGGAGTAGCTGTACGCGACGGCCTCCTGCTCGTTGTCATACACGCGCTGGTCATCGTCACCTAAACCAGCCACACAGGACCAAACACGATCCAATGCCATTACATTTACAAGTGCATGATCACTACGAGAAAATACATGACCAATGCAGAGTTGGTCATGATAATAGCTACCTTCCAGTGGCACAGAAGCTGTCACAAAAGTAATTTACAGCGGGTACAAGTACACATTAGTGTACGCAACCGGCAAGAATGAGACCAGCAATTCAGCGCTAGCAAGAGTCACTAAGTGCTAGTGCACAGCACCAGACAGTGCCTGGCTCGACCTACCTGACTCATTGCTGGAGTTGCACAGTACGGTGCGCTGCATGATGAAGGCGACAGGAAAAACACAACAGACAATCAGATACGTGGGTTAGTGCAGGAATGTATTCTCTGAGCCTACATGTACCAGTGTAGTACTTGCAGTAGTGCTGCTGCTGCTGCTGCTGCTGCTGCTGGTATGTGCACAAGCATGACATGTTTGGGAAACACAGAGATCGTGCATATCACCAAGAGCGCAACAACTCCCCAGAGCGCAGAGCTCTCCTGTATTCTTGGATTGGAAAAATCATGCGGGCTCAGGGGCTTTGTTCACAACTCTGTGGGCACTCGCGGCAAGTGTGCAAGGCATACAAGGTCACAAGTGGTGTAGCGAAAGAACAAGCTAGAGTTTTAAGCTCTGGGAGGTAGATGCACAAGCACTTCCAGGGCTGTGCGCGTCAGGCTCACCTCAGCATCACCATCCTTGCCCTTCAGTTTGTTCAGTTGTGACTTGGAGGCGGTGAAGACACTGCAAGAATACGGAGTTTCAAAGAACAGGACACGGATATAAACAGGAGAAAGAGACACGGTAAAACAGGCATACAGAGAGAAAGAAGACACAGACAGATAGAAGACACATGCATAGATAGACAGGTACACAGATAGATAGACAGGTACACAGACAGAAAGAAAGCACCCAATAAGGACAAGCAGCTCAGGAATACAAGACAGATTTCTCTAACCGTATCAAGTTTAACCCTTTAAGGACGGTATGACGGATATATCCGTCATGACTGTGCAGTGCATACTGCATACACTAAAATTTTTGTAACTCGGCTTTCCCTTGACAGCATCGGGCAATCGAAAGGTCTATCGACATTAGAATCGTCTCAGCTGTCGGCTCGAACAAATCCGAAGTCGATCCGAGGTCAAATAGTGGAGCTACGGCACTCGCAAGGTATTTTACGTCCTGCAGCAAATTTTGACTTCCGCGCGCTGTGTCATTCAAGGGATTTCCCCCTGTTGCACGACAAGCCAGGCAAGTACAGAGCAGTGTGACGTCAGGCATGGATCTCAAGCTGTCAGCTACAAAAAAAGCAGCGCTCTACCGTGATTATTACGAAAATTTCAGCAATTTTACCAAATTGGCTCAACGTCCCGTTTCGTATGTCATCCCAGCGCTATAGCGCCAATATAGTGGTACTGTAGCGAGTGAGGATTACACCAGTGTGCTCCTCTGGCCAAGAGCTTTCCAGGAAGCTCAAGATTATCAAAACGGATAAAAGGAAAAGCAAGTTATGATCCAAACTGCTTCGATACGTAGTGCATGTAGCAGTTTACCTGAATCAAGTCCGTCCTGAAAGGGTTACTGTAGAACGGGTAATGTTAGCGACGTAAAAACCCTAGCGAATTTAGCGATCGACTCATTTTCGCTAAAGTTTCAAGTCGCTAATCCGTTGAGACAGTAGTGCACTGGTGATCCGTGAGTAAAATCGCTAAAATAAAACGTCGTTAACCGGTTGACAATGGGAAAACGCTAAAATTAATAGTCTCTAAAATTACCCGTTCTACAGAACAGTGGCAATGTAAATGCACACAACAAAACAGAAAGCACAAGTGGAAAGACGGCATACATCAAGAAAGAACACGCACGTGCACTAGTAAAATCTCTTCGGCTGTTTACGCCCTACCAGGGAAAACAAACTTACCATGCATACATGACCAGTGCAAACGCCATAACAATACCCACAATGCTCGAGGTTGTGTTATTTCCAGAATAAGCAGCATGTGTACCATTGGGATTGGTGCCCTGGTAGTCAACATTGCAGTTCTGAGCTGCAGGCCATACCAAAACAACACAAAGAGCACGAGAGTGAAACACCGTTATGAAGATTCTTGCGGTACCGACGTGCATACCAAAGTAAAAACCACGTCACAAGCACCCATTTCCATCACCCCCCTCCCCACACGCATACATCCTCTCTCTCTCTCTCTCTCTCTCTCTCTCTCTCTCTCTCTCTCTCTCTCTCTCTCTCTCTCTCTCTCTCTCTCTCTCTCTCTCTCTCTCTCTCTCTCTCTCTCTCACACACACACCCACAGACAGAAAACCTGTTGAGGCAACCACACTGATAAGGTGACCGCCTGTCTCAGAGGACCACTACAATTAGAACCAAGGGTGTTATCATAATCTCCAGTCAATTGACCCTGGATAAAGAGATCACCTGTACACAGGGATCGCATGTGTTAGGTTCCTAGAGTGGTTGACTTAGGCAGGCTTTACTATACACACACACACAAACCTACACACACACAAACCTACACACACAAACCTACACACACACACACACACACACACACACACACACACACACACACACACACACACACACACACACACACACACACACACACACACACAACCAGTATAGGAGCTGTGTACTTACTTGGGCCATAGGGCTCACTGGAGACAGCTGACCATGTTATGTACATGACGTACAGGAAGACAACAGCAGACTGAAGAAGACCAGATGTTGGGGTTGCTGAAAGGATGGACACACACACACACACACACATGCAATATGTCATAGGGAAAAAGTCTGTACCCAGAAGACAGTAACAATTCGAAAGCTACCAAGAACAAATAGCAACCTAATGGAGATGGTAAAGGTGGACATAAGACATTGTGTACTATGCCTGAAGCTTCTTGGGACGTCAAGCAACTTACCGTCTTGGATCTTGGGCAGGATAGAGATAATTGTGACAACCAGAGCAGCCAGGAAGGTGAATGCAATGAAGAACTTGTTCAGGCTACATCCACCACTCTGTAACAAGCAAGGATGGGATGCAATACATAGATCATATACATCTTTGCTCCCGAGGTCCTACACAGCGCGATCATCTCAGGCTACCGAAACATAGTAAACAACTGCCACGGCTTGAACACAACAGACTGTTCAAGAAGCCACAACTAGTAGTTTGCAAGTGAGACCTCCCAGTACAGTATGGGTACACATCAAATACCAGCTTGGTGTGTTGGCAAAAATCAAACGGCAGCCTGCTACACTATCACACCTTGCAGACTTACATTGCCATGTCTACACTCAGTACAGTGCACGCGAATGATCACTGCTCAGTGCAGCAACCACACTACAAGTACAATACACTCTACACATACATGCTACCAGGCTGCGCATAGTACAGTTCAGTTCTGAAAAGTCTGCTACACACAGACATTGTGTGTAGCATTCCTACAGGCTATCCAACATCGACTAGGTGCAGCCAGCACACCCTAGCACACATGTATGACCTTTTGAGTCCAAGTAAACCTTCACTCAAACTCAAGCGAAGGTCCACTGAACCTTTGGCATGTTCAGTCTACCTCGCTTGGCAGGAGACCAAGGAAACATGAAACTCGCAAGTGCCCCTTCAATCCCTGAATAGCACCTTACCTGGGTGAAGAATACAAGCAGCACCACAAAGATGGCGAAGGCTGCTGCAAACATCCCGAATGTGAAGAACAGGAGAGCTGTACAAACAAACACATAATTAGGGCACACCGATAAAGAATAAACACCAATGCTCAATATGGGTAAAAGTACACCAGGACATCATAACACTGTGCTCCACTGTGCAAACCGCAAAGACTATACCAAGTTACTCCTGAAACAAAGGATCAGAAAGAACACCTGATGAGCAATATGTAAGTCAGATAAACTGTAATACAGAGCAGATGAGGTAGAGAGATAGATAGACATAAAGATAGACAGAGAGAGCACACAAGGTGGTATCCCTAGACATACCACACTTCCAGCCATTGCCATCACTCTCTTCCATCTTGCCCACCCAGGATTCGTTCCAGGAGTGAGCGAAGTCAATCAGCAGCACAAGTTGTACAACAATGAAAAACCAGGCCGCAGTGATGGCGATGCCGTACAGAGCTGCAAATGTAAAACACAGAAAACAGCAAAGAGTCCAGCTGCTCACTCTTGAAAGTCCTTCATTGAACATGTATCATGTATCACGATCCACTCCACATTCAACGGCAGTGTCAATGGGCAAAGGAATGTGGGACAGTAAAACACCAAAGGCAAGTCAGCTGCTGTCCACTGCACCTCAAGAATAGGAGTCACTCCTTCTGGTGGTACATACACAAACACACACACACACACACACACACATCACACACATCACACCTGTCCCAGAAATAAGCGCTAACCTGTTTCAAAAGAGCCCGCTTGAATATAGAAGGCACCGACGGTAATGGCAATCAGGGCAAGATACTTGAACAGCCAAAAGCTGTAGCCAAGAAAACACCAAGACATTTCTGATTAAAACAGACACCAAACTACATACTCAATTTGCAGTAGTAGTCCAGGGGTTACCTGTATTTATCAACAAACTAGAGCCACACACCACACAGTCTCCTATACACGAGCAACAGTTGCACAGTGATTGGCCACTCTGCACCCAGAGCCAATGGCGGACTTGCTTGTCCAGCATGGTGTATAGCTGCATCATGAGTACCACATAAGCAGCAGTCACAACATTCGCACAACTACACACATACATACGGCAGCCAGTGAGGTCATGTCAAAAGACTCAACACTCGTCTATAAAATGTTCGTTTAGAGTATGCAGTGGTGTAGTACTGCTCTAGGGTAGGAGTGCTGCAGCTCACCCATTCTGGAGTTTAGCCCTGGGGTCGTGACTCGTCTTCACAGCATACATGATGACCATGAAGAGCAGATAGAAGCAGGCAAGCGCAAAGAAGATGCGATAGACAGCAAAGTTGCTGAAGTACTTCTGCAAATCGTCACTGTCAACACAGCTTTTCGAAGCATCCAGTTTGACCACTTTCCGAATAGTAGAGCAGATGGTGTTTGACTAGAGTAGAAAAAAAAGAGAGGACATAACACAAAAGGTATCAACTGCTACAGCCAGTGCCACTCATACATACACATTCTGACATTCAGAAGGTAAAGCTTCGAAGTACCGTCTTGGAAGGAGTGGAGTCAGTATAAAGTAATGAGATGCAAAAACAACCAATGGCGACTATAATTATGTTTTCTGTGGTCAATGTTCCCCATGTAGTGTGCCAAGTGGCCGTGATGTCAGGACTGACAACATCGACAATTACTAGATATGAATGAAGAAGCTCCTGTAGATGAACTCAGATACTTCTCGGCAGATGATTTTTGACTGAGTATTGGTTCTTGATGACTTTATGCTACGACAGAGCATTACAGTGACAGGCAACATATTTACCTGGTTCCAATTCGATCACCGAGTAATAATAATGAAGTCTGTAGCACGCAGTCTACTCCTATCATGTGTGTGCGCGCGTGTGTGTGTGTGTGTGTGTGTGTGTGTGTGTGTGTGTGTGTGCGTGGTGTGTGTGTGTGTTGTGTGTATGTGTTGTGTATGTGTTGTGTATGTGCGTGTGTGTGTGTAGACAAGGCATCCCGGTCTTTTGGCGCCTTGCGTTCTGCTGTCTTCGGAAACCGCCACATCTCTGTGCGTACCAAGACTCATGTTTACTCTGCAGTCGTCCTCTCAACGTTACTTTATGGCTGTGAGTCATGGGCTGTCAAGGCAACCGACACCCGCCCTCTGTCAGTGTTCCACAACCGCTGTGGTTTATCCTGGACGTCAGCAAGTCAGAACAATGGAATGAGCATCTCTCCAATGCCGTCGTCTTGGAGCGGGCTGGTTTGCGATCAGTGGTGGAGATGCTGAGGACGCGCCGTCTTCGCTGGTTGGGGCATGTCGGACGCATGTCGGACGACAGAATACCGAAGTGCGTATTGTTTGGTGAGCTCCAGAAGACGCGCCCTCGCCACGGGCCACGCAAGCGTTGGCGTGACAACATCGTGATTGACCTAGAGGAACGCCACATCAATGACTGGTACAGCCTAGCCGAGGACCGTCGTGCGTGGAGACTGGCCTGCAATACCATCCAGCCGCCTAAACCTGTGTCTCGGGATTTCAGGTGCCACTGCGGCCAAGATTTTCACCGTCGCCAGGACCTCACTCGCCACGCGAAGTTCTGTTCCGCGTGACTGAAACACTGTCGGTCCTTTCAGGACCTGCCATCATCTTCGGATGGGCATTATTGTATTGCATTGTATTGTGTGTGTAGACCAGGTGTGCATTGGTGGTCGATTCACATGGCTTCGCCAGTTGTGTGGATTAGACAGTTATCTGGCGCAAGTCTTGATCTGTCTCATTCAGATCTTGTTCGCTATCGTTGCTATAAGAGAAAATATGTGGGTGCACATCCAGTGCATTTGCAGATTTGCGTGCTTCTCTTGCGACGGGCGTATACATGGTACATGGTACATGGTGTATGTGTGCGTGCGTGTGTGTATGTGTATGTGTGTGTGTGTGTGTGTGTGTGTGTGTGTGTGTGTGTGTGTGTGTGTGTGTGTGTGTGTGATTTCCTTCACTTCTACAGACTGTCTGTACGTGATCACTCCATTATTATTTTTAACGCTGTCACTGAAATTCTGGCAGCATCAACACTAAGAGAAAGTCAAGGACAATATTCAGCCACACTCATGTACACAAATACCGCACCTTGAGAACGGCGTTGGCCACCTTAGTTGTGAGGAAAAGTGCTGAGACGACTGTGCCAACCAGCAGCATTACACCGTACATCAAGCGAGATGTAGTCGAACTTTTCGATGTAGGACAGCAGCCGCAACAACAGCCACATGGCGAAGGGCAGAGGCAACACGCCAACTAAGAGCCGAGAAGAAAGACAGATGGAAGACCTCCATTAGACAAAGGCCAAATAAGAGTCGAAAGTTGCGCTACATTCAAAAAAAAAGAAGAAGAAAAAAGTGTACTTACCGAAGCAAGGCAACTCATGATGATAGACAACCGTTGCGAGGAGCTACCTCCGGGACCAAACAACACAATAAAACTCGCTCTTGCAGAGGACTCTGTTGATCACAGATAGCACGAGCAGCACCAAATCTACTACAAAATTGAAAGAGGACCTGGGAACTCCTTGGTTCTTTTTCTTTCCTGTTGTTCTGTTTTTTTGTTCTTATCTTGGACAGCTTACAAAAGCATTCAGCAGTGAGTCGGCACAGCTACAGGGAACATCCAACGGCCGAAACGGGTGAGCTGAGTGAGCTCATATCATACAGTCAGGTGCCATTCGATATGACATAATCATGATCATGAATATTCATGTCAGATCAGGTGATCAAGCAATGATCACATGCGCATCGCATCAACACGTGTGCCCATAGTAAATGGAAAAGCAGATTTTGCCGGCAATTTTGAATCAGTTTTGTGTGCAACAAATCCTGAACAAGTCCTTGCCTGCAAGCGGCGTCGAGGAAATGATCATTCACTTGCTGACTGTTTGAACATTGTAAAACAAACAACACCTCTATGTGAGTCGAATGATATGGTTTGAGCCAGTTTCCTCATCATCTTTACTAGTACTTTGTGCGTGGAAACCTCAACCTTGTTGGGTGCTGGTCACAGGCAGTCAATGCAGGGAGTCGTATAGACAACTCTCTGGATCAACGTGAAGTGTCCTGGTTCAGATACCCAAGACCAAAACACCCTTGCCACTGCTCACTGAAGTGCTTTGTGTGATATGTCTAGTGGAACTGCATCTACATCAGGCTCAACCATTCGTAAGTATACCCCCATCCGCACATCACTCATCTTTTGCTTCTTGTTCTCCTGAGGCCACTTGTCGAAATATTCAATTTAGGACCATCTCCTGTACTTTTAGCCACATGCAATACAATTTACATGATACAGTACATGGAGCGAATATAATGCAGAACTGCTAATCCAGAGTCCAGGAGTGCTTTCGAAGTTTTTGAAGAGGCTAAACACAACACTGTGTTCTGACCGGGACTGACAGTACAGCCGTGTGCTGTCGGGCACCGGGGGAACGACTGGACTGGATTTTCACCTAACGTGTGGATAAGGACAAGAGGCTAGAACCATCTCCAGGCTGGGTGATGTACTTCATGCCCTTGGGCACCCGGCAGTACACCATACAACCCTTTTAATAGCCTTATGCATTACATTTGCTCTGACAACAAGAGAGCTGCGAAGCTCAGGGCCCTCGCTATGCTTCGTTTTTACCTAGGTCATCATGCGTGTTATTCGAACTGCCGGAAACACCTTTGCAATGCAGGAACGCTGGTGGCCAGCTCTCTTTGACGGTACAGTATGGGACATGTGTGGATAGCACGCCAGGCCTGGAGAAACTAGTCACGTGATTCGTGACCACCTGTTCGTGCACGCAAAGATACAAAATAAAGCGCTGTAGACCCTGGCTAGCGCCAGATGCTGGTAGCGTCAAGAGTGCATAACCCCAGAGTATGCAACTTTGCATATGGGGTCTGGCGCGGCGCACTGCATGCATTACGTAGCCAAGAACTGTGGGCCATTGCGTCATTATCGATCTGGTACGGTTTCTTCTTCCAAATCCACTTTTCTCGGAGACTTCGGATGGGTTTGTACGTGATGCGTCACACACACATCCATTGCCTTTGAACTTACCGTATTGCACGTGAAATCATTGAGGCTAAACCGTAAAACTCAAATCCATGCAGCGCAGCTGGATCGTCATTTCACTACGTAATGCGGGCAGCGCGCCGCGCGCAGCACCCATAGCTCGGATATCAGGAGTTACACACTCTTGGGGTTATGTTCTCTTGGTAATGTCTTTTGCATAGCTTCGGGAATAAAGTCCAGGGAAACTTGCGTGAGAGCTACAGCTGATTTCTTCATGTGCAAACATACCTCCCTCTCCCTCTTTGCTGTGATTTTTGTTCGTATTTTCCCATGTTCACGCTAAAAAAATACAACCCAGACAGCAGCAAAACAACTACAATGGTAACAGGAGGGAGAAGAATATTTTTTGTTCCACTCCACTGGACAGGACACTAACAGTGATTGGAGAGAGGGCACTACAGTCCATTTCAAAACTATAGACGCGTAGGGGTTTTGAAATATTTCAAATTTGGCTGGAACTTTTTGAGAATAGTTTTCGGAATATTGCTCAGGACCGCTCCACAATTACTCTCATATAGTTTCTAAACGATTGGATAACAGACGCCCAATTTGGAAAAATATATGCACAAAGTGATCACAGATTATATGTGGTATAGATGCTGGCATACCGGTTTTTGCCTAAGTACGCGTCTATAGTTTTGAAATGGACTGTAATCAGGATCGAGCTGTAGCCGTATGAGTATAGTAGTACCACTTGAGTATATACAGCTACTGGGAACCACGGATACGACAAACAGATACTCATGCCTCTTGGGACAGACTCATTTACTGTCAACCTTGCGAATAACGACCATTGATCGTGCATGAGAAAAGTGTGGTTATTCGCAGGTTATCGTTATTTGTGAGGTAGAAAATAATATGCACTCTGACGGTCACTAGGTCTGAAGATTGTGTCATTATTCGCGAGTTGTTATGCCCGGGGTCGTTATTTACGAGTTGTTGTTATGCCCGGGGTCGTTATTTACGAGTTGTTGTTATGCCCGGGGTCGTTATTTACGAGTTGTTGTTATGCCCGGGGTCGTTATTTACGAGTTGTTGTTATGCCCGGGGTCGTTATTTACGAGTTGTTGTTATGCCCGGGGTCGTTATTTACGAGTTGTTGTTATGCCCGGGGTCGTTATTTACGAGTTGTTGTTATGCCCGGGGTCGTTATTTACGAGTTGTTGTTATGCCCGGGGTCGTTATTTACGAGTTGTTGTTATGCCCGGGGTCGTTATTTACGAGTTGTTGTTATGCCCGGGGTCGTTATTTACGAGTTGTTGTTATGCCCGGGGTCGTTATTTACGAGTTGTTGTTATGCCCGGGGTCGTTATTTACGAGTTGTTGTTATGCCCGGGGTCGTTATTTACGAGTTGTTGTTATGCCCGGGGTCGTTATTTACGAGTTGTTGTTATGCCCGGGCCGCGGGGTCGTTATTTACGAGTTGTTGTTATGCCCGGGGTCGTTATTTACGAGTTGTTGTTATGCCCGGGGTCGTTATTTACGAGTTGTTGTTATGCCCGGGGTCGTTATTTACGAGTTGTTGTTATGCCCGGGGTCGTTATTTACGAGTTGTTGTTATGCCCGGGGTCGTTATTTACAAGTTGTTGTTATGCCCGGGGTCGTTATTTACGAGGTTGATTGTATACAAGTCTGGCTATGCTATCAGATGTATGAAATTGGTTTGACCTGACTCTGTATTCCTCTTTGTGTTGATCTAGGCGTGTTGGAAGAGTTTGTCCGCAGTCGTCATGAGCATGATCTTGAAGCTATTCTATTGTGGGCTGATGACACCCAGCATTACCCGCTTGTTATCAGGTACACTACTTCTGTGCCATAAGTCTATAATTATGGTGGTGTTGCCGATACTACCCATCAGTCACTGTATCAGTGTATGCATGCACACTTACTATGGCTTACACATTTGTTTTCTTTTCTTTTTGGTCTCAGTGTATCGACTGGTCACCTCACAGATTGTCGATTGCATTGCACTCAATGTGTGTACGTTCAAGCTTTCAGAGAAAAAACCAGCAATTAGAGTCGCATTCATGTCGTACAATGCCTTCAAGTATAAAATTTGTTTGGCCCGCCAATCAAAGTGACTGACATGTCACATGTGTGCGACTACACACCTGAAAGAGGAAGTCTGGTCAAGACATCGCCCTCTTTTCTTTGTCTCCTTTGGATGAGGTCTATGATAAGCGTTGGTTTTTGAAAACCCGATTTAAGTCGGACGGCACCGAAATGTTGGGATCTGATTAACCAGCGGGGTCATGACCCTCGTTTGGATGACGTGAGCAGTTCTTACCAGTGACCTGAACAAGATGCTGAGGCCACCCAGAATTATTTTGCGCTTTCAGGTCACTTCCCTCTGATACATGCAATGGAGTAGGTCGGTTTTATTTTTATTTTTTAATATGGTGAGGCGTGTGAGCGCATGCATGCCAAGCGTCGCACGACATCGCTCTATATTTGTTCTGCTACCGGCACTGTCAACGTCCCATCGGGTTAGGATCTCGGCTACACAGGCGAATGAGTCAGATGAGCTGATTCCACCTGTATATGGTATCTGCCTTGGAGCGGCTGGGTAATTGAGTCATCTTTCTGTGCCCTCCGTTATACTTGCAAGACCAAAGATATTCCTGCGGTCGTGCATGGACAAAGACGGTCAGTCAGGTGACCTGAAATAGCGAACTGCACCCCTCAGGGCTGTACAGTTCTTCTATTGGAGATGTGTACATTTATTGTGAGCAATAAGGCATGGGGTTGCATCATCTTATGTACTCTTTGCACATTGTGATACTAGTATTTGTTTCTTTTCCCTTGCAGCGTGGTGGACCTGCTTGAGTACAACGGGGAGGTTGCTGAGAAACTCTTGGACAACCCGCGCAAATTCTTGCCAGGTTAGCTCCCATGCTACAAAACCATTGCTTTTGTACTGTATTGCACGGCTAGATTGTATTCTGTTTGGGAATACTGTAAATAAGCAAATTTTGGCTTGTGAGAAACTTTGGCCATCTCGAAATGAAACTTTTGGCGATCATTTAACTTTGGCCGATTGGCCGATTTTCAAAAAAGAAATCGATCGTTAGTTGTTGCTCTCACATGCAGCCACGGCTCAATTATGAATCATTTGCCTCTGTGACAAACTTTGGCCTGCGATTTACTTTGGCCAGTTGGTACCAAGCGGCGAAACCAGCGAAAATTAGTTGATTTACAGTAAGTCAGCTACGATCTTCCCCCCCCCCCCCCCCCCCCCCCCCCAGACCATTTAAAACACGGTTCACCCAGAACCCAATGGTCACTCAAGTCGTCGTGAACATGTGACCAAAGTTTTCCAGTGTTAACATCTTATCGTAATTTCTTGTTTTTGTTTTTTGTAGAGTGTGAAATTGCAATAAGCCGTGCCCAGCAAGCTTTGTACCGGGAACACGAGGCGAAGGACAAAATGGTGAGTGGATGGTCTTTGCACTGTAATTCATCGGGTCTTTTAGTTGTTGCAGCTTAATCCTTGAAGGGTGGTGGCGTTCCTGCGGATGCGGAAAACTCGGCCTCTAGCTGAGTCTCACGCAGACCATGAATTTGTTTAGTAGTGCATACCAAAAAAATTCACGGTTCGCGTTAGACTCGGCTGAAGGCCGAGTTTTCCGCATCCGTAGGGACGCCACCACCCTTCAAGGATCAGAAGTAGGGAGGTTTCGCTCTACGTAATTACGTATGAAAATCCGTATGTCGTACACGCCGAGGAGCGAGGGCAACTTTCATACGTAAATCTCTCTACGGATTTCCGTAGGAAAGCTGTTTCCTACGTTGGGTCCTCCGTAGGACTTTTTGAAATATTTTTTTTCGCATTTTCCGCATTTGTCCATGGCAACGTTCAAGCCGCGCGAAACACAAGGTACACACACCGTACACCACGTGCAAAATATAATGGAAAACGCGGTTTCGGTTCATGGTGCATGCGGTGGGCGCATGCAGCCAACGCGTCTCCAAAGCAACAACGCATGTTTAGCAGTTGTGGAGAAATCACGTAGAGCGAAACCCAACAGCTCTGATTTTTACGTATGAAAATTCCGTGCAGTTCCTACGTTATTTTCATACGTAATTCCGTAGAGCGAAACCTCCCTATTGTTACAATTTCCCCTTTGTTGTGAGACTTGCTGTATTGTTGGCTTAAGTCTAGGAAAGCCCCCATAATTCTCCAACAATTAATAAATCATCTCTCATTCTAATTCGTAAGGGGTCACTATCGGTCGCTTGAACTTCTTCCTCTTTAGGTCTTTGCTTCTTGTTTGTATTTCAGGAATTGTTCTTTGGCGGTGGTTGTCTTCAGGTGTTCAAGGAGCAAGTGCATTGTCGCCTATCTAATCTTGCAGCTTTGCCCGACTTTGTGAGAAACACTCTTCCCCGTACTGCAGATGTAGGGCAGTTGCTAGCGGTTACCGGTGAGTTGTCTGCACTGCCATCATGGATTACATCAAGTGAATGAGTGATCTGGACACCATTCAACTTATGCTGTAGTAGGAGATTGCGATGGTGACGGGTTTTCCGGGGCCACTTTGTGGTGTGTGTGTGTTTTTTTCAAATTGAAAAGTTTGGTATTTTTCATCCTCATCCACTTACCCTTTCTGCACATACAGTGCCATGTAAATGGAATTCAACCAGGGTTTCCGTCTTCAGTACCTAGTAAATGCTGCTGTCTGATGATCGCTGAAATGCGTGAAATTTTAAGTTACAGCTACGCAGCCTTTCGCCTCTCTTGTGTGTGTATGTGGGACCATGAATTTGACTGGGGGTTTGTGCATTCAAGTATTTTGAACTACAGTCAAATCTGCCGTTCGCGACCTCTGCTGTAGGCGACCATCTACCGTTAGCGACCGATTTTCCGTGCACCGACGATTTCACATGCAAATTGATCTGTCCAGAGCGACCATCTGCTGTGCGTGACCAGCGACCGCGATTTCATGCACGGTGGCTGCATTCAAATCTGCTGTAAGCGACCGCGACCCACGTTCAGTCAGGTGCGAAACTGTACTTGCCAGTGCGCTGTCAACTGCAAGGTGTGAAAATGCGCTGTCTTCCAAGTACGATCGACTGGCCCTGGCACCCCTATATTCTATTGAATATCCAATAAAATGATTTTAAAAGTCACATTATTCTCGTCGATTTGAGTACATGGAAGCATATACACATGCCCGGTATGTCGGATTTACCATACATCTGCCGTAAGAGACCATCTGCCGTAAGAGACCGCTTTTTCTTGCACCAAGGGGCGGTCGCTTACGACAGATTTGACTGTATTTTCGAAATGAAAATGTTTCATTTTTTCATTTTGAAGAAACATTTCGTAATTGTGGCTAGTCCCTGAGACTGAGAGTAATGTGAAATATGCGTGTGCACATATTCACATGCCCGCACGTGTGTGTGTGTATGGTCCCTGCCTAGACCATACAATGATCTAATCATGCAGTTATACACACACGTAACTGGCTCACTCTGAACTGCTCTGAACTCGGAATGTAATTATCTTCAATCAGACTCAGCTGCAGCAAGAGAAGACTGCCTCCGAACATCCCCAAACCCACTTCACACGAGCATGCATCTCTAGTGCGCATGCTCGTGAGAAGTCATAATAATATGACTTGACTGAGGGACACAACAATTCCCCCACCACTAGAAAAAGACGAACATGGAAAACAGTAATAAGAGTGGTTCAAATACGTATGGATGGCTACTATGCGAGTGTCTGATCTGCAACCAATTATGTCATCATTCGCTATAGAATTATAACCGATACCCATGGCTGACATAGTAACTATTCATGTATTTATGACGGCTAATACCTATAATTATTTGAACTATTTACAGAAACAAGATTTGTATACACATTATAATACAGTTCATGACCACTGCAGTAACTGGAAACCACTACTTGGCTTGAGTGCGGTACCGTTCAGGTATGACAACCTGGCGGCCGGACCGGGTCGTACTAGTGTTCTGACCAGGTGTCGATGGTGTTGGCATTCTAGACTCAGACTCACTATCCGTAGGTATTGTCGTGGTTGTTGGTGTAGGGCTGACTGTTGACTGACTTGACGGTTGTTTCTCAGCGGTAGTAGGACTTGAACTTGAAACTGTACCGGTAGAAGAAACACTGGGACCAGTATCAGCGGATGACGATGGAGCCTGATGCGTCGATTTAGGGGGAGCTTCAGCCACATCCTCCCTCACAAACTCAGACAAAGGAACTGAACGTGCTCTCAACTGGTTGCGATGACGCTTCCACAAAGCATCCTGAACTTGAACTTGGTAGTTGACTGGACTGATGACTGACACGATGCGACCTGGGACCCACTTTGAACCATAAGAGCCAAAATTTAGAGTGAACACAGCGTCGCCTGGTTGGAATTCTGGGGTCTTGTTCATGTTGCGTTCGTAAGCGTCAACAGACGGTTTGGCGGTCTGTTTTAGCGTGTCAAAACGGGTACGTGGTTGACGCATCATAAGCATCTCAGCTGGTGACTTGTTGTTTGCTGAAGGGGTTGTACGATGTGACAGGAGGAAGCGTTGTAGCGTAGCGTGTAGGTCACCCTGCGTACCCATGGCTTTCAATTTTGACTTGAAAACCCCAACATAGCGTTCTGCTAACCCGTTGGTTGCCGGATGTCCAGGAGCGGAACAAGTGTGTCGAATGCCATTCTTGTGTAGGAATGATTGAAATTCTTCACTCGTGAATTGTGAGCCGTTGTCCGATACGATGTGATGTGGTAGGCCAAACAAAGCGAAGACACGGCGTAAAGCAGCGATAGTAGTAGCGGACGTTGCACGGTCCATAGGAACAATATCCAGAAATCGAGAATATGAATAAACAATGACAAGAAACATCTTGCCCATGAAAGGACCGGCGTAATCAATATGTAAGCGTTGCCAAGGTCCCGTCGGCCATGACCAGCTACCAAACTCCTTCGCTGGCAGGCGTGCTTCAGCTTGGCATTCCGGACACTGAGCGCAAACCTGCTCCAAATCTCTGTCGATACGAGGCCACCACATGTAGCGACGTGCCAAGCGTTTCATACGAACTACACCTGTGTGTTCATAGTGAAGATCGTTCAGCAAGAACTCACGTAATGATTCTGGAACAATGACACGATCGTTCCAAAGAAGGATATTGTCAGACACAGACAACTCCCAGCGCTTCGCAAAGTACGGCTGTAGAGTTTGATCAATGGTTTCCGGCCACCCATTCAGTACATGGTGCCAAACTGTCTTCAGTATAGGATCCCGTTGCGTTTCGGTAGCAACTGTGTCCGCATTAATGACTTCGCTTTCAATGAATAGTACCTGTTCATCAGCTACCTCGTCGGAGCAGGGAGCGCCAGGACCAGGTTGGCGCGACATGAAATCAGCGAATGGGTTTTGGCGCCCTGGGATGTGCTTGATAGAGTAGTCGTATGCCGCTAGGGCCAACTTCCATTTCTTGAGTCTCGGTGACACCAAGTACGGAACGCCATCTGTACACCCAAGCAGTTTAACAAGCGGCTGGTGGTCTGTTTCGAAAATGAACTTGCGACCGAGAAGGTACTGGCGGAAAGTAGTAGCTCCGAACACCACGGCAAGCGCCTCTCGCTCGATGTTAGAGTAGTTCTTTTCCGCCTTGGTCAAAACACGCGAGGCATATGCAATGGGACGGAAATGACCAGGTCGCTCTTCTTGCAATAGCACCGCTCCTCTTCGTCGCCATTTGTATGGTCCCTGCCTAGACCATACAATGATCTAATCATGCAGTTATACACACACGTAACTGGCTCACTCTGAACTGCTCTGAACTCGGAATGTAATTATCTTCAATCAGACTCAGCTGCAGCAAGAGAAGACTGCCTCCGAACATCCCCAAACCCACTTCACACGAGCATGCATCTCTAGTGCGCATGCTCGTGAGAAGTCATAATAATATGACTTGACTGAGGGACACAACAGTGTGTGTGTGTGTGTGTGTGTGCGCGCGCGCGCGTGTGTGTGTGTGCGTGTGTGTGTGTGTGTGTGTGTGTGTGTGTGTGTGTGTGGTGTATTCATGTGTGTGCGTGCACTTGCCTCTCGCAGGGGCAGTTATCCGTGCTGGCATGGTGAAGCTGCTGGACTGTGAGAGACAGTTCACTTGTGCGCAATGCCGTCACACGTTCACTGTCAAGGCTGAAGTTGAACTCTGTTACAACATCCCAAAGCCAACCAGGTACAGTGACGATCACATATGTACATTAGAGGTCCACAGCCAATCTTCTGAAACAGTGCTGTGTCCCTGAAACTTGTGCATTTGTATTCTGCAGAATGTATTGTCCCTGTGTGATCCATGTTCAGGAGAACACTGCAGATCCCGGCCATAGCTTCTGCCACATTAGCAGCATGCACCCTGATACCACATAGCATTTTACGTAGGTTCTAGAGATAGAGGTCTACAGTAGGTGGTGTGACTCCGACGGATGGTCGACTTGTGGTTTCCTGACGCATTGGTACTACTGCAAGGCCAATTGCAACACCAATCGTGAGCGTGTGGTGTGTGTGGGTGTCTAGAGAGACAATAGTTAGAACTAGAAGGTCATTCTCCATCACTCCGAGGCCTTGTTGTGGATTGCCGATAGCGGGCACAGTGGGTCGCGTGATCCTCCATAACAATCAATGTCAAGTCATTTCCGTGCATCGGATACACTCGGTACATGTCTGTGCTGCTAGCATCTTGACTGGCTACATTCTTCTCTTTGTCCTTTCTAATGCTGGTCAGGTGTCCTGGATATGACTGTGACTCAAAGACTTTCAAGTCTCTCTCGGATACAGGTATACAATGTCATGTGTGTAAACTCGTATATTGATACAGTGTAGCTTTTCGAATACTTAGTGTTATGGAGTTGGCTGTGGTTCATGTTTATCTGACAGCGTAGGAGCCAGCACCGGGCCTAACCGATTATTGGGAAAATACGGAATGCTTTTTTCTATCTAGTGCTGTGTAGACACTAGACAGGATCTTGACTAGATATCTGCGTTCAAAGCCAGCCAATGGGAGTCCACCTTAATCGGCAGGTCACTCATTGGGTGTGTATTTGTCACTGTACTCTTCAACTGTCTGAAGTCCAATTTAGCTGTAGACTTGAATGGCAGTGATTCGTGGTCTGCTTTGTGTGGTGACTCCCGTGCCTGATTAACTCTTTCTGTCTACCTAGAACCACGGTGTGGCAGAGATGTGCAAGAGATCAAGTTGCAGGAGCAAGTGCAAAAGCTAGCCGTGGGAACAATATCCTCCTTTACCATGAGAGTGACACTGAGTGTTGGATAGAACTTGATGGAATTGTGCCTTTGGATGCGCACAGCCTTTGATAGTTTCCTTCACGCCTTCCTTTCCAACCGCAGTAAGGCGCCACTTTGTGGTACACTCTGCTTTTGGTGATACTCGCGTCTATCAAAAATATCTAGAGTGTTTCTTCTTCGTTGTGCTGTAGGTCTGCAAATCGTGGCATCACATACACTACAGAGACACATATCACGTACATTACAGAGGTACCTATCACATACTCTACGGAGACGCCTGTCATAAATTCATAATATTATACGCTACGGAGATGCATATAGACGACTACACCATAGCTCAGTGGTTAGAGCATCGCTAGCTACAAGCGAGGGTCCCTGGTTCGAGTCCTGGTGGTGATGGTCAATTTTTTCTTCAGACTGTTCCCGTTTGTCTCTTTCCCTCAAACTAGTGGAGATACATATACTGCAGAGATACCTATCGCATACACTACAGAGGTGCCTATCACATACACTGCACAGACACCTATCAACCAAAAACTGGTGACAAACTAACTATTACATCCCTTGTTCAGTGCACACATTGAAGAAGAGTTGTGTTTGTCTTTGCATTCGTGTTGTTATTGTAAATGTGGACACTTGTCCTAGTAGTAGCCGCCTTATTTTGTTGAAGTTTGAACATCCTTAACTCCACTTTCTGCACATTCCCCGTGCTATGCCTGTTCTACTGGAGGATGACCTCGTGGATGTGTGCAAGCCAGGTGACGATGTCACGGTCACGTAAGTGTGAACGCGCGCGTGTGTATGTGTGTGTGTGTACACATCCACGTGGCTTGAACCAGGATGACCCGGAGTATCCCCCCCCCCCCCCCCCATTGCTTTGCCGAGAATCACGTATGCGTGTGAACATGGGAATTCTTGCGGTACTGTCCTTTGTTTAGCCCCCTTGCTCCTGCGAGAATCACCTACCTAGATGTGTATGTGAACATGATATGTCTTGCTGTGCTGTCCTGTGTTTTGTGTTCATGCCCTGTAGAGGTGTTGTCATACAGCGGTGGCAAAATCTCTAGTAAGTCGTACTTCATCCTATGAATGCGTGGTCTACACGGTTCGTGAACGTGTGAGGCTTGGTACCTGAGCTCAATTTGCTTCAACATCTAGCTAGATGTATTACTCACACATTTGTCCTCTGCACTAAGTTATTGGCAGGTTTACCCTCATAGACAATACTCCCTGTACAGTCTACTGTCGAAATGTTGCGCACACAGTCCGGGGGGGGGGGGGGGGAGGGGATATTGTGTGACGTATCATGTGTTCGTGACTTCCAGATGCTTTGCACTTCAAGTACATACACCAGTACAGTGCATGCTGTCCTCGAGGAAAAGGTGTAACTTTAGCATGAATACTTGAGTTTAATGCGCGACTTTTCGCAAGTACCGTAAAGTACCGCCAGAGCGCCCCGTCTCGCGAGAGCGCCCCACCTTGATTTTACACCCAGGGGAAGAAAATCGTATGGCAGAATGCTACTAAGTTTGTACGATGTGAGAACCTTCGTGTACTAAGGTCACACTTGGTATGCTTTTATGTGGAGCTCGAAGGTAAACTGGGTACGGATTGACTGCACAATGTGCAATGTTTGTACAAGGTCCGTGTCGTATGACCTACAGACAGGAATCCACCTCCACAAGGCGACCACGAAAGGACGAGATGGTGGGGCGCTCTGGCGGTACTTTACGGTACATGTAGACTGTTTATTTAAATCACTTCTCCACTTGTTCATGTCAGATAAGGATTGAACCTTTTTTTTAATGCCTGCAGAAAACTCCTCATGCCACAGACTGGAAAAGGAGATGTTGGCATCTATTGTAGATGTATTGCCTACTGTTGGTGTACATGTGACTGCCTGCTGTGTTCATCTGCGGTTCTTGTTCTTGTATTGATTATCGTGCCTGTGCTATCACTGTTCTCAGTCCTGACAGTCGATGTGACCTGGGACTTGTGCTACTAGCTAATCATATCAAAGTGAACAATGAGCAAAGAAACTCGGTACAAGTCACAAATGAACTGGTAAGTATCAGGTGTATTCACTGTATTGACTACTTTGGTATAATAATTATAACTGTTACATGATTGTGTTATCCATGACACGTTCACCGGTAGAGTACCTTTCAAGTTTCACCCCACTAGCATGTTTCTCTTTGTCTTTTCTTCTTTGCAGAAAGAAGAGATAACAGACTTCTGGGAGGTTTACAAGGTGAGCTTGCCATCTGCTTTTCCATATTATTGTATGTCCATGTCCTAGGCTTTTCCATATTACTGCAAGGCCATGACATGAGCTATCAACCTGTCATGTTATATTGATTTTCTATCTTCTGTATAGTTATACACCCTATACGCGTATGGCATAATTTGCCTGCTGCTGTCTGCCGGACAATTCTGATTTGATATTGACATGCTATCCTGGGTGCATCGCAGCCCAAGATTCAGCCACGATATAGTCAGGACGGAATGTGTGAGTTTATCTTCTCCCGACTGTGGCTGCTAGCACTCAATCTTGATGCTACCTTGGGCAATTCAGTGCATTCCCAGCATGTGTTGAGTTTCTCAGGTCTGTCTGCTGCCGGGTCCAATCACTTTTGTTGTATGTTTGGGTGCAAGTGCGTAAAACGTGCGGTGTAAAATTGTGGATCAATCTGGAGAATAATGTGCCCCAGCTGCTTCCCCCATGTGGACTAGATCACAGTCTTGACCCTATCCATACTGATTAAAATAATAAATTTCACGGTTCGCGTGAGACTCGGCTGGAAGCCGAGTTTTCCGCATCCGCCGTGGGAACGCCACCACCCTCTAGGATCAAACTGATTACTCACCAGCTAATGTGACGTGGGCAAGGTGGTACACGTGTACTTCACTGAGTTGAGCTTTACTGTGTGTGTGTGTTCCTTTGCCTTCTTTTTTATGCTCGGTGGTGTTGCTGCTGCTGATATTGGCTAAATTCACTTCCACCCTTTGAATTCTATCCCCAGGACAAGCCATTGGAAGTAAGTGTGTGTACGTATGCATGTGCCTGTAGAAGCAAGTTGGCAAACTGCTGTTCCAGTCTTATGTCTAAACAGCTGCTCTGACACGTGTGCCCTTTCTCTTCCGGTTTGCTTTGTTCTTATTCTGATGTGGCGTTGTTGAGTAGTATACAGTAATTGGTCCACATCTACCTCAATTTTTTTGTCCTTCATGTCGCAGAAGTCCCAGTGGTCAATAGAGGTTCCGGAGTACGATTTTCCGTGCCAAAATCCGTACAGGTGCTACGGATTTTTTCAAGTCGTGCTTCATACGATTTTTCGGCATGGAGAATCCGTGTAGACTGGCTTTCACACGAACCATGTTTCCTATGGAGATTTTGCGTCGAGTGTAGAAAAATGTTCTGTTATTGCGATCGTAACCTAAAGCAATGCCAGCAAACACATTATTTCCGTACTCCGGAACAGTTCACTGCTTGAAAACGACGTATAAAAAAATCCGTAGCTCACTTCAGCCCGGAAAACTGTACCCCGGAACCTCCCTAATGTACTCTTGTGTGTATGTGTGTTTGTGTGTGTGTGTGCGTGCGCGCGCATGCGTGCGTGTGCGTGCGTATCATACAGGGCCGCAACATCATCCTAGCATCAATGTGTCCTCAAGTATACGGTCTTTATGTGGTCAAAATGGCGGTCACATTGATTTTGATTGGCGGTGTGCAGGTAGGTCATTGAACGTTGAATATGTTGCTCTTTGGAGATGTACACCCTACACATTCATAAACATTTTTATCATGTGTTCTTGTCTACTTACCGCCATACGCTGTCCCCTTGCTAGAATTTCAGGGTGCCAATGTCTGTAACATTGTCAGAATATGACAGCCACTTTGATGTCATAATTACTTGGGCATACATTTAAAGAAAGGTTTCGTTCCGTCGCACCTTGTGCTTTTCTGGGTCTGTATCCATGTGCTTTCATGTGTGTGTATCCGTGTTTTTTAATATTATTAGAGTGAATTCCATCAGTAGACCAGACATGCATTGATGTTGTGGTATTCTACTCTGTTTTTGGTCTCCAGCGGAGAGATGAAGGAGGCACACGAGTTCGCGGTGAACCCCACCTTTTGTTGGTCGGTGATCCAGGTAAGGAAATGTCCAACACTGTGAGAGGAAATGTCCACCTTTGTGAGAGGAAATGTATACCACTGAAGCCAATGTTTGCTCAGACTGCGTCGACTGCCTGACTTCACCTATACAATTACTAGTATTGTGAAGTTGGCAGTTGTTAAAGTGAGCTATCCTAACTTTATCCATCCTGGTGTGGATTCTGCATATTGTTCATGGTGTTGCTGCTGCTGCTTACAAACAGGTACTGGGAAATCTCAGTTTCTGAAGTTTGCTAGCAAGCTAATGCCTCGCTCTGTGCTGACTACTGGTATTGGTTCTACCAGCGCTGGTCTCACTGTTACTGCTGTCAAGGTCAGTTCTGTTGTCCTGTAGATGTGCTAACATTCCTATACTGACTATACATGTCAGGACCGCTGGCCTTTGTAGCAATCTTCTAGTCTGATAGCCTGCATTGAATTCAGTGATGCAGATCATAGTGGAGCAAAGTTCCTTGCCATGTTTGACCGCTAACATCAGCATGGTGAACATTGTTACAAGTTCTGTTTTGCAAGACCAAGCACAATTGTATATTGTGTATCTGCCAAAACAAGAACACAGCATAGCTCTGTGATGCGTTCTCATTTGCCGCTTGAAAGATTGCTTGTGTTCTCTCCGTCACGTCTTCTTCTCTGCGGCTTTGCTGTTTGTTTACAGGACTCTGGTGAATGGCAGCTTGAAGCTGGGGCACTTGTCTTGGCAGATGGTGGCCTCTGTGCCATTGGTAAGGGATGTCTATACATTAGCATGATAGCAGATTTGTAGTAATGATGAGTAGGAGATCAAGCTACTTGACTTTCTCTAGTTACAAGTCCTCTGCGCTGCATCAGTATTGACATTGCAAAAGAGTTTTTATCACAAGCACAATCCCCTGGGCCCTGTCCTCGCACAGGTTGGGAACGTGATCATGACTGTGTGTAGTCAACCACTGTCACTGTATAGGTCATCAGCACATGTACATGTGCACTGCATTACACTGCATTACACTGCACTCTTGTTTGAGACTGTGGTGTTTGGATTAGACATAATGCCTTATTGGGGGGTTTTCTTGTTTCCAATCCAGATGAATTCAATAGTATCCGTGAGCATGACCGCGCCAGTATCCATGAAGCAATGGAGCAGCAAACAATCAGTGTGGCTAAGGTTGGTGATACTGGTGATATACACGTCATCTAGTAGTACTAATACTAGTACCGTAAAATCTCGCCAGAGCGCCCCATCTCTCCCATCCGCCCCTCCCTGACTTCTTGTCAGGGACGTGATTGATTGTATCCTCGTATGACTCTGTCACAGTCTGTGATGCCGTACTGTACTGCAGACGCGTGCTCGACCCCATTGGAAATGTACGCAACAGTGCCCGCCCTCTTGACCAGGGATCGCACAAACCCTGAGTTTTGACGGGTCTGTACGACTCCTGGCTCTTGACCTTTGGTCGGTGTACGAGATGCACGAACAGTTTTCGTAGGGTGAGTACTTTTTCATGTACAGTACTGAATGCGGCAATACCACACAAGTAGGACTCGCCCATCCGCCCCTCCCCACCCGAAGCGTCGAGGAGGTAGGGGCGCTCTGGCGGGATTTTACGGTAATAGTCACTGATTCCTGTGTACTAGATAATCTCTATGACAGCGGTGCGTCAGTCATCCTGTGCTGTTGTGATTCTGATGAGTCTGATCATAGCTGCATTGTAGCTGCGTTTTGTAGGGTTAACCGTACATCCCATCAGGCAACCTCGTTCTCCCCCTTCCCCCTTCTCGTGCTTCTTCTCACAGGCTGGCTTGGTGTGTAAGCTCAACTGCCGGACTTCCATACTGGCTGCCACGAACCCCAAAGGAAAGTATGATCCTAGTCAGGTAAGATGCTTGCTGCACTTGCAGCAGTCAGTGTTGGTCTGCTATTCCATTGCTTCCATTTATGATTAGACAATGCAGTATTACCACTACCCGTCATGAAAGTGCTATGCTTTTTCTGTGTGTGCTGTTTCCATTTACTTGTATTACACATTGTACATGTGCTGGAAGTACAACATACTGTATAGCAGGAAATTTTCGAACGGAAATATTTTCGGACAAAACCGAATTTCGACCTTTCGTACGGATTATATTTTCGTACAGTGCTGCATGCTAAATGCATGTGTTCGCATGTGGTACGCACGTATAGTGCACATAACTTCACCGGAACAAATTTTAGTACAAAAAAGGCCGTGTACGAAATCGGACGAAAATAAATTCCGTCCGAAAATTTCCTGCTGTACAGTATTCAATTCCAGGAGAGGATGGGCATAGAGTGATATCCTTGTTTTCTCTTTGCTGCTGCTGCTGCTGCTGCTGCTGCTGCTGCTGCTGCTGTTGCTGTATTTCTAGAGTTTGAGTGTCAATGTTGCCCTAGCCAGTCCGCTGCTGAGTCGTTTTGACCTGTTGCTCGTCTTGCTGGACACACACAATGAAGATTGGGACAAGTAAGACCATCACCATGATCATTGTACCTGTACCTGTCAGTGCTGAACTAAATATACTTACTGTGAGAGCGTCCAAAGACCTGGATCCCTCCATGGCCGTGTGTTGGACGTAAGACGGATGAAAGAGTCCTCACTGTGGGTCTTGTGGCGCATGCATTGTACACGCAGCGCGTCTGGTGCAAGTCACCTGGCACATGCACCCAGTGACGCGAGCCAGTGCGCCAAACCTCCACTGCTGTTAATTGAAGTACCGGTATGCTGCTTCATACCTAGGTTTTTTCGAAAATACCGAAGGCCAAGGCTGTAGTCATGCCAAGTGAGATGTGTTCCACTTACGCTGAAAGTGGCTTGTTTTGAATGAAGCGAGGAGGCACACCATGGTGTGAGTAGTAACACTGTGGTAACAAACTTTACGCCAGCTATCCTCCAAGTACCAGATAATGTCGTATTGAAACAACAGTGCCTTGGTGCAGATAAGGTCCATGCAGTGAATTCACACAGCTGCGCACTCCAGTTTACCACACACATGTAGTTCATTTTCACCCGATCACGAAGAACATGTGAACAGCGTACAATCTCAGTCACAATGGACCATACAATATTCCTTTCCCTGGCCGCGATTCTAAACCCTGGGGCGCTCTCGTGCTGTCCGTGAAAGTGTAGTGTGGTCGCTCACTGTATGAAGTTACGATCAGCTTTTAACATCTGCTGGTTTCCTTTGCTTTTTGTAGGATCGTATCGTCATTCATTCTACATGGAAAAACGCTCAACTCCATGGGTGAGTCCACGCTCAAGTTTTCCAGCATTTACATCTATACGAGTGAACTAGCCATCTATATCGTGCCTGCTGCTGCTGCTTTGATGTAGAACCATCGCCGTTGGAATATAGCAGATCCCCGTGTGCTAATGAGAGTCCGTACAGTCAATTGAAATTTCAATTTGATACTCAATTGTGTGAGCGTTCGTGTCTCCTGCCCATGGTTAGTCCTTGTGCTGCTTCATACACATGCGGGAGGTATGTTAGTTTGAATGGGATGGCTGCATGGCTGATGATACCAGCACAGTGGTGCAGTAGAATAGTGATCCACGGGTGTTGAGAGACACATGATGACCTGCCCAACATGCAAAAAATAGTGACTTGGCTCTTCTTTTTTGCTTACTTCTTATTGAATGTAGAATTGGGTCAGTCCGAAGAACTG